CCTCATTCCCAAAGGCTGCCGCGTCGTCACTGGGACTAACAGCATTCACCATAATGAACGCTATTTTCCGCGGCCCGATCTCCAGAGCGATGGCTGTCAGGAGAAGAAATGGCTGCGTCTACTACCTCGGCTGCGTTAATCCCATTCTCCCTTGGATCTAGGGCATGCATGTGACGGTATCGGTGCTGGGGAGCTTTTGAGAAACAGAGGCAGAACAAATCCCATCAATTCCAGGTGTATGACCATATCGTGAGCCACCAAAAGGGCCCGGTTCTTCAATTTCACTCACGGACGGCAACCTGAGGCTAGATATTTGGCCTTGATACGGACGTCACTTGTATTGGGATAGACAAGTTGAATGTTCTCATCTTGCGAGCCACCGAGAATTGCACGGTAATAACCATTCTCTAACCTTACTTACTTTTAATTTTTATCATATACATTTTTCTGTTCTGAATGTTCTATGTGTCTGTCATAAGCAGTGGGAATAGTCACAGTGAACTTCTTCCACCATATAGATCTATAGCGGTAGTCACGACACATGTCACAGGTCCATAGAGCTCACACATCTATGTCAATGGAAGTGCACGATATATACATCCTTTCCTTGTTTAGCAAGTATCTTGTTGACGTTTCAGTATTGAGGTCAAGAATATCATTTCAAGGTACCGCTAAGATTCAAGTATGTCTTGCTTACCCCTTGTATATTAATGTAGTATCAGAATATCATATCCTGCATGTGCATCTCAGGTCCGGCCAAGATATACGCATATGCAGGGATGACGGCGTCCGCTGTTTCTGGGACTGTGTGCATCCCTGGAATCCTGGATGCTGAGGGTCCCATGAAAGTGATTTCGGTAAACATGTCCAAAGTGATATAATCTTTTAGAAATCTTGTGATATAAATCTATTTGAGATGTACTAGACAGCCCAGGAGATCTGATAGAAGATGAGAAGTATCTCGAGAAGCATATCCTAGAATGATTTCATTAGACTGAAATAGTGTAGAATAATCAAGTCACTCAAATAAAGATACAACGTGATTAAGAAACTAGGATCAGCCAATTTTCCTGAAGCTGATGGTCTGGTAAATGCTTTCTAGCATACACCAGCAGTCCATCCCTCCCTAGTATGTATGTAAATTGAGGCGCAGGACTGTCTCACACTCACCGATAAACCCACCATTCGACTGACGTTAGATGTATATCTCGGTGAGCCCTCACGAAAGTTGAGTGGTGTACCCTCGTTCATACTTGGTATAGCAACATGGTAGCCTGATATGGAAACCTAAGGGGGTAGTGGATGTAAGGCCAAAGGGTGGCTGCCACCTGACAACCAGACTGCTTTTTCTGCTTTTCTTACTGCAGATTCGCTTTTCCTTCTACTCATCTCTTATCACAACGTCATCGAATTCTTCTTTCCGTTCTTTTTTTTCTCACATGCGGTGAGCGTTCGGATCAAATTCGAATAAATACACCTTTTGAATATGGTATGAATTTGATCGGAGTTCAGCGAAGATCAAGTCGAGCGTAAGCTCGTGGAATCTTGTCAAAGGTTTTTTTGATCCAATTTAGTCTCACTGAGCCCAATTAGAGCACAGGGGGAAGAATAGCCCCGCATGCTTGGTGAGACGCTAGCCCATGAGCAATGCACTCCTCGTACTCGGCCCTCGGGTTGGCCGTTTCTCCCCCAACACAGCAAAGTTGGCTGTTAGGCGACCAGTCTCAGGCCGAGAACGACACCGTGGCGCTCGACACGATATCGAACACTGTCATGGGAATAGCGGATCCAGGGGCAACGGCGGCGCCAACCGCAGTTTCGTTAACAGCAATTGGTGCAACAAGACAGGTGATCCCCTCATGGTTAGAATCATGAACAAGAGAAAATAAGAGCCTCTCCGTTCGAATACAAAATTGCACAAAACATGCCCAAAGGACCCGACACGGATAAGCGAGACTCAGCCTTGTTGAAATTAGAGTCCACTTTGCCCACAACTATCATTTGAACATCATGATTGCCCCCATTCTCCAGCGGTCAACATCCGGGGTTCCTTTCAGCCTCACAAACCGCGTGATCAAAGGAGAATTGATGTGTCAACACTCTCGGGGCTCAAGCGTAAAATGTTTCCGATAGGTCGAGCACTATGGCTATGGTCTCCTGCCAATGTGGGGATGCCGATCGATGGTGGAAATACAGGGAGTGGTTGGGATCCTTCCGGAGAATCCAATGTCCATCGATATTATGATGCCTGTAAGATGGTCCCCACAGCACTAGCAATACAGCTGCAGTTGCCCTTCCCCAGTCTCCTGCTCGTTTCGTGAGAATACCTGGGTGAGACTCTGATGGTTTCTTCTCCACCCTTTCTTCAAACCCCTTGCTCTAATGGCTTTTATTAAGTGTAGGAGTCAAGTCAAAATCTGTCCGTCGGCATCCTCAAGCTCTTGGAACAGCAGCCTACTGGTTGAGGCTGTGCGCTATCTAGCCGAACTATCCGGCTTACCGTATTGATTGCTTTTCCAGGGTTATGTTCCGGTGGCTGCAGATCCTGGGCAGATTCTATTTTGTCCATTTCAGGCCCTAGCCAATCAACAGAAGTACGATTGAGCTGTACCAGATCTGCAAGGAGACGCTATTTTCAGTCTTTTGTCGATTTAGACTTTTCAAAGGTCCAGTAAACTTGCTCACATTCCGACCATCGATCCCGCCAACGTGATGCTGCCCACGATATACCATTTCAGACGCTGTTGCATGAGCAGCGGATGCCTAGTTGGACGGGTCCTATTTTTGAGTTCCGCATGTTTTCCAAGTTCTGGATATGGTCTATATGAAACGCTCAATGACTGCAGTGAGCCCGTTACTCGACGTGAGGGGCATACTCCCGATGCCTTGGTTTTGATTGGTGATGAGACATTTCTTGAACCAGGAGTAAGAAATACGACAATCTGAAGCTGAAGGCCTCCTACGTGATGCTGCAGAATATCTGCTGCCTTGGCACTGATCGCTCGACTCGTCCAATCGCTGATGTGTGCCTGCTCCAACCGGTGAATAGCCATATCATCCAGATTTCCATACCATAACTGTTGTGCACTAACGATCTTTCCCCGGAGAAGGGGCTGCAGCGCAGTGGCGCCTAGGCTTAGCGGGAAGTCCGCTTTGGGAATGGTTTACCTCGTATGGAAAAGCTTCGTGGTTCACCCTGGCAATCTACCGAGTCAGCCTCAGGTTCCTCCCGGCTATCTTCCCCGTGATGGCGGAAGTGCTTTAACGAGCCGGGAGATTTGCCTGGAACTTCTAACCCACTTGAACTGTCCGATAATTCGGATTCCAGCATACTTACCGTCTCTGCCCCTGCCAAAGCGTGTTAATAACGCTCTCTTCAGCACAGGTAGAGTTTACGGTCTGATTGGCTAGGCGGTTCAGCTGCTCTCTCCCCCGGCTTATGTGCACCACTGTAGCTTGGCAGGGGCACATGTGGTAGGGTAGGACAGGACACCCCATAGCGTTGGGTTCTGAGTCTGACTGCAGATCGTGGTCAAACAACGGACATGGGCGAGCCCTTGGCCTCCAATAAACGATTAGCGACCTAAGAGACCAAACCGGGAGACAGCGGTTACACAGTATGGGACTTCATACGTCATGGGACATACGATTTGATGACTGGTGAGACGTTGAGTGTTGCTGTCCAACCAGTGGTCCAGTGGATTTGGAGGGCATATTCGAACATCGAACTCATGGATGGTTCTCGTCCAAAGGGGGCTCATCTGGCGCTAAGATCAGGCATGAACAAGAATTGGAGACTCTTTGTATTCTACAAAATGATTGGCTTTTCGTTCTCAGCTCCGGTATGTTGTGACTTCTCCGATCAGCTCCGAGGTGCCAGTGCCCGGAAATATGTTGTTTGGGATACTCAACACGAGCAGGAGGGCCAACGGCTCCATGTGTAGAGCATTTGTGACGCATTGAATGTCATGGCTACGCAGCCAACGAGAGAGCCTGCTGAACTGTGCAGTTTTATCCTTTCTAGGTAAACGGCCGCTCCCCGGAATCTATGGGATTTGGCATACCACCTGCACGAATAAAGAGGAAGAAAAGCGAGACTCGTTGTAGATGGTCGACCCGCTGGCAAATCCATCACGGTGATGGATATGTTAGTAGGACCAATCTTTGGGCATGGTGCCAGGAAGCCGTCACTCTCAACGGAAAGCTTCTGTGGGTGGTCTGTATTTGAATTCCCTGGGCGTGAGCATCCACCTCCGGACCCGGTAAACTAGGTGTGATATCACAGGAAGTGGACTCAGAAATCAGCCTCAATATGAGCGGGCCCACAAGGCAACGGTGTTTTCCCTATTGTGCTGGCACTAATGAAATTCTTGCGTAAATACCACCAGCTGCTGCATACTTACTGCAAAGTAAGCTGACTCAAAATCCATGCATCTTGCATTCTTGCAAAAACTCAGCTCTAGATGAGCCTGGCATGTCGAGTTCTCAACGGCCGTGGACCACCGTACAATTATCTCGGTCTGATGTCACCTTAGGCTCCACCTGCATGTCTGCATCTGCGCAGACTGGAACACATATGAGTCGGGACGCCTAAAGCCCGGTGAATGCTCGTCGCTTCTCCGCTTCGAACCGCGAGACAAACATTCTAGGGGCACGTTCAGCAGACTGACTGGTTGGAATGTCTCTGGCGCTACTGCAACGACTTGCTACCATTACTGTATCGAAAACACCGCCTAGTGGATCTGTAGAGAGCCATACCCATAGAACACGGACGGCAAGCAAACCTAGCACGGTGTGTCCTGACCACTTCCGCATGTTGGAAAAGGGGGAAAATTCCCCGATTAGACCCGCGAGGAAGGGCTTCAAAGCGTTGGATATCACATTGGTCGCCTTAATTATTTTTATTGATTTTTTATTTTCTTTTTTCATTGTTACACCTTCATGTCCAGGAGGACGAGGAATGCCAGTTCTGTCAGGCAGCCCTGGCCCACAACAAAGGTATAAATACATCGAAGTATCTCCCCCAGAATCCCATCTTCCATCCTCATCAACAGCAAGCCTCCGAACAATCCACAACCCCAATCAAAACAGCACTCTTCTTTTCCATCCCACAACACCAAACCCAACTCTTCCAAAATGAAGCTCATCGCTATCGTCTGCACCCTCATGGCCGCTGCCTCCGTCAGTGCCTCCACCATCGAGGCCCGTGATACCTGCGGTGCCGGCTACGGTGGTGACCAGCGCCGCACCAACAGCCCTTGTGCCTCCTCCAACGGCGATAGGCACTTCTGCGGTTGTGATCGCACCGGCATTGTATGTCCACGCTTGTCTGCTTGAAACAGCGTGCCCCGTTTACTAATATCTCTCGCCACGAACAGGTCGAGTGCAAGGGTGGCAAGTGGACTGAGGTCAAGGACTGCGGCAGCGGCACCTGCCACGGTGGCAACCAGGGCGCTGCCCAGTGCTAGAGCGAGAGCGGCGCGCGTCTTGCCAGTTGAATTGGACTGGTATGTCTATTTCTCCACCCTTTCGCGGGACCATCTACAATAACGGTGGTACTGACTTGACGTTCGCGGATAGGTCCCGCGACAATGGCCGCTGCTGGGGAAAAGTAGTTGGGAAGATTCAACATCGGACCAATTGACTGGCTTTTTGGCGGAACTTGATCCAGAACTGAGGCTTGGACTACTGTGTTACTCGTCATTCTTTGATCCTTCTATAGTGTGCATATATATACAGTGCTGTTTGCCTGACTTCTGACTTGGATGTCATATAGATCGTAGTGACACTATTCCCAATGTGGAGTGATAGACCCCCACGGTGGTGATTGCTGATCCTTGGTGTTGACATTCCATATCCGGTTTAGCATGGTCCCCCCGACCAACCTTATCTGTACCTGATTTCAAGCTTCCTTTCATCTCTCTTTCCAGAGATTCCATGTTGACTACACCTCAAAACACCCCATCTTTTGCACCAATCTGATTTGTTTTTTGTTGAGGATATCAGTCGGTCCAAGCCCTCCCAAGCTGCCGTTCGGCTTTTTGATGCAGTGGTCAAGATTTTCAATATGCCTCGTGGGTCACTGGAAAGTCTGCCCCGCGAGATATCGCTACAGATATTGGAGGTGCTAAACTATGAGCATCCGCCAAGTCTGTTGGCTGTCGCCTGTACCAACAAGCACTGCTATTCACTTGCCACTCCGCTGCTCTTCCGGACACTCAAAATTATTTATGGCGGGCCTCGAAAACTGAGTATCGATGTACAGAGATACACCGAGATGCTGTCACGGTCCGCGAGCTTTCGACACGTTCGCCGTCTCCTGATCTCTAGCGATCACTATGACCATGACCATGACCAGGATTATGATGACGAGTGGGAACGTGACTATCAATGGAAACGATCGAAAACATCGCGAGTAGAGCGTGGCGAAAGTGAAGAGTCGATATTTGAGCCACATGATCGTAGGGTCCGTTGGCACAGGGACGACGTGCAGCCCATCCGGGACGTCCACAAGATGGATGATAAATGGAACCCACTGGAAATTTTCTTGAAGACGCTGCCAGGTCTGACGGATCTGGTATTTGAATGCCGCGAGCTACTTCCCCCTTGTGTCCTAGAGACTCTTCATCACTATCGCCCGGAGTGTCGGCTCCATGTTGATCTTTCAAACCTTCCCTGTCTATACGGGCATCCGGTTCATATTCATGAACTTGCACTTCTACGCTCCGAGTGTCTTTACGCTATCATGATTAATTGCGAGGAAGACGATCGCCATGATTCAGATGGAGCTACCAGTCATCATGCAGATGCAGTCCAACAATTGGTGGCGGGTGTAGCACCCAATCTGAGGGAAGCCTACATGCTTTTTGATTATACAAGTAGCCATGATGGAACACGGGATGGTTTAAATTCTCGAAAAGGGCTTGATCTCAAGCACAAGGGACAAATGCTCTCGCAGAGACGACTTGCCTGTCTGCAACTCGAAGATGATTATACACAATTATCCAAAGGCTGGATGGAGTATTGGGCGGTCAGCACAGACTTTTCATCGTTGAATATCTTAAAGCTCTGGTCGGATGCCGAGGAGGATATGTTGAGATATCTCATTGCCAACCACAACTTCGGGTCACTTCACACGTTGCTTTTGACCCTGCCGTCGGCCTTTAGTCCCCGGATATCTGGAAGCTACCATGACACAGTTGCTGATTTTCTCCTCAGCCTTCCCCCATTGTCGAACCTCACATTACGAGAGTGGAGACGTGGCCTGCTATTAGATGCAGCCATCTCATATCATGGGCCCAAACTGCGTAAGCTTTGTGTTTCGCCATTTGATGATGATGTCTTTAAACTAGAAAATGTTAAGCAACTGTCTGTGTCTTGTCCTCTGCTTGAAGAGTTGGAGCTCCCGCTCCACAGATCCAAGGGTGACTCCACGGAAGTATTGACCTACCAAGCCCTGGGCTCGCTCCCTTCACTAAGATGTCTCAACCTGACTCTTGATGCGTCGAATCGAAGCGTCCTAGACTCCGGGGTGAACTCCGACGGAGAGCCCATAATCCCGGACGATCCCGCCTTCGACGAGTTTGACCGGGCGTTCTTCACAGGCGACCGATTTTCCCACCCGGGGATGCAATACCACGGCATCCAGCGCTTTCCCCGAAATGGCCACATCCGAGACTCGCTTATCAATAGCGCCCTGGACCAGACACTCGCGCGTGACATCTTCCGTGCTGTATCCTCGGGGAAAAAACCATCCTCGATACCGTTCGAGACGTTGTCCCTGACCATGAAAGGTGGAAGCGACTTGGGCGGCGACCCGCAACTATTAGCGGGCTTAACCCGGCTGGTCCATCGCCTGAACCGCCCGTTCACAGTCAAGCGTAATCTGCGCGATGATCGTTGCGATGACTTAATTATCAGGAGACACAAACACACTGATTACAGCGACATTTACTCTGCCAATGCACAAATCACACCCTACGAAGATATTTTCTGCCGCGTCTGGCCTGTCAGCCAGCGCCATCGCAAGAAATGGTGGAAGAGATGGCACGGCCTACCTTTGGCGGAGCTGCCTGCGTCGGGATTGGATTCTTAAGCTGTGTTTAAGTACACATGGCTGCACTGAGGTAGAGGAAGCCCATCAAAGATCTGCTGAAATTGCCGTCCACCGTCCTTCTCGGTCACTCATCCTTGGAATTACAAAAACTGTTCCTAATTAAACCCAACCCCTTTCACATATAGGTCTCTCCAACTTCGTTGAGACCAACCAACAGCCCTGTTTGCAACCGCAACGAAAGTCCCGTGAACATACCTTCCTCCTGGTCGGAACTCGCACAGCAGGAGTTCAGATTATCTTGGTGATATCCGTGTTTCATGCCATAGCCGCTTTCCTACATTTCATTCGCGGGCACATTGTTCGTCTTTAATGTTTTGACGCACACGCCGAGTCTGAATCACAGGTTTTAGATCCACATGGCCTAGTGCAACGATGATAGCTTCTCCTCAATCGCAGTTGCTGACGTGGTTGGCATGAGGTTGTAACGAGTTCTACCGGCCAGATAGGCGAGCAAAGGCTCATTCAGCACCGGAAACCATCATCAAATTCTGGTTCTATGGGAAGGAATATTGATCTCACATTGCTTTATTGGCGTAGTCTATTACTTGGACAAATCAACGACCTATATGGGTGGAGCAGGGTTCTAGATAAACCGGCTCTTAGGAACCATAAGCGTGCGGCCTGTCCCGCCTGGATTATTTTCTGCACAATTTCATCCTGCCACTGTCAAAAGTTTGGTCTCTTGATGTTTTTTTGGCGTTTATGAAGCTACATCTAGATATGGTTCAGTTGATTAGGCAATGGATCGACAATGATCACGACTGGAATCAACACGGAAGTATAACAGACGTTGATATGGGGCTAAACTGGTTTGGCTTGAACGGTCTTTCCACGTGGTTCGATTCCTATATTCAATATGTTTATTTTTACTTTCCCATCAATTCCTGTACATCTTTGGATTCAGGAATATATCAGTCCAACCAGGTCTGATGCCCAACGGCAGAGACCGATTATGCCGGCACCCACCGCCTTCCGGGGGGCGAATTTCGGCTTCCCGTCATCAACATGCGCGGCTTCTTCCCATCTCCTGATCACCTTTTACCCCTAATTTCTCTGCAGTTCACTTCATTTGCTTCTTCTTCGGTTTTCTCAGCGCTGTCTCTCTATTTTCTGTCAGTCACAAATTCGTCAACAAGTCTGGAACTTGAACAAGAAAAAATCGCCTGACTACTCCCCCCAGTCGCCATCCGCCTGCCATGTCAACGTGCTGTTGAGGAGGATCGTCTTTCACATTTATAGACCTTTTGGAGGTCATTCACATACAGATACCATTATCTCACATTCTAATACCCTCTGATTCGCCGATATGGTTGTCTTTCGATCGAATAAATTGCGCAACATCTTCTATGCGGTCACCGCCTTGATTGTGGTCTGCACCATTTACCTCAATTGGACGCCAACTCCGGCCTCTGTTGTCCCCGTCACGGTTTTTGAAGTCCCGTTAAACGAACGACAGGCGGCTTTTTGGAAGGCCTTCAAGCCCATCCTTGAATCGCACGCGCCCGGTACCTCCGAGCCAACACTTCGGGAACCCGCCCCCGCCCAGTACTTCAATGCCTCGACAACCGAACCCCGACCCGACCTCGTCACCCTCAGCGATGGCGACCTACACGCGATGGAGGAGGCGCATGCCAAATACCTCCACGAAGTGAGCACGTCGAGTCGGCTGCGCCCGGTGCATTCGGCCGGTACACGGGGCTTGGTGACAACAGCGGGACAGACCTACCTGCCCGTGTTCATGGCGGCTCTTCGGATGCTACGTCGCACGGGCTCGAAACTGCCGGTCGAGGTGTATATGAGGGACGGGGGCGAATACGAGAAGCACATCTGCGAGCATATCCTTCCCACCATGGGGGCACGCTGCCTCATCCTGTCCGACGTCATGAGCAAGGCCGCCATCGAATACTACCAACTGAAGGTCTTTGCCGTCCTGTTCTCGTCCTTTGAGGAGGTCATCTGGATGGATGCGGATTGCTTTGCGCTAGACAAGCCGGAGATCCTGTTCAACAATGAACCCTTCAGGTCGAAAGGGCTGGTTACGTGGCCTGACTTCTGGGCGTCGTCCGTGTCGCCCCAGTACTACAAGATCTCCGGCCAACCGGTTCCTCCCATGACGGAACGACAGTCGACGGAGACGGGGGTCTTTCTCGTCTCCAAGAAGACCCACTGGAACACGCTACTCCTGGCGGCGTATTACAACTTCTACGGCCCATCGCATTACTTCCAACTCCTGTCGCAAGGCGGACCGAGCGACGGCGACAAGGAAACGCTACTCCACGCCGCCTCTGCCGTGGGGAAACCGTTCTACGCCGTGAGTGAACGCGTGCAGGCGATCGGGCACGACAAGGAGGGCGAGATCTCGGGCTCCGCCATGGCGCAGTCCGACCCCCTTGCCGACCATGCCCTGACCAGCGAGGGCAAATGGCGGGTCCAGGATCCGGCCGTCGCCAACCCCCCGCGAGTGTTCTTCATCCACGCCAACTACCCCAAGTTTAACCCTGGTGAGGACGTTTTCGGGACATCCTTCGAGACGACGCCTACCATTAAGCCGGATGGCAGCGAGGGCCGGGCGTGGACGGCGCCGGCGGACGTGTTGACGCGGTTCGGTTCCGACGCGGAGCGGTCGTACTGGGAGGAGATCAAGTGGGTCAGCTGCAACAAGGAGGTCGACTTCAAGGCGTGGAAAGGGAAGGGCGATGTCTGCAGGAATGTGGAACACTACTGGCAGAGTGTGTTTGCGGAGCCGCACGACGACGATCCCAAGTTCGTGGCCGGTTGAGATTTCTCCCCACTGTACGCTTGAGCCCTTGCTACCTGGAAGATCTACCTACGACCTGCCTGGACACCTTCACTGGACCTGGACCTAGACTTGAACCTAACGTGGACATCCGTGCATGACATCCTGTTACGAGCAACGACTACTGAATAATCCGCTGTACCTAATCATCCCCCGACTTCTTATGTATATAATAATCAGACGAAGCAGAACATAGCAGATCAAGATCATTCAACGTATCATTTCATTCATGAACCCGGAATGGAAAACAGCACATAATACCCTAATACATGCTAAAACCTGGCACAGCCAATCAACCAATCAATCAATCAATCACCATAACCCAAACTCCCATCCTGTTCACGTTTGCTCGTATTATGCAACCGTTTCAAATCGACATTTTTTTTAGGAAATGCAAGACCTTTACGCGGCTCCCTTCTTCTTCAGGATCTCCTGCTCCTCTTGCTGGATCTCCTTGTCAATCTTGGCGCCTTTGGAGGGCTCGTGGCCGTGCAATACCGCCTAAGACCATTAGTCGCCATACATGTCATACAGTGATAGAAGGAACATACCGGCTTCGTGGGATCCTGCTTGCTCAGCTCCGCCTCGGGATCATACTCCCGGTTGTGGTGATGGCTGGGGTCGTCCTTGCGCTCCTGCGCGTTGAGTCTGTTGGCGATGGAGCGTCCGTCCTCTGCGTTTCGTTAGTGTCTCTCCTGTGAATCCATATGGATGAATAGATGGTGGACGGTGGTGACATACTCGAGTCAAGGTTCTTGTGGCTGTGGGGCACACCCTCCTTGTAGGGCTCGTGCTGCTGCTGGGCCTCGGCGCGAGAGATGTTACGCTGGTCACCGGCGACGTAGAGGTTGCCGGCTCCGACATTGGACTGCGTCTGCGACATTGTGGTTGTGTTTGGTGAGGAGAAGTAGTGGATGAGGAAGGAGAGAATGTTGATAGTATAGAGAGTTTCGTTGAGGTAGATTGGATGTGAATGGGTGTCCAAAGACGACGACATCGTCTCGCTTTATGTTAACTTACATGCCCATGACATCATATCCTGGGTGGGTTGGTCCAAGTCGCTGAGATCATAGAGTGGGTCCACACACAACCTGATAGTGGTTGTTCCTTCCAGTGCTTCCACTGTGGAAGCTTGGAAGGGTTGTAGATTGTGGATTGGTAGTGGATGGGCTTGTGTCATGGTTTCCATTTTTGTTGCTGGTTTGACTGGGTATTGATCTTAATCTTGCGGAGGGGTTATGATATCATGGATTTTGACCTCGTTTTCTTTCGTTGTTTTTCTTTTCGCTATGCTTCTTGTGTGGTCGTTTTGATTCTGTTCTTTTCATTCTGTTTCTCTTCTTTTCGGTTTCTTTCCCCTTCCTTTGGTGCTGTATACACTGGATATGAGGGTTGATGTTATCACGTGCTCGACGCGACTATTGACAACATCCGGATCATTCAGTCTAGATATACAATGAGTGAAGACCTGTTAGGATGATATCTTGAATAATATCTTCTGAGGCTGTTATGGCATATTGATTGACTCCAGACAGATAGCCATCACTTTAGCATTCCATACTATAAGCATGATGCGACAGTCGCTCGTGCGCTGTAAAGATGGATATACGGTAGATCAGGCACGCCAGTCTACTTCATACTGATAAATCTTTAAAGCAATACTAGAAGTACTCTTCAGATGGTTTCTATTGATTAACCTGCTCTCGAATGATATGAAAGATGGGCTACTTCTTCACATACTCAAATGACATATTTTCCAACTCCGAGTCAATCATAGTTATCACACCTCTAATAAAAGATTCATCTACTGTAGAGCTATCACTCCTACAATAGTAGAGCATCGGGCATAGATAAATTTATAACATAGGATAAAGACTAATATCAAACCAGGTATGTACAAGAGCGAATTGAGAGAAATCCTCCAAAACAACTTGTTCACTTCCCACAGTCAACCCATCTTCACAATCAAGCACCCAACCCTCTCCACGCCATACTAAACTTTTTCGATCTCCTTCGCATGACTCTCCTCCCACGGATGCTCAACCTCCACCGACCGGATCAGCGCCTCATGCGCCTCACTCCGCGGCCGAACCCGCAACTGGTACGGCTCTGGATGGCTCACCACGCCCGGCAAGAACCCCGTCTCCTCCCCTGCTCCCTCTGTTTTTCCGACATTGAACACTGCCAAAGACTGCGCAATGCTCAGAAAGATGGTATTATCGGCGAGCAGCTTCCCTGGACAAATGCGTCGACCGAACCCAAAGGACAGCGTATGCGGGTTCAGCTCAGGAGTCGGGCCCAGGAAGCGCTCTGGTCGGAACTCCATCGGGTCGGGGTAAACGGATGGGTCGTGCGTGATGGCCCTGTTTTTCACACTGTCAGCATTGCCATGTTCATTATGATAAGTGGGGGAGGAATAATAACCAGATGTTTGGCAGAATCAACGATCCCTTCGGGATCCGATACCCCGAGTACATGTCGTCTTGGGTACACGCGTGCGGGATCCCCATGGGCGCGACGGGGTGCCAGCGGAGAGTCTCTTTGACGAGAGCGTCAATGTAAGGTAGCTTCTCGCGGTCGGCGTAGGTGGGTAGTCGGTGCACGCCTACCACCCGGTCGATCTCCTCTTGGGCTTTGCGTTGCGCGTCTGGGTTGCGCGCTATGGCGAGGAAGAAACAGGCGAGGGAGGAGACGGTCTAGGTTGCATCGTCGTCATTAGTGCTGTGCTTCCCTGGCTGCTGATGCATGCGTGCATGGGATGTGGTCTTGGTAGGACAATGGGAGGGAATGGATATGACCTGAGGGACATACCGTGTCGGCGCCACCCAGGTATAACGATGCAGCCGTCCACTTCGCGACTCGCGCTTCCTCTGTTGTCCACTGGCCAGAGTCCTCTTCGAGCAAGCTGGCAACATACGAAGGGGTGTATGTCCCCCGTCTCATTTGCTCCTCCGCGAACCGGTAGGGCTTTTCAATCGTGTTGAGGAGGGTCATTCGCCATGCTGCCGCCGTCTTCTTGAACCCAGTTCCTGGAAACCAGCTGGGAAGGTGTTTCACTAGTTTCACGATTGGTATCGTTATCATCTTCATCCTGTCGGGCGACGGTGGGTTGCCTTACACCAGGGGATCGTATCCACCAACCATATTCCCGGCGTCCCCGCTATTGAAAACTTTGCCATGGCATCGTTGGCCATTTCAACGAGCGGATCGCGACCGTGTGGCTCGATCGTATACCCGTATGCGATTTTCAGGATCACCGCTCCCGCTTCTCTGGTAGCCCGTCAATATGAGTTCGCCAGATCCCACCCATACTCATACTCGGGAATAGGAAAAGTATCAGGACCAAGAAATGGACGAGAACATACGTCCGAATATGCTGCACCAGATCATTTGGGCGATCGAGAACCCGCAGCAGAAACCGGCGGACCTCGACCTCCTGCAGCGGGTTAAAGCGCGCAGCGGTCACTTTGGACCCCAGAACGCGATGCATTACCTTGCGGTAGGTGCGGAACCTGTCCGAGTAGGGTTGCATGGCAGTTATATCCTCCCAGCCGATCCTAAATCACATGTCATGCGCCGGTTACTGACCATACGGGTCGAATAGAAAGACCGGTGCGATAGGGATGGGTGGGGAGACGGACATTTCGCCGGCAAACGTCATGCGCGGCCGCGAGGAGTAGATGGCTGAGCGCTTTTCCATTAAGTCGAAGGCGGCTTGAGCGTCATTTATGATGACGATCGTCTGGCCGAGGATGGTAATGGAGCTGATGGGGCCTGTTCAATCATTGTTGGTGGTTGACTCGGATGGCTGTTTTGTGACGAGGCAACAGGCAGGCTGGGGGCAGAGTCTACCGTATAAGTGCTTGAACTTGGCCCAATGTTCCCAATCCTTCGTCCCCGGCGGCGGCAGATCCCCCAGGTTGCCGATGAGAAGCTTGCCCTTGGGTCCCGGGGGCAAAGGGGATTGGTTCGATCGAGACGACAGCAGCTGCTTCAGGACATACAGCACTGCGAGTCCTAGGAGGACACTGGCCAGACTGGCGAGGCCCATGATGGCGGTACTTGATATCTTACTGGAAAAAGATAACGAAACTGATGGCCGACAATCATCAGAGTTAAACAAGAAATGGCCCAGCTTGACCAGACGTGACTGAGAGCAAGGACCAGGTTTATCTGTTTAACAGGACCCAGGTTCGCGGGAGGTTCCTTCGCTCCTCTGCTGATTAGGTGCCTTGATTTGATCGCCATGACCCTCGGGGCAGCGTTCGTCCCACGCAAGGGGAAGGGGGACAGCTATCTCCCCACCGTGAAGCGGGGACGGGACGTTTTCCGTCCATCCGGATGCTTGGTCTCCATGCGATGTGGGGTCATGTCCAACGTCCGAGCGATGACAGGTCTATGGAGCCAGTGGTGCAAATGGACGGGTGTGACGATCATCCCACCATTTTGATCGTGGCATAGTGCCGAGTTTAGACTAGAGTGGTTCCGACAAAAGGACTGAACAATCAGCATTGGTTGAAAAGTCAGCGAGGACGCCAGTCGAGATCGGCAGACTTAGGGTTGCCCGGTCGCGCCGCCTGTCAGGGATGCGCAATCGATGCACAGGGCGATTTCATTGTCAAAAGAGCCACTCTGAACAATGCTATGATTATCAGCTCACCAGATATTTCTCGCATAATTGACTGACATCCGGCGAGCATCCAGTAATAACTGCCGTGCCCCTGGTCGAGGTGTTCGTGTTGGAGGCGCGACACGATGTCCTCCCCCGCCTGGGACTTTTCACCGGATTGACCGACCTGCGCGATAAAAACCTCTTGTCCACAGTCCCCTCCTCCCCCTTATCTGGTAAAGTTTTGTTGACGGTCCTAACGGACTGGGTGCACAGAGCAATTGCCTCTCAACAGTGTTGAAAACGTCCCACTGCACGACGACAGATCCAACATGCATCTGTAGCACCCTCGCTGGCAGGAGCTTTGGGCATGTCGGCGCTGATCATGGTCAGTTTACGAGTGGTCCAGCGTGTTTGGATCAAGAAGTCGTTTGGATGGGACGATGGACTGATCTTGATGGGGTTTGCCTGCGCCGTGCCTCTCAATGTACTCGCGTTTCCCTGTATGTTACATACTCCAATCTCAGGGCTACAGCTGATCTGATATCCGTGCCCTGGATGACAGTACAAGCATATGACCTGGGAACAAATATCACCATCTGCTTCGGCGTCTTCAACACCCTCGTCATGATCTTCCAGTGCACGCCCGTCGATTACTTCTGGACGAGCTGGACGGGCGAGACGAGCGGTACCTGCATCGATATAAACGTCATGTTTTGTACGTCTTTCTTTCTTTCCCCTTTCCGCTCCACGGTGGTGCTGTATGGGTGGTGGGCTGATTTAAATAGAATCACGATTGTAAGCTGTTTACGCCTGCATGCTAATATCAATCCATCAATCAAGAATGTTTTGTTTTGATTATCGATGAATTCTCTTCTATATATCACGATGGATCAACTATAGACTGGAATATATGCTCTCTATAGCCGGTACATATTAGCTCTCAACCATAGATATTAGCCCCATTGGTACAACCCAAACAGTAATATTGACCCTCCCCAATCCTGAATTTCTCTTGGAATCAATACATATAACAAGATTTCCGGAGAGTAGAGTTGTTGACTGTCGAATCCTTATAGAAAGAGCGATAAGACGAAAGCGGTTTAGCGCGGGGCCGGAGCAACTTTTTCGACCGCCGATAAGATTTGTCTTCATATCTTCATCTTCATCTCCTCAATCAATTAATTCCAACACCAACAATTGATACAGTATACACAATGGTCAAGCGCAAGCAAGTCAAGGACGGCGACGTCGACATGGAGGGTACCGACCCGCGTGTTCGAGCGGAGGACTCGGACGACGAGGTATACCCCCCATCTCATCACACCATTCCCAAGGAACGACTGCTAACCGCGCAAATCAATGATGTAGGACATTGACATGGTGAATGTCGACTTCGAATGGTTCGATCCTCAACCGGCTGTCGACTTCCACGGTCTTAAGAACCTCCTCCGTCAGCTGTTCGACACCGACGCCATCGACTTTGACATGTCTGCTTTGGCGGACCTGATCCTGTCGCAGCCGACGCTCGGTTCGACCGTCAAGGTGGACGGCAATGAGTCGGATCCGTATGCGTTTCTGTCTGTTCTGAATCTGCAGGAGCACCAGGTGGGATACCTGAAATATGTACAATGGTCTCGCTCAAACAATCTAACAAAGTTGCAGGACAAACCCGTCATCCAAGACCTCACGCGCTACCTCCACCGCAAAGCCCAATCCACCCCCTCGCTCGCCCCCCTCGCCAACCTCCTCTCCCAGTCCCCCCCGCCCCCCATCGGCCTCATCCTCACCGAGCGCCTCATCAACATGCCCTCCGAAGTCGTGCCCCCCATGTACACCATGCTGCAGGAGGAGATCGCCTGGGCCATCGAAGACAAGGAGCCCTATAACTTCTCGCACTACGTCATCCTCTCCAAGACCTACGAGGAGGTCGAGTCCAAGCTCGATCAGGAGGCTGCCCGCCCTCAGAAGAAGAAGAAGAAGTCCGCTGAGAGCGGTGTTGAGCGCTTCTATTTTCATCCGGAGGATGAGGTGCTGGAGCGACATGCGCTTTGCTCGGGGTCGGTGTCCTATGATCATCTCGCCGATGAGGGGCTGTCGGATTCGAAGCGCGCGTTTCAGGAATTGGGGATCCGGACGGGTGGGAGCTTGATGTTGCTTGAGGGGGGGAAGTTGGAGGGGGCGGTTAAGGATATGGCCGAGTATATGAGGGGTGGTGCATAGATCTTGCGTCTTCTTCTTTTTTTTCCTATTTTCTTTTTTGCTTTTTTTCTTTCTCGCTGTCTTCTTCTCGTGTTATAATTCCTTACAGCTTATGATCGGTAAAGTTAGCCTGTCTATAGATCTATTCCTTCCCACGTGACGCGTGATTCTATCGTTCCTCGTAATATACATCCCTTATTCCCACTGCGTCCCCTTCAGCCGCTGCATCAGGTAGTCCACCTCGACCACCTTAGTCAGGGGGATGACGCATTCCTGTACTGTCAGTATCAATTGTGTTTGGCGGGGTTGCTGGGAGGGGGAGAATACCTTATACATCGACACCACGGCATTCACGTTGAGTTTCGGCCCCTGCTCGGACGGGAAAGCCGGATCGGTCCCGTAGGTCTTGGCCTTGAGCGCCAACCGCTCCAGCACCTTCTGCTCGACGGCAGCGTTGGTAATGGCGGCATCGATCCCTTCGCGGTCATTCGCCTTGATCAACCGGACAAAGGTCTCCGGATCGTGCTGGAACTTGGCCTCGGCGACGAACTTGCCGAAGTGGATGCGTCGCGAGAGCGCCTGTAGCACGCTGACGTCGCATGTCGCCGCGGACCCGTAGTTCTCCTGGGTCTCGCCACGGTCGGCGCGCCCGAAGCCCGGACACACGGCCGGCAGGATGTCCTCGACGTAGCGCTGCTTGATGGTGGCGTTGACGTTGACGTCGTTGTCGTGCAAGATCTTGGGGTAGCGCAGCGGTTGCAGGATCGGGGTCTCGAGCACGTCGGGGAAGAAGGGGTACTCGTCGGGGGCTTGAAAGCGACGGACTTTGGACTGGAGACGTTCCTGTTCGCGCAGCAGGTAGTCCATAAGGCTGACATCAGTGCCGGGAATGTTGACCCCGCCGGCGAGGTAGACGGGTCGATTGAGTGGGAATTGCACCCGCTCGATGAGGTGGAAAGTGATGGTATCTTCCAGGCGGCTAAATCATTATTAGTATCTTTAACATTGAAGTTATACCACTATATGAATATGGTATTGAACGTGATGGGTTGTTCCACAGGCATGCGAGCAACCGCGGGGTAGGCATTCCGATCGGATAAGGAGCATCTTACATGAGCTGAAAACGGATGTTGGCCAGATCCAAGGCCTTGGAGGCGTCGGAGAGATCGATTGCGGCGTCCATGATGTCCCTTGAGAAGGATTGATGATTGAATAATTATAGAGTAGAGTCGGATTGGGGAGGAAACTCAATTCATCCAAATGCGGAGGAAAACTCGGGGTGATGGAAGGGTCTGAGGGATCCAATGAGGATTGACAGAGGAGGAATTGTAGGATGGAATGGCTCGCGTTGACAGGGATCAATCCAGTAACTAACCTGTCGATCACGTAGGGGGGAATTAAGGAACGAACAGCGTGAAGAGAAAAGATGAGGAGAAGAAGAGGAAGAAGAAGAAGAAGAAGAAGAAGAAGAAGTCGGCGATGAGAAGATGAGAAGATGCAGGTACAAGTGGATAGCTTAGTCGGGATCTGACATATGCTTATGCGTGATACCACAGCACCCTAGACGCCTGAATATATTCTAATTATCGGCATATAATATATCCAGATATATATTCTGGAATCTCCATGATCAATAGATTTATAACATCTCTATATATCATTATATATTCTATCATGTTCAACCTAGTTTGACCTCGGCTGTTCACGATCATTCCGATTCTTCTCTCTATACTTCCCTGGGCCAGAGTCTCCTCCCCAACCATGGAAACCGCTCGGTCAGAGGGTCATCTCCATGAGAGTCAATCTACCAGAATACACCGAATCGGGGACATTATCATAATCATATTATAGAATGATCGATATTATAGACTCATGTTCAGGTATTGATATCCCGGTGATACCATCCCATACTGTATATTACCACCATATTCACCCCGAATCTCCCCGACCAAACCGCCCCCATACCGCGCTAGTAACCAACCCAGCCAACTTTCTTTTCCATCCCGAAACTCCCATCTTGACCGCGTCACATCTTCTTCTCTTCTCTTTTCTCCCCCTCGATCTCGATCTCTCTTCTTTCCTCCCCACCTCCTTCTTCGGACGACTCAACTCGTCTGACCGTCACCAAACCCCACTAGCCGTTCCCGCATGGGTCTCTGAATTCCTCCGTGAGATCTCTTCAGGCGGTGTCATGGATAGACCCCGCCGGGATGAGTCGCCTTCCGGTCTATCGGACATTGTCGAGCAGGACGGTCTCTTAGGAACCGGCATCACCGTCCGTCTTTTCTCCTCCTCCTCCTCCTCCTCTTCAATTTGGATGCACCAACTGATCGATTCCCATTAGGGCCGTCAAATCGAGGCCTTTGGCCGAAAAGTCACTTCCACCGCAGGCCACTTGATGGGACCGACCCCCGACGTGGCCAACCCCCCCGGTCACTACCACCATGCCATGGCCGACATCCAGCGCGAGCTGCGCCGTCCCAACACCCAGCGTCGGGTCTTCTCCCTGACCCAGACCACCCCCACTGATCTGGTCCGCTCCAAGCTATCCACCTCCGAAATTCAATCCCGCGCCCTCTCCTCCCTGCCCGACGACCTCCTCGCCAACATCCCCGATGACTCCAGCTCCTACTCTCTCTTCGAGGGGTTCCAGGTCTCTCAGGATGACTACGAGTTCCGCAAGGCCCACCGCCGACGCTCCTCCAAGAGCAAGAAACTCCTCGAAGGCGGCGACTCGCGCGCCGCCCTTCCCTCCGGCCCCGCCGAACTCAAGCAGGAACGCGACCTGTTGGCCCGCCGCATGGAGCGCATGGGTGTGCGCAAGAACATGTGCAGCTCTGAGATCCACGACATCGACAACAAGATCGCCAATCTTCATACGATGCGCAAGATTGTCCTCGACCGCTTGGCCGGTCTCGAAACGGAGGAGGCGGATCTGGAGCATGAATGTACTTTTTTTTTGATCTTCCTTCCTTCTTATGAATCACACTAATTCACCCAGTGACCGAGCTGGAGAACAAATTGGAGGATATCGAGGAGGAAACCACCCCGACCCCCTCGGAGACCTCCAAACCCGCCGAAAGCGCCGACGAGGCCCCGGCCACGGAAGATCCGGCCATGGATGCCTCATTCATGTCCGAATCCATCTATCAGAAGCTGCCCTCTCCCAAGAGCATCAAGCAGCGATCCACCAGTATGCGGTTCCCCCGCGCACGGCGGAGACGGCGTCGGTTGCTAACCCATTCTCTCATCCGTTAGGGAAACGGTCCATGCCCGTCCTGCACGAGCATTTCGCCCCCGGCTCCGAGATCAAGGAAATCCAAGCCCACACCGATATGATCACGGCCCTCGATTTCGACTACCCCTTCGGCACTATGATCACCGCCGCCCTCGACGACACCGTCCGGGTGTGGGACCTCAATGTGGGTCGCTGCACCGGCTTCCTCGAAGGCCACAACGCGTCGGTCCGGTGTCTCCAGATCGAAGACAACATCGTCGCGACCGGGTCGATGGACGCGTCTGTCAAGCTGTGGGATCTCAGCCGCGCGCGCACGGTGCCCAGCCGCAGCAACATCAGCAAAGGCGGCGACGAGGACGAGGGGGAGAGCGCCGCGCCCGCCACCTCGCTGGAGGACTGCTCCGTGTTCTCCCTGGATGCCCATGTGGACGAGGTGACGGCGCTGCACTTCCGCGGCAACACCCTGATCTCCGGGTCGGCAGACAAGACGCTGCGTCAGTGGGATCTGGTCCGCGGACGCTGCGTGCAGACGCTGGATGTGCTGTGGGCCGCGGCGCAGGCGTCCACCCTGAGCACCGAGGGCCAGTGGCGGCCGTCGGGGCGCCAGCCCGATGCGTCGGCCGATTTCGTCGGCGCCGTGCAGTGCTTCGACGCCGCCCTGGCGTGTGGCACAGCCGACGGCCTGGTCCGCCTGTGGGACCTGCGCAGCGGCCAGGTGCACCGGAGCCTGGTGGGTCATACAGGGCCCGTGACGTGTCTCCAGTTCGACGACGTCCATCTAGTGACCGGCAGCACGGATCGCAGTGTTCGAGTAGGTTTCTCTTCCCCCAGGACAATGTCCTGTGTGCATGCAACTGACCGGTTAGATCTGGGATCTCCGCATGGGGTCCATCTACGACGCCTACGCCTACGATCGGCCCGTGACCAGCATGATGTTCGACACAAAACGCATTGTCTCGGCCGCCGAGGAGAACGTGGTCAAGGTGTACGACAAGGCGGACGGGCATCATTGGGACTGCGGCGCCGGCGTGGGCCTCGACGAGTCGCAGGGTCCCTTGCCGGCCACGGTGGAACGGGTGCGCCTGAAGGATGGATTCCTGGTGGAAGGCCGCAAGGACGGCATCGTGGGCGCATGGACCTGTTAGACGATCTTTACGACAGTGGGTCGGGTATACTCTGTCCCTGTGGGGGGGCCCGGTCCGACTTGTATTTCATGAGCGTTGGTCACTGTATATTATCGGAGTCACTAGCACTTATAGACGCGATGGGCGGTTTGGACGGTCATCAACTTTTCTTGTTCCTATACCGGTTCATCTACACAATGACTCGAGTGTAACATCTGGTTGACTCGACAAAGACGTCGAGACACAAAGAGCGCCTCGTCTCAGGTATTTTAGGGTGCCAGATTAGTGGGTGTCCTGCAGGATTCTGTACACATGAAAAGAAAGAACAAAGAGTAGAGAATCAAGCCACGATCAAGATCGAATCCTCGTAGACAGGTGGTTCTGCATGTATATGTTAGTCAGCATGCATAGCCAATGCATGTCCATACCGGTCTAACCTCATTCGGACACACGCCTTGCCCGATTGGGAGCGTACCTTCATCCATCGATCACTCGACTTTCTGGACTGGACGACGTTGATCGTCACCCTCATCCCACTTCTTTACAACTTTCGCAATTCCACCGATACGCGTCTAATCCCGGTCGCAACACCCTCCCGAGATCATCCCGGAAATTACATCGCGTCTCGAGCCCACCCCGTCTCGATTGTCCCGACGTTGGTCGCCGGTCCGCCGCGTCGCGTCTCGTCCGGAGAACGAAGTCCACCTCTGTTCAGAGCGCTATCCATCAGCCAGTCCCTGGTCGACACTCTGTTCGACCGATATCTATTTTAAGCCCTTTGAAAAGTGGACAAAGAAGGGACGCCATTGCATTGTTGGTCGCAACCACCTTTCATCAACTCCGTCTCTTTGTCCCCTCCCACTTGACACCACTTGTCTGTGGAGAGGCGCTGCGGCGGAGCCCACTTCATGGTCTGGTGGAATAATTAATGGGCAATCCGCTGCTGCATGTCTGATCTTGTCCTCTTCCTTCATCCATTTGACCTCGCTACTCCTGCGACTGACCGATACGACCTCGGCCGGAGCTCCAGTTGCAATCCGGAGTTCACTACCATCAGCCCTCGTCACCCCCGCTCAAGCCATACACCTTTGCTATCCTAGTTTCAGAAGTCCCAATCTCAGTCTTGAATCCTACACCATGCCTCCCAAGCGCGCGGCAGCCCGCCGTAAGGGCGCAACCCCAACTCGCCCCGAGGAACAGACTCCCGAATCCTACTTCCGTGACATGAACCCGGCCGCCAAACCCACGCTCCCCGACCTCCCCACCAAGCATTCGTTCGCCTACGGTTCGACATCGACCCCTCTGCTGCCACGCGAGCTACGGGCGCGACCTCGCATGGGTCTAGCGGAAATCGCTGATGCCATCGACGAGGGCATCCAGATGGCCCAGGAGCGTGAGGACGACCAGCACAACACCCGCTCCGCACGGAAACGGACAGCCTCGCCCGTTCGTCGGCGGGAACCCACCCCGGATCAGGTGCAGCTGATGGGCTCCCTGCAAGATGCGATGGACTCGCCTACCCCGACGCCGCCGGTGCCGCATACCTTCTCCGAAGTGTCCACCCCGGCGTCGCAGGCAGCCAACAACCTCCACTATCCGACCCCCATGATGCAGCTGGGATCTACGGCACCGAACGACGCGGACCTGGAGAGCTCGTTGCAGGTGCACTTCGCCGACAATGACTCCACTATCTCCTGGGATGTCGAGCGCGAGGTCCACGACGACGATCTGCAGCGCGTCGGGCCGACCAAGAAAGGCCCGCAGGGTAAGAACATCAGCGCGCCGCCCCGCCGGTTTTCGGGGCTCGCGTTCGTCAACGAGCCCATCGCCGAGGAGGACGAGCCGCCCTCCATGCTCTCGTCGTCCCCCTCCCCCCCACCGTCGCTCTCCAAATCCAAATCCCGCACCCCCGAGCCGGTCGTCGTCGAGTCGGTCAAACGCAAGAGTGTCTCGCCCGCCAGGCCTTCCACCAACCATCGCGGAGTATCATGGCTGTTTGGATATTTGGTCCGGATCGTGTGGGTCGTGGTGGTGGGCGTCGGGTCGATCAGCGCGGCCGTGTCGTATGGCGACGTCATCGTGGACGTCGCCCGCGACCTCTTCCCCCTGGGCCGCACGAGCCCGTCCGCCTGCCCGAGTGGAACCAAACTGGCCGCCCTGAACAGTCTCAACAATGAAGTATTCAAGCTGGGCACGCAGGTGTCGTCGCTGTCGCGCGAGGTCAAGACCATCAAGACCGAAGTGAAGAACATCCCCGCGGCCACCACGGTCGTCGAGTCGGGGGGCCGCACAGCCCAAGCCCGCACCAACTTCCTCTCCCTCGGCATGGGCGTCATCATCGACCCGCACAGAACAAGCCCATCATCTCGTATCAAACAATCATACTACGAGAAGATGTTCCCCGGCAGCATGGCCCGCAAGCCCCAGCCGGCCCTGACGGCGTTGACGCCGTGGCAGGATGTCGGCGAGTGCTGGTGCAGCAAGCCGCGCCGCGGGATGTCGCAGCTGTCCGTCATGCTCCAGCAGCGCATCGTGCCCGAGGAGGTCGTCGTCGAACACATCCCCAAGGGCGCCACGATCCGGCCGGAGGTCGCCCCGCGCGACATGGAGCTGTGGGTGCGGTTCGCCATCGTCGACGGCGCGGCCAACACGCCCTGGCACCAGGGCCTGGCCCACCTCAGCCGCCAGTCTACGCCCCTCGTCCGCGAGGGCTTCTCCCTGCACGACACCGTCATCGAGACCCTCAAGCTCGCCTACCCGGGCCAGCCCGAGTCGGCCTACTACGGCGACCCGCTCCTGGGCTTGTCGTTCTACCGCGTCGGCCAGTGGACGTACGACATCAACCGCCCGCATCATGTGCAGACGTTTGACCTCGATGCTGTCCTCGACATGCCTTCTCTAAGGGTGGACCATGTGGTGATCCGGGCTAAGACGAATTGGGGCGCGGATGATACTTGTTTGTATCGGGTGAAGTTGCATGGACATTTGTAGTATTTTTTTTGTTTCTCTTTCTGTCTTCAGCCTTTTTTTTTTTTTTTTTTTTTACAACATTTTTTTCTTCTATGATTTGTATGCTTAGTTCGTTCAGGCGCTGGGATAGGAGGACGGCGTTGCTGTTATCGGGTGATGATATCCTGGCATATAATAGACGCGTTACTATTTTTTATATCAACGCTTATTATGAAGTAAACAGAATATTGTAGAAGTCGTCTAATCCTATTAATCTTGGGAATTCACATTCAGAGTATTGTGTAGTATATGTACTCAGTATATCTATGGAAGAGAGAGATGCAATCAACCAGACCAACTGCATCCTGAAGCAGTAGTTCTCATTGTCCTGTCTTGGCCTACCTAGGCGAGCATGGCTACTATTCAGGGTTGAAAGGAGAATATCATTTCGATAGAGATATGTAGAGATAAAGTCAAGAATCAAACTCCGCATTTACCCACCCCGGCACAGGCGCTCTCGACCGCCACGACGCCCCGAACCGCTGCAACGCCGCGAGACCGCTCCCGCTGAGGACGACGACGATCAAAGCCTGGGTGGTGAAGGTCCACGTCCAGCCGGTGGATTCTTGCCAGGGGGCGATGAAGAACTATCATGCGTTAGTCTTCTATATTATATATAGACTGTAGGCTAATGTTATGATGCGTTTATACACCTATAAAAGGGGAACACACCGGGTTGATGAAGGCACTCAGATTGAGAAATACAGCGTAGAAGATGACGATGCTGGTTGATTGTAAGGGGTGGATGTCGATGATATAGCTGGTTGTGATGGTGTTGCCGATTTGGATCCCTGATGCGACTGCTTGGGTTAGTCTCGCTGTTTCTCTTTCTCTATGTCCCTCGATGGATATGCAAAATATATGGAATAGGAGGAGAAATACAGAAGAAAAACGCAACCTGTCCCACCATCCAGTGGTAACTTTTGTCAATGCTCACCCCCCAGAGGATCAATCCCACTGTTTGCATGTAGTCGTCAGTATATCCGAAAGTAACAGGTCAAAGGGGAGAAAGAAAAAAAGAAAGACGAACAAGCTGTCACTCCCACAGCAGGCCATCCCAGCCACAGCCTCATCTCGGCAACTCTGACTCCCCCATTGCGTCTTGCTAGTCTGTTTACCAGCGCGTCGCTTAATCGCCCCGAACAGCCTACCTCTGACACGACCGTCCCCACCAGTAGACCTAGGAAGAGTAGTCCCTGCGTTAGGGGTGTCCACTCTGCATACGCGGCTGGGATCATCGTGATCACTGATAGTACCCACCAGTACCATGTGAAGACGTAGCCCACTACTGTCGCCGCTGCGATGGGACACTGCGTGAAGGTGAGGATGAAGCGCTGCATGGCGGCGAAGATTGAGGGATGGCGGAGGCCGGGGATGGGGTGGATGTTGATGAAGGGGAGGGTTTTGGTCCGGGGGAATTGCTCTTTTTCTTCGTTTACTGTTCTGTCTGCGCGTGGAGGTGGTGTTTCTCTGGATTTGGGGGTGCTTTTGTCGGTGGGAACACCCTGTTCGATATCTGATGATGATGATGATGATGTGGATGTTGGTAAAGAGGTGCACTGTAGCATCAAACTCCGGGGGTATAGTGTCTCCGGCATAAAGAGCAATTCCAACACGAGAAGCACCCCGAAGAGGATCGCGTTAAACCAGTTGATCCAAGCGGCGCTGACGAGGTTGAGAAAGCCGCCGACTGAGTTGTCAGTTTATATCCTCCAACTGTTCTCGAATACACAAACATACACGTTGGGCCCAGTAATAAGCCCGAGTCAATTGCCAACACCCACAGCCCTAACTTTTGGCCGCGCTCATAATCGAAGAAGAGATCGTTGACTGTATTGTCAGTTCATATACATAGATGTATGAGGATCAAGATAAGAATGGATACCATACCCACTGCCATTCCCACCGACGACGCAGGACTCACGCCCACCCCCTGAAAAAATCTCGCCGCCATATACCCCCCATAATCGTCTGCCACAGCTGCCCCCACCGTCGAGACCAGCGCAATTACTGTCCCGACGAGGAACACCACCCGTCGTCCGTAGATGTCGCCCAGTGAGGACCAGATGAGCGGACCCACCGAGAGTCCCAGCGCCGGGAGTGCGACTGTCCAGTTGACTTGCGCGTAGGAGATGTCGAACTGGCTCTGGATGGAGGGGAAGGAGGGGACGGTGGTGGTGGTGATGTAGGTGAAGAGGAAGTATCTATCATCCTTTTAGTATTAGAGCGTGTACGTTTGTTGGAATGGTGAACAGTAAACCCACTTGAACATGACGATCCCGAGGATGCTGTTCTTTTGGAACGCGCTCCAGTTGAGTGGATCCAGTGGATCAGAGGTCGGCTGGGGATGGATGTCTCCATGTTGGATTGTCTGGGCGATACCGTCGGATTGAACGGGCAGATGCTTCTCGTCGATACCCATGGTTTGGATGAACTAGATGGACAACAGGGCCATCTACAGGTATCTGCATACCGGACATGTCTGCGATATAAACTACCCTACAGCTGTTCTGCGCCAAAGCAAGAGGATCTATGTCGAATCAGAAGACATGGCGATATCAGACTGAATTAGGGCACGCCCCTGCCTATGACATTGCAATACCCAACGCCAATCAGGCGTGGCGATAAGTCTGATATCGACATTTCTCCAGCCCTAATCCTGGTATCACTCAACACGGAATGGCCATATCAAGTCGGAAATACTAGGACCATGTACAGATGAGTTTCACCGTTTTCCTCCGGCATTGTTCGACCATCCTCTGCGCTATCGAGTCTGACCATGTACAGCGATATCGGAGTCAGGCCAGCTAGACGATCTAGATCGCGGAGAATCACGATGTCTATCGTTTCCTATTTGGGGTAATAATTGGAGTGCTGATAAGGACATCGTACATACATCCGTCCAAGCCCTAAGCAAGGAGTCTCGACGCGATCTACGGTGGGTCGTTAGAGACAGCAACGTCTAGCATTAGGCCAATTAGAGGGATGCAGTGCAATGCTTCATGCAACTATACGAACGGCCGAAGGATGGAATTGCCATTCTGCCATCATAGTCAGGTCTAGACGATGTATATCTATATAGAACGCTTTGTCTACATAGAATACTATTCTATACACAACGGTTCCTTATATAGAAGGCTTCTCTATATACGACGCTTCGTACTCTCCATCGATCACCATGTACGGCAGTTTCCCAGCTCCAGACCACTCAACAGTTGAGGATGACCCTCACGAGCAGACGTCGCTGCTCTCCCACCCCCAGCAGGAGAGCTGGATCACCGAGTTCGTGCATCTTCTCCGACAGTCCATCCCCGTTATTCTCGCCTACGCGCTGCAGAACAGTCTCCAGACCGTGTCCGTCCTCATCGTCGGCCGTTCCTCGCCGGAGAATTTGGCCACCGCTGCGTTCTCCTTGATGTTCGCCATGATCACGGCCTGGATGATTGCACTCGGCGGAACCACCGCTCTCGACACTCTGGCCTCCTCGTCGTTCACCGGGAGCGCCAACAAGCACGATCTGGGTATCCTGCTGCAGCGCGGGTTCCTCGTCCTGACGCTGTTCTACGTGCCCGTGGCCGTGTTATGGGCTTGTTCCGAGTCCGTCTTCCTCCTTCTGGGTCAGGACCCCCGACTGTCCCGCGATAGTGCACGCTTCCTTACCTGCTTGATTCCCGGCGGTCTCGGGTACATCTATTTCGAGCTGATGAAGAAGTACCTCCAGGCGCAGGGTGCGTCTCTTCCCACTTCTCTCCACCCCTGCTGAGCCCTGAGGGCACTGACCAAATTCATGTGGACAGGCATCATGCGTCCCGGGACGTACGTCCTGCTCATCACGTCGCCGCTCAACGCCCTCCTCAACTACCTTTTTGTCTACCCCCTCGGCATGGGTCTTCTGGGCGCCCCCTGCGCAACGGGCCTTTCCTACTGGCTATCCTTTGCGCTCCTCGTGCTGTACGCCCGGTTCGTGGCCGGGTCCGCCGGCTGGGGCGGCTGGTCACGCGAAGCCACCCACCACCTGGGGCCCTTTGCCCGCCTGGCTCTCCTCGGCGTCATCCACGTCGGAACCGAGTGGTGGGCCTTTGAGATCGTCGCCCTGGCCGCCGGTCGCCTGGGGACCGTCCCCCTCGCGGCGCAGAGCGTCATTATGACGGCCGATCAGGTCCTCAACACCATCCCCTTTGGCGTGGGCGTCGCTACCTCCGCGCGCGTCGGTAACCTGCTTGGTGCCCGTGATGCCCGTGGCGCGGCTCGCGCGGCCCACTCTGCTGCCGTGCTGAGCATGCTGCTGGGTGTCGTCGTCTTGGCGGCGCTGATGGCCTCACGCCATCACTTCGCGGCCCTCTTCAACCCTGACATCCGAGTTGTGCGTCTCACCGCTGAGGTCTTACCCTACGTCGCGCTTTTCCAGATTGCAGATGGCCTGAACGGGAGCTGCGGCGGGAGTCTCCGCGGGATGGGGCGCCAGCACGTTGGCGCTTTGGTCAATCTCGTTAGTTACTACGGCGGGGCACTGCCGCTAGGGATCTGGTTGGCCTTTCGTCATGACTGGGGACTCCAGGGCCTCTGGGTGGGCCAGTGCATTGCGCTGTATCTGGTGGGGGCGTTGGAGTGGGTGATTGTGGCCCTTAGTGATTGGCGTCGTGAGGTGAACCTGGCGTTTTTGCGGATGGATGAGACTCAAGATGAGGGAATGTAGAGTCTGTATCTTTGACTAGTCCACGTCCAGTAAATGAACGAATGGGTGCATATTCTCTCTTCAAATCAATTTCGTGACAAATGAAGCCTTTCTTATCAGTGTAGATAAGTGACGTCATGCTGGCGATAAGCAATTGGGCGCTGTGATTGGCCGATAAGGTCCTCCCATCAACTTCCCGATTGGGAAAGCTGTCGCTGCCTCAGGACCGTCTCCCACTCGCTTTTCTCTTCTTTCAACCTCGCAGTGTTATCTCTCAACCTCACAGCATGTCACTGCCAATGGGGGCACTGTCCGCCACATACCGTGGACCCATCGACCAGACAGACGGTCTATGCTCAAACAAGAAGTTGTGGGGAGATGCAGACTCCCATCTCCAATGCAGGACCCGCTTGCTGGAACGAGAAGTTGCGGGGAGAAGATGGTCGATCGTCTGTCGCCGATTGTCGGCCGTTGGTATCATTCTGCAGGTCGTCGACAGTCTTCTCATACGATGTTGGCTGTGGTGAAGATGCCCTATCATGCGCTTGATACGGGAATGACAACGGGAATTGGGAATGGAAAGACTCATGGAGACAAGGATGGCCGAATACAATGACGACGGTGGGGCATGCAGAGACCGCGAGGCATAAATACATCAGGATGCCTCGACTATCCTTCCCATCCATGTCCTCATCCGTGTCATATCCTGACCTCTCTTCATCATGTTTGCTGTCGCCCTTCTAGCCCTTTCCACTGCGGTGTCGGCCCACAGCAGTCACCAGACACCCTTGGCCGGTCCGCATCAGAGCCTGTGGTACAATACTCTTCCTGGGGATGGGGGCACGCAGGTATATTCTCCTGGAGCAGCAATTCATGCGGTCATGGCTCACATCTACAGGCCGACTCTGTCTTCTCCGGCATCTCCACTTTTGGGCGTCTCCCCTACTTTCCTTGTCTAGCCAGTGAAGACGAGAAATATGATATCGCCTTCCTAGGCGCCCCCTTCGACACCGGAACATCCTACCGGCCTGGCGCCCGGTTTGGGCCCAGTGGCATCCGACAAGGATCTCGTCGTCTCAATCTGTAGTACGTTCTGCACAGTGCCTACTTCTCAGTGCGCAATGCTCACACAAGCTGTCTTCAGCGGCGGATACAACGTCCCTCTAGAATCCAACCCCTTCGTCAGCGATCTGAGGATTCTTGACTGCGGTGATGTTCCTGTGACATCGTATGTCTTCGTCGCCCTCTTCCTTGTCTTTGACTAATCCCCCCAGGTACGATAACGCATGGGCCATCCAGCAGATCGAAGAAGGCCACAACAGCATCCTCATGCGCAAGCCTTACACCAATGCTGATGAATACGGCCTCTCCAAGGCCGGCAAGACCCTGCCGCGGGTTATCACCATGGGGGGCGACCACACCATTACCCTTCCTTTGCTGCGCAGCATTAACAAGGCATATGGTCCGGTTACGGTGATTCACTTTGATAGCCATCTGTACGGCCATACCTCCATATACCTGCCCATACCTCATGCTAACCAGTTAGTGACTCCTGGAAACCCAAGGTCTTTGGCGGCTCCCCCAGCAAGGTCGCCGCCATCAACCACGGGACCTACTTCTACCACGCCGCTATGGAGGGCCTCCTGAGAAACGACACCAATATCCACGCCGGCATCCGCACCACTCTGTCCGGACCTTCGGACTATGAAAACGACGGCTACTGCGGGTTTGAAATCGTCGAAGCCCGTGAGATCGACACCATCGGTAGCTCCTCCCTTCCATCCTTTCCATCTTCCCCATCACTGACACCCGTCTTCAGGCACGGATGGCATTATCAAGAAGATCCGTGATCGCGTCGGCACTGAAAACCCTGTCTACCTTTCCATCGACATCGACACTTTAGATCCGGCTTGTATGTATCTAGACACATCTCAACCCGGGAAATAAACACGAAACATGAAATGCTAACGAAGGAAAAGTCGCTCCCGGCACTGGCACCCCCGAAACAGGCGGCTGGTCTACGCGCGAACTCCGCACCATCGTCCGCGGCCTGGACGGTCTGAACCTGATCGGCGCGGATATCGTCGAGGTGGCGCCCGCTTATGATACCAATGCTGAACTTTCCACAATGTATGTGCTGCTTTTGCTAATGGTGATACCGGCTAACTGTTATGTAGGGCTGCTGCGGATGTGTTGTACGAGATTTTGACGATGATGGTGAAGAAGGGGCCGCTGTCGATTATGAGGGATGAGTTGTAGTTGTCTACTACATTCCTGACTACTGCGCTACTATACACTACTGCTGTCGCAGTATAGGGGTATAAAATTACTCACGAAGTCCAAAAGTCTTATGGTATCTTTTGTAGCCAAGTATTCTTTTCAAAATACCACTATCACAGACAACGATCAGTACAACACCGTCCACACTATCATTAGTACGATCAGTTAGAGTATGGTATATTAAGAGTAGGGTAGTTACAATCTATACAAAAAGTACAAAACAGCCAACACCCCCAACAAAACACCCACAGCAACCACCCCCAACCCATCAAACGGCCTCCTCTCCCGTCCCAACATCCCCTCGATTTCCCTCTCCAAACTATCCCCCATAGCAGTCAGTGAGAACGCCCCCCGCACGCGCTCCCTCGCCGTCGCAGCCATACGTGCAGCCTTACCGTCCTCCTGCCTCCACCCCAGCACCTCCCGCATCACATCCGTCCACTCCTCCGCCCGCGTCGCATCCCGCAACCACCCCGTCTCCCCCTCCACGACCGTCTCCAGCGGCCCTCCCGTGTTCGACGCCAGAACCGGCACCCCCGCCCGCATCGCCTCCACCGGCACGATCCCGAAGTGCTCGTTTATCGGCGTGTACACCAGCAGTCGGGCTTGCGCTAGCAGCGTGTCTCGGAACCCTGTCGGCACGGACGGCAGGAATAGCACGTCGACTGTGTTCGGGATCCCCAGCGCCGTGATCATGCTTTGCGCCGTGGCTGTTTCGAGACCCAGCTTCGTGCACAGCGCTTCTAGCTCGTGCTTGTATTCCACGTTTTCGGGGACGCGGTTGTCGTAGCCGCCTGGTTTGTTGGTTGGTTTTACTTTCTCAAGCGATATGACAAGGGGGTGGAATGGAAAGGAGATGATAACATACCAGCGATTACGAGCCTCGTCCCTTGCCGTCCCTCCGCGCCTAACCCGTGGTACGCCCGGATGGCCAACCCCAGGTCCTTCTTGCGCTCGAACCGGTTGATACTCAAGAAGATCTTCAGCCCGTCCCACAGAGGCTGCGCGGCCTCGTCATCGTCCGTCTGGGAGTCCTTCTCCTTCCCTCCCGTGAAGGTATCTATATCAACGCAAGGATACACGACGCGCACGTCGCCGAGACGTCCCGCGCCAAAGACGGAGGCGATAACGCCGCGCGTGAAGCGCGAGTTAGCGACGACTTGGTCAGCAGCGCTCATAGCCCACCCTTCAAAGTGGTCGAACGGGTACCGGTAGAGGTGTTTGGCGAGCTGCAGCAAGCGGCTGCCTTCGCTGCGCCGCGACAGGAGCTGGTCCGGGAAGTGGCAGTAGAATAGGATGCGCTGCTTGGTAGACGGTTGTTGTTGGCGCGGGCCGAGGGCTCGCAGAATGGGAATGCAGGCGGGCACTTGGTCGATGATGAAGATGTTGTCTTGCTCGGCGGCGAGTTCGCGGAGCACGGAGACGGTCAGATGGAGTTGGCGCAGGATGGCCATGAGTACGTAGAGTCGTCCGCAGACATGGGCGGGGAATGCTGTGTTGCCGCGCACGCGCACGTCGAGTGTGCCATCGCGTGCTTCCTCGAAACAGTGTGTGGGATCGCAGTGTGATGTGTAGATGGTGACCTCGTGGCCTCGGTTCTTCAGCGCGAGGGCCACGTCGATGATGAGGCGCTCAGCCCCGCCGATCCCCAGGTCGGGGTGGATGATAACCACCTTGGGATGTGGAGGGGGCATTGTATCGGACTGTGAGGGGAGAGAAAGACCAAGAGGTACAGGGGAGGATAAGACGAAGGTGAAGTTAAAGTGAAGTCGCGATGATCGATAAGAACACGCGGCCGATAAGATAGGGTCATGTGACGTCTTGGCGAGCCCTAATCGTCTCCGACATGGTGGCATGGAAGTAATCGGAAGATGCACTTTTGCTTATGGTATTGAATAATTGGTCTTGATGTTGTCCAGTATGGGGCAGTTGATCTCAATTGGCCCCATCGCTGAGTATCACCGAGAGCGCGCCGTATTCCGCTCCAATGGATGAAACAAGCTGCCAAAAAGCCGTAGGGAGCTTGTTGACTCTACATTATACGTCACTTTCACCCTTTTCCAATGCTACGGAGCGCTCTGGATCATGCCTAGATACATGAGGCAAGTTTTCTATTCTGTGTGTAATCTCAATGCTTAGAAAGCGTCATCCGTACTTGGACACAACAAGCAAGGGCATCGAGGACTACTCGGAAAAGTGTGTCAGAAAATCTGCACTTTCACTGTGCGCAGCACAACCATTATTAGACCCATGGGACTCCTTACATACTTCCATGGCCTTCACTTTCAGAAACGGAACGGAGGAGAATTTGGGTCTCATGGATTAGTTGCCATTAAACCATATTAGGTCTCGATGGGGCAGTAATAATTTAGCCGTAGACTACCTCAAGCCCCATCTTCCTCGTGGTCATCAAACGGCCAACGCAGACCTGTCATATCGCGCTCATTATCGGTGTCGAGGGACGCCATGCCCGTGCCACCGTGCATGCGATCATGCTGCAAACACGGAGTTGTGGGTGAAAGAAGTCGAGGGATTGGAAATAGAAGATGGAGGTGAAGATGGAGATGGAGAAGGGAGGTCACTTGACTCTCGCCAGGCATATCGGTCACATGATCAGTCTGGTAGGGCTGGATTTCTACATCTATATCGGTCTCTATAGACTTAGACACGAAGGATATCACAGTGGAAGCAAGATACGGACAATGAGGCCAACCGCTTGGCATCGTCAAACAATCAATATTCATAAAGACGAAACAGAATATAAGCAGGGGGTGAATGTGCAGAACAAAAAATTCAAGACAGGTCAGAAGCAGAAAAGGTATCAACAAGTCAGCAAAGGGATGACAGAAAGGGGAATATATCCACGTGGAATTCATAATACAGGGTAGTAGCGGTCGAGAATAAACATCATGTTGGTGACCAAACCAAGAAAGGGAAAGCATAATAAAAAAAAAGGGAGAAAACTAGGAGGGAAGGGACAGAAGACAGGGCGACGCTCAACTTTTAGAAACAATTCAGGGTACTCTTCTTCTTCTTCTTGTTCAGAGCGTTCATCCGCTCCTCCAGCTGCGCCCGAGCGGCCTCGGCCTCGCGTCGCGCACTCCGCTCCTCTTCGACGGCTTGCAGCGACAGGCGCTGTGAGTTGCGCTCCTTGCGCAGCGTGCTCAGCTCGTCCTCCAGCTGCCAGGCCTTCTTCTTCCAGGCCTCGCTGTCCGACTTGACCTTGTTGCTCTGCGCTTCGAGGTCCCCGAGCGCTTCTTCCAGCGTCGCCGTCAGCTGCTTCTCCGCGTGCAGGTGCTTCTCCATCGTCCGGATGCGCGCCTCCTGGTCCTCCACCAGCTGGCTGTTGACGTTGACGATCTCCTTGCTGGCGTGGCGCGAGCTGGGCGGCGACACGCTGCTGCTGCCGTTGGTGCCGGCCGCGATCGTCGGCAGCGGCGGCAGTGGGATGGCCGGCGGGGGGGAGGGGAGTGAGGCGGCCGACGAGCTCTTCCGCAGGTTCGACGTCAGCGAGCTGCTGCGGTCGTGGGATACATCCGGCGCCGTGTTCTTGATTTGGAGCTGGCAAGAAAATTAGCGTCAAGAAAGCAGGAAAGAAAGAGAGAAAAGAGGGGCGGCTACCTCCAACTGCTCAATGCGCACCCGATACGTTTCAATCTCCTTCTCGTAGGTGCCGATCTTGGCGTTGGCCTGGATGAGCGCTTGCTCGCGCTCCTGCTGGATCAGGGAGAGACGGTTGTGGTGCTGGTCGAAGCTGTTGGTGATCTGGTCCTCCAGCTCCTCCACCAGCCGCGCGCTCTTGTCCTTCTCGGTCGTGGCGGCCTCCAGTAGCGTCTCCTTCTTCTTCACCTGGTCGTCCTTCTGCCGGAGCGTGTCCTCCAGCGTGGCCACCAGCAGCGCCAGCTCGGTCACCTTGGCCTCCTTGTCCGCGTTGCTCTGCGTGAGCGCGTCCAGCCGGTCAGCGTCCTCACCCCGGGCCGCCAGCTGCTGCCGCAGATCGTCGTTGATCTCCAGCATCTCAGCGTACTGGTCGGAGAAGCGCTGCTTCTGCGCCACAATGTCCTGCAGCTGGTCCGCCAGGTTGTCGGCGGTGACGTCAGCGTTCAGCAGCCCGCCGACCATGCCCAGCAGCTTCGCGAGCTCCGCGCGCGATGCGGCGATCTCCGACCGCAGCGCCTGCAGAGCCTCGTCGTGCGCCGCGTCCTTCTCCGACAGTTGCGCCTCGTGCTTGGCCTGCGCTGCCGCCTGGGTCCGCGTCTCCAACTCGACGAGCTCCTGGCGGTGCGACTCCTGCAGGGACGCCAGCTCCGTCCGGTGGGCGTCATCGGAGGCCGAGCGCTGGGCCTCGATCTCGCGTTCCAACTCGGTGATGCGAGACTGGGACGCGTCGCCGGCCGCGGCCGTCTGGTCGCCCTGGGCCGCGCGGAGGTCCGCCAGCTCGCGCTGGGCGGCCTCGTGCGACTCGTCCCGGGCCGTTACCTGGGCCGTGAGCGTCGTGATGGTTAGCTGCAACTCGGCCACGCGCGCCTCCTGCCCCCGCCGCTCCTCGTCGAGCTCGCGGGCAGCGGCCTCCTTGCCGGCCAGCTCGTCGCCCGCGGCGGTGCGGTCGCCGCGCAGCGCGTCCACGTCGGCCAGAGCGCGATCCAGGTCCTGCAGGGTGCCGCTCAACTGGCGTTCGGACGCCTCCAGGGACCGCACGGCGTCCGCGTGCTTGCCCTGCCACTCGGCGAGTTCGCCCTCCAGGCCGCCGATCTTGCGATCCTGCTCCTCGGCGCCGACGTCGTGCGACCGAGCCGCCGCCTCCTGCGTCTGGAGGAGGCTTTGGAGCTGCGTGATCTCGTCCCGGAGCTGCTGCTCCCGGGCGGCGTGGGCCTCGGTCATCTGGGTGATGAGGGTCTCCTGCTGCACGATCTGGTCGCGGAGCTGGGCGAGGAAGGTCGGGTCAACGGAGGAGCCGCCGGCCTGCAGACTGGTCCGCTCGCGGGTCAGCCCCGAGATGATGGTGGACTTCATCTCCATCTCCTTCCGCACGCTCTGGTTCTCGGCCTCGAGGGACTGGATGCGCTCGACGCGGCTCTGCAGCTCGTGCATGGCGGCGTCCAAGTGAACCTCAAAGTTCTGTCGCGCGTCGGGGCGGTCGCCAAACTCCTCCGTGGCGATGGCACGCATGGAGGTCAGGGAGCGGTGGGCGCGATCGACGGTGGATATCAGGCTGGTGCTCGTCTTGCGGCGGATCATGGGGGTCTTGAAACCCGGGGTGGTCGGGGGCGACGTGGACTTTGGTCGCTGGAGTTCGGTCTTGAGGGACTCGATGAGGCTCAGGGTGTCCTCGTGCTCAGCCTGCAGCGCGGCGTACCGCTGGGCCATGAGGCCGAGGCCCTCCTCGTGCTCCCCGAGCAGCTTGCGCATCCGCGCGAGCGCATCGGGGTCATCGCCGCCGGCGAGGCCGCGGGTCGAGGTCCCCGTCACCTCCGTGGGCTCCGTCTGGCCGTCAGAGGAGGAATCGCGCGACGGCGCAGGCTCCCCGGCCAAGGACAATTCCGAGGACAGTGACTGCGAGAATGAGCGTCGTGTGCCACTCTGCGAGTCGCCGGGGGCCCCGGGCTCCTCTAAAAAAGACACCGGGCGGGAGGAGGCGGTGGTGGCAGGGGGCGGGGGCGTGGCGGTGGTGGTGGCTGGGGAGACTGGATCCGGCCCTGGGGCCGCGGCGTGACGGGCCTCGTCGGCGGCGTCCTGCCGCAGGGCGGCCATGGTCTTCAGGGCGTCCTCGTACTTCGCCTCGAGGAGCTCGTAGTCGGTCAGGGTGGTCTCGTGCTGGAGGCGCAGATCCAGGAGTTCTCGCGACACGGTCTCCAGCTTGTCGGCCACGACACCGGACGGAGTGGGACTGGGGGGCTTGGGGGCCGAGAGCGCCATCCGATCGGCGGGAGGGGGCGACGACGCCAGGCGGCTGGTGGCGCGCTCCAGCACCTGGAGATCGTCGTCGTCGGTCGTGGGGACGACGGCGGCGGGGACCGCCGCCGCCGTCTCCTCCGCCTCCTCCTCAATGGTGGCGGGGATCGGATCCACCAGGCCCTCGTCGGAGTCCGGAATGGCGGTCTCGACGGCCTCGGTGAGAACCTCGAGGGAGGGGGCGCGGTTCCGTGTAGGGGGCCCGGTGGCCGTGGCTCGGACGGGGGGGATTGTCCGCGCCTCGGGCGATGCGGCGCGGCCCTCGGGCGCGGCGTTCTGAACGTGGTCGAGCTCGTAGAGAAGGCTGTCCAGCTTGCCGAGGCTGCGCTGGCGATCGACGACGTGCTCCAGGCGATCGACCTCGCGCTGCAAGAGCTCCATGTCCTGATCGGCCTCGGCCAGACGCTCCTCGAGGGTGGAGATGTAGTCCTCACAGTGGGCCTCGCTGTCGCGGGCGCGGGTCAGCTCCTTGCGGAGCTCGGCGACGATGGCGGCGTGGCGCTCCTCACCGGACGAGTGGCCCTCGAGCTTGGACTCGAGCTCGTGCAGGTAGGACTCGGTGCCGGACTCGCGGTCATGGAACTTCTGGACACGGGCCTGCAGCTGGGTGTTGAGGGCCTCGACGTAGGCGCAGGTGGTCTCGCGCTCGAGCAGGGTGCTCTCAGTCTGGGACAGGGAGGCGCGGGTGTCGGAGAGGGAGGACTCGAGGCTCTGGATGGTCTTCTCGTACTCGAGCACGACCTGCTCGACGGACTCGGCGAAGGAGTGGGAGCGCTGCAGGCGCTCGACGGAGCTGCGGCCGACGTCGTGGGCGGGGTCGGCGGCGGCGGCATCGGCCGATCGGGTCTTCTCCCCCTCGGACCCCCGGGCCAGCTCGGCCATGAGGCGGGCGTGGCGCTGACTGAGGGCGTTGTAGCTCTCCTGGACGTCGAGCAGCTGGTTCTGCAGGCCAATCTCGCGGTCGTTGGCGCGCTCGGGGCGCTCCGGGGCGGGGCCGTCGCCGCGGCGGCGATCGGGACTGGCCTCGGCGCGGCGCAGCTGCTGCCGCAAAAAGCTGACTTCGGCCTTGAGGCGCTCGATCAGGGCATGCTTGTCGCCCTCGTCGGCGACCTGCTGGATGCGGGGCTTGCTCTGGATGGCGCGGGCGCGCTGGGCGTATTGGACGGTGTTGAGGGTCTCGCTGAGGTGGAACTCGGCCGGGGTGACGCATGCGATCATGTAGGTGTAGGCATTGCCCCCCAGGGAGTCCTGGAGGAGGCGGGTCAGTTTGGAGTCCCGGTAGGACACGTGGGCTCCAGCCTGGCGGGAGGACAGCTGCGAGATGACTTTGCCCAGAGCGGCGAGGCCGGCGTTGATGGAGATACCCTCCCGGGCGCGCTCGCCCGAGGCGCCGGTGTTCTTCAGCCGTTCGCTACCAGCCAGATCGACAAAGTGGAGCTTGCTCTCGACGGTGACGGTGGCGGCGTCGGGCGCCCCGGAGGCACCGTCAATGGGCATGGACATGCGCTTGTCGCGGGGGGTGGTGCCGGCGGCGCCGGCGCCGGCGGGCTTCCGCTGGACCAGGTTCAGACTGAAGACGGCGTGAGAACGCGAGGACTTGGCGTTGATGGCGGTGGAGTCGGTCTGTCGGATGGAGGAGCCGAAACTGAGGGCACCCATGAGGTCGTCGATGGAGTTGATGGTGACCTGGTGGAGGCCAGTGAGGAGGATGCGACCCTTAGTATCCTCGCGAATGGAGACGGAGCCGCGATCGGACTGGGGAACGGAATCGGGAAGGAGGAGATCGCGTAGTTGTTCGTTGTAGATCTAGATGAGAAGAATCAGAGTTTAGCGGGGCGAGAGAAAAAAAAAAAAAAAAAGGAAAAACCATCACGAGGTTTTGGGGGGGAGCTACTTCGACGTAGGTGGCCTTCATCTGCCAGGATTTGTCGACGCTGGCGCGGTTGAGGCTGGCGGCGGAACCGACCGAATAGCGGGCGGGCGTGCGCAAGCCGGACGAACTGTTACGGTTCTGTTTGGGGGGTTCTAACCGGTCGAAGAGCAGCTGGGCGGCGCGAGGAATAATGCCTGCGATCGACCATATCAATATCAACTTTCATCCACTTCCAGCGAGAAGGAAAGAACACTGACCTCTCGACTGGGGGTCACCCTGTTCGCTGGGCCCCGAGGTGCCCATGGTGTAGGACTTGCCGGCGCCCGACTGCCCGTAGGCCAGGATGGAGACATTGTAGCCCTGCAAGAAAGAATGAACGCTCTCACAGAGGTATTCCCACACACCATCCTGGTTCACGGTTTCGGGGAAAACGCGATCGAAGACGAAGAGTTTGCGGCCTTGGGGAACATCGACGGCGAGGCTGGTGGCCGCCGTGACGTGGACCATGGACCGTTGGAATCGTTGTGGGACCAACTCGTAGCCGGGGTCGTCGGGCTTGAGGGGGGGGCGAACGCGCACGGCTGCAACGAAATGAGCATTGACAGTCCAAAGAAGAGGACAGACCAGGGAGAGACGAGATACGCACCGACTTTGACGGCGGTCTTGCTGTCCTCATCGGAGGCGCGACTGCCTTGTTTACTGCTCATACTCAGGCGACTGGTACTCCTCGGAGTGCGCATCAAGGCACTCAAGGGTCGCGGGGATGCGCCCGTCGGCGAACCAGGCGGCGAGGGCGTCATGGCCCTTTATGGCACCGGTTGGGGATCGAGGCGAACGATTCGAGACACGAATGGGGGAGGGGGGATGAGGTCGGTCACATCGGCGAGTTGATCTCAGCGAATTGGACGTGTCTGGTGGCCCTGCATGGGAAGAGAAGGGACTATTTCCAGTGAGTGGGGTCCGAAGAGGAACGGAAGGAAGAGAGTTACCAGCAGAAGAGATGGGGGAGGGAGAAAGACGAGGGAAGAGAGAGAGGAGGATGGAGGAGAGAGCGAGGAGAGAGAAGATGAGGTTGAGGAGAGAAGAAGAAGAAGAAGTTAAGGGGAAGTTGGATAACCTCCTGAACCACCACACCAACCACCGGTCCTGTTCCCTTTTTTTTCCTTTCTTCCTGGACTCCTTTCTTCTTTCTTTTGTTTTTACGGTTTTGTTTGTTTTTTATTGTAGTGCCTTGTATGTTTTTGATTGATTTTGCTATTCTATTGCTTCTACATCGATTGATTTGGTGATTTGTTTGTTCTATACCATCATCGATATCGATCGTTGGTCCTCCACCAGGAACCAGGAACCAAGAACCAGACGGTGTCAAACAGCAGAGTAAGACTTGGGACCTCTGTCCCACGGCGGCGACCCGACTAACCTCCGTCCCAGCGTGGACAAGAGGATGCAACCGAAATAACGAGCGACTCTCTGCGAATGAAGAAGCTTGATTGTTCCCCTGGCCCACTTGGTCTGCTCTCCAACCCAGTGAACCCACCCAGAACGTGGTCCTCTTTTTTTTTCTTTTTTTCCCTTTATTTCTTGCCCTTCTTTCTGGGTCTCCAGTTGATCTGTCTTGATGGGGTTCAGTCGCGTAGTATCAGTCTTATAGTCAGTCCCCTTCCCTCCAATGCCTCCACTCTTGTCACATCCGGGCGTAAACGGTTCTCCCAGTACCAACCCATGTCGATCGCAACCATAATCACAATGAACCGAGGGAAGTCAGGGACCGGACTCAACGGAGGGATTCAGGGAACGGAGGGGATCCCCCCATTCATCCAAGCGTAGCACAGACGCGGTCGTCAGCACCACCGCTAGACTCTTTTCAGTCCCTGCATCCATGCCACCCCGTCCTCACGCAAGGGTCCCTGGGGGTCCCTGGGGGTCCAGGATGGACGAACCCTCGCCCGATCACATTTGCGGCCTCGGTGGAAATTCACATCGGGGTCCATCGGTGGCTATCCGTCCGTCCTTGCCGTCTCGATTCGATCTCCACCGGGTTGGAGACAAACGGGTGGCGGTTGGTGATACCTGATCGATCATTCTCTTCGGGGCAACATTAGTTCCCTTGTTGTCTACCATAAAAGAGGATAGGAATGAGAACAGAAGAAGGAGAAGAGTGACGAAAGTGACGAAGATGAAGTTGAAGAACGAAGTCGTCACGTGATCACGCGGCACGTGCCGGCATCGCGACGCGACTTTGGCTTCATTTTCCCTCTCCCTCTCGCTTCTTTTCATCTCAGTCTCCACTTTGGGCTCCTCTTTTGGACCGGAGATCCCATCATGCCCGATGTCATCAACCTGATCTCCTCTTCCCCCCGTCCCCTGCCTCCCCCTCCTCCTCCTACCTTCGCCACGACCGCCAATCAAGTTCACTATGAATCTACGTCCAATCCCTCGAAACGCCGTCGACTGAGTCCCGATCCCCAAGATCCGTTCGTGCTCTTCTCCGACGAAGATGTCCTTCCATCCAGACCCGCTCCAACGCAGACACACCCGGGGGATCTGACGTCCGACCCCATCACCTTCACCTCCTCCGCCCCGCCAAACCCCCCAGACACCATCACCATTGACGATGACGACATCGACGAGTTCAGCGATCCCTTCGCCGTCCCCGACCCAGCAGATCTGTGGAATCTCGCAACTGCCGCTGCTACCACCGCCCCCGAGATGATACCGCGCCCCCGTCCCCAGTTCTCCAGTCGCACCGAAAATCTCCTCGCCAGTCTTCACAACCGATCCCAGTCCAACAGCGTGATCGATGACGACTATGACGCCCAAAAGCCTCAGTCCCGGCCGACGTCGACGGGGAGTCGGCTCAAAATCCACCCCCCACGGAAGGACGGTGAAGACCGAGATCTCCTCGACGACCCGCCTTCTCCCCGACCAGCCGCTCGCAAAACAGCTCCGAAACGGACCACCGCCGACAAGGACACCCGGGCCCGCGAACGGGAAGCCACCAAGGCCCGGCGAGAGCACGACCGGCAAGTCGAGAAAGAGCGGAAACAGCAGCTGAAGGAAGAAAGGACGCGGGAGAAGCAGCGGACAGCCGACCTGGCCGCCGTCAACAAACTCAAGATCGACAAGAAGGAATCCCTCCCAGAGATGATCGTCGATCTGGCCACCACCTTGCAAGATACGAGCGTGGGCAACCAGACGGCCGAGTTCATGACCCGGCTCGGAGTCGAGCAGACCTTCTTCGCGAGCGCGATCCCCAACCTCGTCCGATGGCGCCGCAAGGTCCGCGCCCAGTACAACCCCCGTCTCGGATACTGGGAGCCGTGCGTCCCCCACGTCCAAGACGAAGCGCACGTCCTCGTGCTGCTCACAGCCCAGGAATTCGTCGACCTGGCCACCGCGACTCCATCCACCCACACATCGGAGTCATCACAACCCGTCGACCTCCGAACCCACGTCCACAACCTCAAAACCGCCTACCCCAATTGCTCCCCTATCTACCTCATCGAGGGCTTAACAGCCTGGTTCCGCAAGAACCAAACCGCCCGCAACCGTGCCTTCCAAGCCGCAGTGCGCCGCGCCGCCGCCGCCCCACCGTCTACCTCCTCCTCGTCCCGCCAACGCACAGCGAAACAGCAGCCCGACCCCATCTCCGACGACGTCGTCGAAGACGCCCTCCTCGCCCTCCAAGTCACTCACACCTGTCTCATCCACCACTCCAGCACGCCCGCCGAATCCGCCACTTGGATCAAGACCTTCACCGAACACGTCTCGACCGTGCCATATCGTCGCGAGCGCATGAACGGCCAAGATGCCGCCTTCTGCATGGAAACCGGCCAGGTCAAATCCGGCGACAACAAATCTGATACGTTTATCAAGATGCTCCAGGAGGTGAACCGCATCACAGCTAGCATGGCCTACGGGATTGCAGAGCGCTATCCCAGCGTGATGAATCTCGTCGGGGGGATGAGAAGGGAGGGTGTTTCTACTTTGGAGGATGTCAAGGTTTGTTTATATCCCCCCCACCACCGTAATATACCGGGCGAGAAAGAGAGAAAGAAGAGAACTAACGGTTCAGAAATCCGCCAACAAAAACGGCGCCCTCACCAACGCCCGCATCGGCCCCGCCGCCAGTAAACGTCTCTATAAAGTATTTATGGAAACGGATCCCACCGCGACGGGGGTATGATATGATATGATCTAGTCTGACATCCGTAGTTCATCTCTAGGTTATCTCTATTGGAATCCTTCCTGAGTATAGGATATTGCATTATGTTTTACGGCTTATACCATATCCATCCATCTATATTGGTAAATATTCGTTGATTAGGTTGGCCTCTCTTTTTTACTCTTTTTTATTTTTTTCTATCTTTACGGAGGAATGGGTTCGCATGTATTGCGTTGCGGTGCGTTGGGTGGGTTTGTATTACGTTGCATGCATTGCATATGTTGAGAATAGACGATGTGCATGATAGAGCATATGTATACATATCTTATGGTACTGGTAGATATATATATATATATTTAATATATAAAAACAAATCTAAAGGGAGCCTATATGTATACCATCAGACTTACTATTCTACTCCCGCTTCCACATCAAGATGTATATATATTTCCTAGCAATGCAACAAAATATTGAACGTATTTTGGTGAGGTTTACTATGCCAGATATTCCAACAACATATAAACAATAACAATATCAACTCCAGAGAATAATTGAACTATAATTTGGCTCTACAATAACCGAAACCAACCTAACTGTAAATGATAAGTAACAATGCCACGCAACACCTGGCTTCCCAGTCCAACGTAAGGCAATTTTATAACAAACATGCAGTTGCCTTATCCAAGACCCTTTACCGCAACTGTACAACAAACGCTAGCAATACTAAACATAGGAAAACGATAAAAGGCAAAAAACTATACAACAACTCCCCTCCGTCTCCATGCCCTCCACGCGACACACCACGCCACCATGGCGACTCCCACACTGACCGTGCACCCCACGGCCCAGAACCCGAAACACCGCCACCCGCGACACTCCCCGTCGTCGGTGCTGCTTCCCCCGTCCAACGCGTCCTGGTACCCCCGCGAGTAGACGATCCCCCAGAAGGCGGCTCCCACGGCCGGGACCATGGCGACGATGCCCCAGTTGGTGCCGAAGTTCTCGACGCCCCAGACGACGGAGATGATGATTGGGACGAGGGAGAACGCACTACCGTAGCCGAGGCCGACTAGGGCTGTCGTGAGGTGCGAGAGCTGTGGATGCTGGATTGGTAGGGGAGTCGCGAGGAGGAGGTAGCCAAGGAGGAGGAGAAAGGCGGATGGGAGGAGGAAGGAGAGGCGCGAGAGACGGAGACGGGTGGACGACTCTGTGTCGTCGTCTTCGGAATGGCTGGGCGAGAGGTGAGATGCCGGCGGGGCGAAGTAGTCCGAAAGTGAACCGGTCAGGAGTCGAGCGACGGTCGATGTGAGTGCCACGGTGGTGACGTGCGTCGCGGGAAGTCCGGCGGGGGACCTATTCGCCGGGATATTCCCCGGCGTGAGCGTTTGGACAATGGTACCCAGCTGGCCTGGAGTCAGCTTCAATCATAACAACAAACGCAATCATGGCAACCATAACCAGTGTAACAACCATAACAATGATAGAAAAAAGTGAGGATGAGAAAGGTACGCACATTGTTGATATAAGCCTCCCCCGGGCCCGTCACCAAGAAGAACCCCAGAGCAAGCCACCACATGGTGTGGTCGGCGAGGAACGTCCTCGTTTCGTAGTTGAGAAGCCAGGTCTTCTTCTGACGCTCCTCCTCCTCTCGGACCTTGTAGAGCCTTGCGGCCTCGCGCTCTTCCTCGGAAGCAGACATCTCGCCCTCGGTACTGCTGCCCTCGGCCCGCGAGAAGGTCCCATAGCGATCCCCCTCGTCACGGCCGGTCCGGAAGAATTCGCTTTCTTCCAAGAGGCCACTCCGTTCGAGCTCGTCGACGGTGGCGTCGATGTATCTCTCTTCCTCGTCGTCCACGATCCGCAACCCGAACGTGCCGATGACGCCGATGGCGAGGAGCAGGGCGCCCAGGAACAAGAAGTACCGGAAGACGTCGACGTCGCCGCGACTTCCGTCTTCCAGACGTTCGCACAGCAGATATGTGCCAATCTGGCTCTGCCACATGCCGCTGAGACCAAAGCCCGCGATGGGCACCGCCAGCATGATCCCCTTGTGCTTGCCCCGGCCGAAGTTCTTGGCGCAGGTCGTCACCGCAGCGAGATACATGGAGCTGGTGGCCGTCCCGATGGCCACGAACGCGACAACCATGACCCAGAAGGGCCATCCCTCCCCGCCCGCGTCCGGTGGCGGACCGCTGCGGTAGGCGAACGCCGCGAGAAAGTAGCCGGTCCCAAACACAATCCCAGAGAACAGGGCCAGCGGAGACGGGCTATACCGGTCACACAAGTATCCAAACAGCGGGACGGGCAGGTACATGGACACCTCGGCGGCGATCGAGACGGCATTCACCCGGAGCTGCGTGTAGTGGAGGCGAGTCAAGAACAGCGGTCCGTATAGGGAAAAGGCGGTGATACTTCCGGCGCCGAGACTAGAAATGGGAAACACGGTCAGACACCGTCACGACAACCGTCCTAGATGTCAAGCAACATACCAAGTGACGACCCCCAGCACAAAGCTGGATATCCGCACAATCTCTCGGGCGAGTCTCCTGCGGTCCCTCTCAACGATCTCACCGACCACGTCGTTCAAGAGGCCATCGTCACGGGACAGTCTCCAGCCCGACCCGGACGGAGAATTGCTGCGGTCGTCGGCATGGGAGCCAGCTTCCTGCCCGGCCAGCAACGGACGGTTCTGGTCAAAGTCCCGTTTATCGATATCCGGTTGTTGCTGGCGATGATGCGGCGAGCGGGACATCTTGCGTGAGAGCTAATCGAGAGCTTATACCGACGGCGGTACTGGTAGATAATGCAATGGCTTTGTCGATAGATAGACGATAGCTATGCCAATAGTCTAACAATCGTTCCCCACGAATCTGGCAGGTAGACACCCTCGAGATGAGCGAAGACCTATCGGGTACAGGGTGTACCTGACCAAGTCACGCGCCGGGAGATCAGCGGACAGTTGATAGGTTCTGGTCCACTACGTCACCGTTGGGTGTCAAATGAGGACATGTCGAAAAAAGAAACCTGATCACCCGGAATCGCGTCGAATGATGAAATATCCCAAGCAAGACGACTGACTTCCTTGCGATGGTTGCTGCAGGAAGGGAGGAGAGTTGGCGGTGAGGGAAGAAGATCGTCATCATCGCTGCTTCACCGCCTTCACCGACACGTGATTTACTATAGAATAAGACCAAGGTGATATCGATCGATTATGAATATGATTAAGAGATCTGGTCTAATGTCTGGCCACCTTTTATGTACATGTCATAACCGGGAATGCCATCGCCTGTAAACCGGAAGAAAAAGCAAAGGAAAGAAAACTGAAAAACCAGGGACATCGAACGATCAATCCCCGGCAGGTAGGTATAGGAATAAGACAGGTCCGAGAAGAGGAAGAATCCCCACAGGACAGAAATCAAAAGCACCCAAGCTCGTACACGCCCTGGGAAATGGAAGGACACCCCGCATGAAGGAAAAATCGAAGAAGATGGAGCAGAAGACCCCCTGGATGATGCTCCAGGCATAAGGGAAGAAGGCCTTCTTGCTGGGGTCAGATGCCGTAAGTCGTCAATATCGTACCGATGGCCACCGTGGGACCCATCCACTGATCCCCCCGGGCGCGCTTCCCCCAATCATTAGGATGTCGTTGGCATCACGTGGAAGTCGAAACGGAAAAGGAGAAGAACAAGGAGAACCACCCAGCCGTTGCCATGCAAATTGTGACGCCGTGAAGCCCGCAAGTGGTCGACATTGAAAGCCATGGAATCAAGAGATTCAAACAACACCGACACCAAGCAGATGCGCGAGAAGACAAAGAAAACAGAAAGGAAAGAAAGTAGAAAGGGAAACAAAAAGAGGAAAAAAGACAAAGCCCGTAACAGAGGCTACATACTAACTTCGCCCGGATCACTCTCCACGACCCCTTCATCATAGTAGCGGTCCGACGACACCTCGTGTCCGGCCATCTGCACCCGAAAGCCGATGGCTTCGCCCTCGCCGCGTTCGATGTAGTCATCCTCGGTGATTTCCTTCAGAATGCGTTGGAAGTACATGCGCAGCGACCGCAGCCCCCGGAGGTAGCCCCGGTCGATGTCGTCGGGATGGTGCGGGGGACAACGCGCCGTGGGGGGCACGCCGTCCTCACCGGTCACGCAGTTTGCAAAGTCCACGATCCTGAGGTGGACGTTCGGGTTGTTGTGTTCGTCGTCCGGCGCGCGTCCGGACCGCGGGTCGTCAGCAGTGGGAGCCTGTTCGCCGTCGTAGAGGATCAGCAGGCTGCTCGCGTAGAGGCGATAGCGCTTCAGCCGTCGGATGATGTTCTCGAGCCGGGCCAGCTGATCGAGGATGATGGGAATCTTTTTCGCCACGCTCGAGTAGCTGACGCCGTCGTACAGGAAGCGGGTCAACGCGTCCTGGAACTCGCGGCCAGACTTGAGGTCGCGGCCAAAGTACTTGTCCTCGAAGGTGTACTCCTGCTTGCGGACGTTCCAGGTCTGCATGCCGCAGAGCCGAACCCCCAGCTGCTGCGAGGTCGTCGACTGGCACTTGCGGCGCTGGGACTTCTTCTTCTTCTCGTCGGCGTCGATCCCGTACTGCCGCGTGCCCATCTTCAGGTCCAGCACGCAGGGCCGGTTCATGCCCGCCGTCAGATCCTCCAGCAGCAGAAAGAACTGCACCCGTTCGTCCTTCCGGGTCTGGGCCTCCTTGGGGTTGGAGGGCAGCGCGAACCGGCCGCCGCCGCCGCCGGTGCCTGTCGGGTCGGCGCGCACGAGGTCGAAGGGCGTGTGCGCGGTCTCCCCAGCCCCGCCGTTCGGCGCACGGGTCGGAGATGGGGACGGTTGCCGGCCGTCGGCGGGAGCGGGGGGCGGCAGCGACGGTGGTGGCGGCGGCGGCGGTGGCATGGACGCATCGCCCTCCATCGCGAAGATCTCGTCCTCCTGGTCGCCACCGTACCCGTCGTCGTCGACGAACACCAGGTCCCCGCCGGGGTGCTCCGCGTCGAGACTGCCGAGCCGCTGCAGGCCACTGCCGGAATGACGGCGTCGCACCGGACGGGTGCGCGACAGTGAATTCGACCGGGGCGGTGCCGCCTCCTCCGTCCGGATCTTCTCGAGGCGGGAGGACGTGGCGGCGTCCAGCGCCGTGGAGGCGGACGACGACAGGCCCTGGGAGTCGGCCGCCGCCGTCGCGATGTCGATGGCCGTGGACCGCGGGGGCTCGGGGGGCGCCGGCGCGCTGCGACGGCTGCTGGCCGTTTGATCCTCGGATTGATTGGCGCGGCGACGGCCCCCGTCGGAGGTGGTGCGCGGGAGGTTGAGATGGCCGCGTGGGTGCCGACGATGGTGGTGGATGGCCGGGGGGCTGAAGACTTCCCGGAGGACCTGCTCCTGCAGCTTCCGGTTAACGGTCGTGGCGCCCCAGATGGGTCGCGACAGCGGCTTGCGGGGGGAAGTGGTGGGAACCGGGTCCTCCTCCCCGGCGGCACGGCCACCCCCCAGCGGGGATGGATCGGTCGGCGCGCCGGGACCCTGGGCGGATCGCGGCCGACTCGGGCGCACGCCGTCGGCGGTGCGGGGGCGCTGGGGGCGGGAGAAGAGATCAGCGGGGATGATGTGGCGGTTGTTCTCCAGGATGACCTTGGGGATGATACCCGTGACCTGGCTCTGACTGAAGATCCGCGGTTTTTCGACGACCTCGGACAGGGGGGCGCCGCTTACGGAGGCGGGCTCGGCGAGGGGAGGCTCCCGGGTGCGACTGACGAGCCGGTCGGCGGGGTTTGGCGGCTGCTCCTGACTCTCGGAGGCCGCCTTGGGCCGCTTGGGGGTCTTCGAGAACGTTACGTTCAGGACGCCGATGTATCTTTCCAAGAATCTCCGTTAGCACTCTGGTGGGTCCGTTAGGGAGGTCGGGGCGGGGGAAGGTCTACCGTGGGAGGAACATCAGCATGTCTGGGTGACGGCGTTCGATCCGCTCGTAAAACTCGTTTTCGCGGTTGTTGAGCTGCTTGCACACGGCGCGGCGGGAGAAGCGGAAGACGGTGGTGTGGCCGCCGACCTGATGGCGGTAGGGCTTCAGCTCGACGGCACCGACCAGTTGGCCGTGCTGCTTGCGGCGGTGCCGCCACGCGCGGGCGTCCTGGGTCGGCGTCGCGGTCGGGGTCACGTCGATGTCGATGTTATCGGTCAGGCTCGACTCCTCGTCCACAACGGAGATCTCGCTGCCGTACCCGGAGCCGAACTCCGACTCGCAGGTCGACTCGTCGCCGGGGCGGTCGGGGAGGAGGGCGCCGAGGGACGGCGGCGGGGGGGCGCGGTCGTCTACGGACGGGGCCTGCAGACCCTGCAGGTCGCCGTGCAAGATTCTACGATCGGTCCGCGACCGCAGGGAGATGTCGACGTGGCTGGGCTCGGGTCCCTCGGGCGGACTCTGTCGCGTGGGCACCAGCAAGTGATTCCGCGGGGCGGGCGAGACGGCCAGCGGCGGGGCTCCGTCCGGCAGCTCGTCCGTGGCGCCCAACCGCCGCCGGGGGTCCGCCGCCTCCGACACCGCGACAGACTCGTGGGGGAAGTAGACGGCCGAGGCGATCTGCTCGTCCTCCTCGTCCTCGACGGGACCGCCCGACGACCCCCGACGCGACCCGCGGTCCTCGGTCTCGTCCCCGGGGGTCCCCTTGTTGAGATAGTCGCCGCCCCGTTCGGCATACTGGGTGGGGATGCTCTCGGAGAACGAGGAGCCGCGCGCGCCGCCCGGGGTCAGGTGGAAGTTGCGGATCTCCTCGAGCAGGCTGCGCGGCAGGGCCGTCGGCGGGCGGATGGACAGGTCGTCGCTCCGCGCGTGCCGCAGGTCGGTGTCGGGGGGCGTAGGCGTCATGACCGGGGGGTCGTGCCAGGAGAGGCGCGGCACGCTCTGGGTGGTTCGCCGACCGGTGGCCTCGGGCGGGGCGGGGGGTTCCCCGGACGGCTCCAAGTCCGCCTGGGCGTCCCCTGCCGCCGGAAGCTCGTCGGCACGCGCCCGGTCCTCCCGTCGCTTCCGATCCGGCGAGGTGGTGTTTTCCTTGAAGAGGCCCAGGTAGTGACTCGATTTGCGGCTGCGGACGTGCGACGCCATCTCGGCGTTGGCCAGGTTGGCTTCGATGGAGTGCTCCACGCGCCCGCGGCGACTCCGGCTGGCGTTCCGCTCCCCGGGGCCCCCAGACGGGCGCTCCGCTCGCGACGGGCGATCGGGAAGGACGACGTCATCGCTGAGGGAGGCAGAGAGCAAACTGCGCCTGGCGCGGGCGTCAACCGAGGCCTCCCCCGTCGCCGGCGAGGGGGACGCCGGGGCCCCGCCGCCCCAGACCGCCTCAGAATCGAAGGGCGACGCGAGGAGCGGACGCCGCGAGGACGGCGACCACGACGGGGGGCCCGGGGGCCGTGACAGGGGGGCGGCGGCGGCGGCGGCGGCGGCGGCGGCAGTGGTGCTGGGGTTGCCGGTGGCGCCGGAGCTGTCGGTATCGGAGGGAAGGTAGTGGGTGGCGAAGATGCTGTCTCGCTCAGACAGTTGGGGACTGTGAGCGCGCTCGGGGCGGGCGAGTCGCTCCAGCGGCAAGGTGGTGGCTCGCTTCAGTGGGAACTGGGCGACGGGTTGGGCCCATTGGGATGAGGTGGGGGATTCGGCGCGCGAGGGGGAGGAGGCATGGTAGACACCGTCCTGATCTTTGACGAGGGGACGGCGCGACTGCTTGTCTGGGGACGGGTTGGACGGGTAGACGCCGTCATGGGGATTCGCGGTCGCCGGTGTCACCAGGGGTTCCGACCAAGTATGCTCAGATGCAGACGGAGGCTTTGACATGGGGAGGACATTGGTCGGAGTGCGGCACGGGGGGAGGGAGAAGGATGAACACACGCAGGAAATCGACAGGACTCGAGGCAGACGTGTATTGTCTTCCGTTGGGGAGAGAAAGGGTGGGTGTGGCTGGGGAGGGGGGAGGGGGGTAGGGGGGAAGGGGGAGTTCTGTTGCGGATCTGGCGTCACCAGGACGGTTAGTTTCCCCCGGACAAGAGCAAATGACGAATGACGACAGGGAGGAAGCCCCGATCCGACGAGCAGGAGGGATCTTACAGGCTCTCAAGGGAATTAAGCGATTCCCAGATGGGAGGAAATGATAGGCGTGGCGTTGTGGCGTTGCAAGGGGATTGGATGGATGCTAGATGGTTGTTGCATGGACAGTGGGAGAGAAAGAAGGGCGTCAAAAAGAGACCCAGGGAGAATGGAAGAAGAGGCAGCGATGAGATGAGACAGGAAGAGATGGTGGAGAGAGGAAGGAGTGGATGAAAAGGGATGGAAAGGATGAGGTGGAAGTAAGAGAAGTGGAAGTAAGAGAGAAGAGAAGCGGATGGAGGAGAGAGAGAGAGAGAAAAAGAAGGAGGAAAAGTTCGAGCGGGAGAAATGACGACGGATCGCCCGTCACCGCCTTGGTGGGTACCCGGCCGGTACTGGGGAGGTACGGGATCTGAGGTGTTGTCCCTCCGATTGAGAGGTACCGATCAGGTACTCTTGAAGTACTCTCTCTCTATCTCTCTCTATGTAGAGACATAGATAGAGATATATTGCTAGATCAAGAACACAAGGGAGGAGGTCCAGAATTTTATAGACCTTGATCCCCCAGTTTGCTACCCAAAAGAAACAATTTCAATCGAATCGACTCGTCCCAGACTTCTCCGACTTCCTTGCGAATGACCTGGGTCTGCATATCTGGCCGGACAGGTCGGAATGCAGTCCTTCCCCCCTCCTTCAATCCCGATCCAATCCTCGATCTTATATGAATCGCGAGGGGGGTTCGTCGCATCGAACTGGTTCTTGAGATTGACTTCGACGATGATGTATAGGTACGATCGTACAGTCTGCGGTCCAACTTCCAAGACCGTACTCCACTCGACTGGGTCCCATCCTGGAACTAAATGGCGCCACCACCAATCATCCCACAACGTGGTCGAACGGGAGGGACGGGATGATATCCGGTTGATCAACGCCCGTGCTGTGAACCATCAGTATACTACGTAGTAGTTTTTTTAGAAAATTATGAGGTGAAGGGGGAAGGGATAAGGGATACAGGCACGGCATGTCCACCGCGTCTCCAGGTTTTATGGATCTCCATCCCCTCTGGATTATGTGGATACATACCATGTCGATCCAGTAGTCAATAAACTCGCTGACATCCCGGTGATCTTCAGGAAATAAGGATCAACTGTCATCTCTAAATATATCTCTATCTTTATATATATATCTATATATATAGACCTGGAAGTTGACGACCTTTCCCCATTGGGAGAAAACCATGGCCAAGACCCGGGGTGGCCTGAGGCTCGCCAATGAGTGCCTCCCATTTCGCTCCCCGCAGGATCCATCCATGAACTCCGCCACGCCGTCAATATCGCCGTCAATTTGTCAGTTCGCCTGTTCGTCAGTATCGTCGGGCCCAAACGGTCTGGGAGACGGGCATATATTGGGGATTGTCGCCCTGTCTCCTTCAATCTAGTCAACTGGACACCATGCCGTCGATGATTTGCACGGCTAGCATGAAATCCCAACGATCAACATCCTCCTCCTCATCCACATCTGAAGTACGGCCGCCCCGCCGTCGACAATGCTGGGAATGTCTCCGTCGTCGACTGGTCTGTGACTTTGGCACGCCAACCTGCAACAAGTGTCGTGCAGCGGGGGTGACCTGTCCGGGGTATGGAGAGAAGAAGCCCCTCAAGTGGATCGCCCCGGGGAGGGTCAACTCGCGCACGCGACAACGACGTCGTCCACCGGCCAGCGAGTCCGAGGAGAGGGGTCAGATAGCCTCGCCCAATCATGCCGCCCTCGTCGCAAAGGATCCGGATCCGCCGTCCGGTTCCTGCAGTTCGGAACGGGCCGTCGTCAAATTGACCATCCCGCGCCTGCAGTTGGGAACCGAGGCCAACGCGGTCGTCCAGGCCGCGTCGTACTGTAAGCCGGAGGAACAGGATGAAAGAGACGAGTCCTTCCCCTCCCACTAACCGGACGTTAGATAATGCCTGCATCTATCCCAGCTTCGCGGCCTTCCATCAGTTAGCCCCCAACCCATACATCACGCGCTTCTCCCACGCCGTCATCCCGCATCTCCCCCCGGCCATGTGCCACCTGTTGGTCTGTCTCGCCTTGGGCCATCGCATACAGAGTCTCATGCTCAACACCGACTACGGCGCCCTGATCGAGGTGCGATCCCGGCTGTACCACCACCGAGGGATGGCTATCCAGCTCCTGGCCGACGCCATCGGCAACGCCATCACCCGGACGAGCGACTTGACCATCGCTAGTGTCCTGATGCTCTTATTTACCGATGTGAGCAGTTCGTCTTCTTGTGGATTATGGCGATGCTTTGCTAACGCCTTCATTCGTCCAGGCACGGCAGTCTCTCTCGTCCAACTGGCGCCATCATTGTGTCGGCGCAAACGAGCTGATCATGCTCCGCGGCGGCCTACCCGAATTGTATCGCTCCTCGCCGGCCTTAAAGCAATCGTTGCTGTACTTCATCATGTAAGCGCCCCAGTTCCCCCATTTACCCACCAAGTTCCCTAATGATGGCGAATTGTGCAGCATCGGCGTCATCGGCAACACCACCACCCCCCCAGCGGACCAGATCGCCGCCGCGTCCCACGTCCACCTCATCGATTTCGTCGCCGAGATCTACGGCGATGGCCTCTTCCCCGTCCTGCCCTGCCCCCCATCCCTTTTCCGCAACATCATCGAGATCAACCACCTGCGATCCCTCGCCATGGACCCCGCCTGCGTCCGCGAGCCGCTCCAATCCGCCGCCCAGGCCCTCCTCGACCGCATCAGCGTCTTCTCCCCTCACCAGTGGTCCACGGCCAACGCAACCGCAACCTGCCACGACGAGTGGCTCCTTCTCGGCCGCATCTACCACTCTGCCGTCTCCCTCTTCGGCATCGCCGCTCTGCAGAGCGCCGGCCTGCTCCCTGCCGCGCCCCTCCTCGAGGCCACGCGCGCCGCCCACGCCCGCGTGCTCTTCCTCCTCCTCCGTCGCGCCATGCGCTCCCACCCCATCCAGAAGGGTATGGTGTGGCCGCTCATCGTCGCCGGCGTCGAAGCCGCCAATGCCGGTCCCGCGGATCGGGCCTTTGTGGACGAGCAGCTGACCGAGATGAGTCGCGATCTCGGTACCCCCGTGCCGCTGCAGGCGAAACCGCTGTTTCAGCGATTCTGGGGGTCAGAGAATGTGGAATGGGACGATTGTTTCGACCGGTCGCATGTGTTTGTTGTTTGACCGGATTTATGGATACGGCGATTTCAATTTTGGACTTGAGTAGCGTGTATATACCATGGCATCTTTTCCTTTTTTTTTTTTTTCTTTTTGTTTCCTATGATTATACGATTCGCCTGGCATCCAGCATGCACTCAGCATGCAAAGAGATGTCCGTGGTCGGGGTATGGACCGCTGCAGATATTGATCATCCATACATAGATGGCGCGATAGAAATCGAACCAGACATCCTGTACAATATAGTCAGTATGTAGTCCCATCGGCCCCGTAACTCACTCGAGTCGAGTCATTCCTCTACAAATCACAGAGTCCACGATCGACAAAATACCACCAGAGGCGCCGCCACCATCGAACTAACCCACTGCCCTAGTCGTTCGCGCCCATCACATCCCGACGGACATCCCCATCACAGACAGCCCGGCGGCATTGCGGCGCAGTTCAACCCGACCGACAGGAGATTCGCGCCCTGTTATTGGCACAGACCCGTGTGACAAGGGAGACTCCGGTGATGTGATGAGAACCTGCAGATGGGTCGGCCCCAACGGGATCTTCCGAGCCTGGCTGCCATCTTTCGTCCCTGACTGGTCTCTACCGTGCACTAAGTGGTTTAGCTCTTTCTGCCTCTCTGTGGGTGTCTCTCTCCTCCCCCGCAGGAGCACTGCTGAGTGAGATTCTCTCGCGATGGACCCCTTGGATTGGTTAGGTCGCTTGGCTGGTTGAGTGCCTGGTATCTGGTTGAAGTAGTCGGGTCGTTTCTCTCCCCGGTTACAACTTAACTTACGCATTCTGCGGACTATTCCATCCATCATCCCCTTTTGCCTTCCCCATTTTACTTGTTGCCTGACGAGAGTGACTTCTCCACATCGATGCTCTCCCCCGGTGACTGTCTGATTCGGTGGAGGGCTGGTTAGTGCGTCATCGGTTATCGCTCCGGAGAGACTGCGTGAGCGCTTGGGATAATTCTATCCACCATCGCGACCGGGTTCTGTCACTGTTTTCAAGTCGAACATTCTTTTCTTTTCTTTTCTTGTTTCCCTTTTCCTTTTATCGTTTGCTATTTCAGTCCCTTTTTGTGTCGACTTAATTCGTACCTGGTGTTATATCTATCCGCTGGGGAACATCACTGTCCACCAATCGAGCCATCATGAGTAGGGGCCTGCATTTGGATACCAATTTCGGGGCCAACCCGAGCAACCCGAGGTATTCCTTTCTGGAGACCCCGCTGGAAATGCATGCGCCCGGCCAGCAGAGCTTCCGCACAGAAGAACGGCCGCCCCAGTCTCTGCCACCGCAGCAGACAGAGCGTCCGACCGTGATCGAAGAGACTCCGCAACCAGTAGTGGACGAAAAAGCGCACTCACACCATGGCCCCGAGCCCAGGAGTCCCGATATCCAACAGCACCCGGCGAACTACGCCCCCTTCGCCGACGAGGTGCCACTGTCGCGACAGCCCCAACAGGCGGCTCCCGACTACCCGTATGGGAGTCCCCCGTCGTCTCCCGGTCCGCTGCCGATCAAGACGGGACACGAGATCCCTGACCATGCATCGAGACTCCAGATCGCACCCGTCGTGCCGGATGCGAATCCCCTGCAGTCACCCCAGCTGGCGTATTTCCCTCCCCCGACCGCCACTGAGGTCCCACGCACTCCTGCGCCGGGCAACATGTTGGCATACCACCAACCCGGGCAAGCCACCCACCCGAACCAGGAGATCCAAGGCGGTACTTGGAGCCACAGCCTGTGTGACTGTTCCAATATCTGGACGTGTTGCATCGGACTGTTCTGCCCCTGTATCCTATACGGAAGAACGCAGTACCGCCTGTCGAGGAAATCCCGCAAGGAGGACCCGACGAACATGCTGGGTTACGAGACCTGCAATGGATCCTGCACGGGCATGGCCTTGCTGTGTGGCTGTCAATGTGAGTAGACGAGCCTTCCCGACCCAACTCCCTGACGAGTAGTACGCTGACCGCAATCCACCTAGGGCTCATGGCGACCATCCAGCACTCGCGGACGCGCAAAGCATATGGGATCCAGGGCGATATCATGTCGGACTGTGTGCGAGCCACCTGCTGCACCTGCTGCACTCTCATTCAAGACGAGTCCGAGATCCGGAAACGAGAAGAAGACCGTGCCAAGGCAGCGCAGGCCACGGGAGCCGCGCTGGTATCCCCATACTCTGCTCCTCTTCCGATGACGTACGGGCCCGCCCCGTGAGGGGAGCTATTGGTCTAGAGACGACTGGTTTCCGTGATGTGATGGATGTCGCATGGTTGTTCCTTTCTTTTGATTTCTTCGTCGTCTCCCTTTTATATACCCCTTTTGATGGCATTTTCTCTTCAATACTTGAATATAGTCTCCTGTTTGCTTTGTGCAATCTTGTCCGGGCGTATCCACCTGCCCTATTTTGGTTACCGTGGAGCTGTTGGTGACTCCATTGCAATGTCTGTCATTCACTGGCGTTGACTCTGTCCACGAAAAAAACACGTTGTTAATGTTCTGTACCTAATCACCCAAGTGTGTGTATAAAAGAGAAACCGTCGTTGTATACGCAGATATCAGAGTATAGAAGTCGGGACAGAAATAGTAGGCGGTGAGGGCTGGTGGCGGATCACTGCCGCCTCAGGCTCCAATCGCCCCCTCTGATCGCAGCACGGAGTAAATCGCCATCTCCACCACAACTCTCACCTCGAGACAACATCTCTCGTGAACGGCTACTTGACTCCCTCTATAGTTCCGGTGGCTGGGTTGCTTTCTTGCTGTTTCGTACTTTCGACGTACTTTCGAAACCACTGTGATTGGTACGGTAAAGCCCTTGATTTGGTCTATCAACCGACTGTCGGACATTGCATCACAACATTCGGGGCAGCGAGAAGGGCGCAAATCGCACGCCGACCGGCGATTCACGACATGTATCCCCTACAGATGGTCTTATAGGGAATCCCGTCTGCTGCTTCGACCGGTGTCAATTGAGGGGCACCGTCCGAATATGGGGGATGATGGTCATCTGGCTCCCCGCCAGATCTGGGCGAACCCGACGACGACCAGTACAAAATCGTACGAACCGGGCTGTACTCCTTTCTTATTACCCAGTGATGGTATGTCAAACCCGGGATCAGTCGCTCAGTTGTGGAGGGTGCGGTTATCCGGAGAAGATCGGGCTGTTTCCTGTCCCCATGCGATGCGACTGGACGACCCCATGCGCTGTGTTAACGCGTTGCCAGGCCTCCTCTATTTCAACAACACATATGCAATAACCCTCACCGCGAATGGTGTCTACGAACCGATCTGTACTGGTGGACCGCGGCCGCCGAGTCACGCGAACCCGAACCTTGATACCCGCGATCCCTTTTATTCCTCCGTGATTCCCCAGCTGTACGCCATCGGCTGTGCCACTGTTGTCAGCTATCTACTCGTCATTATCCTCCTTATCACCCCACGCACATTCTATGTTGGCGGCCCCGGGGGTGGCGCCAACTTTTTGGGTCGTCATGGCATGATTAGCGGTTCCTACAGCGGCAATTCTTCCGTCGTGGGCGTCGGGGGGCGCCCATGGCTGCAGAAGGTCGCGGCCCTCCTGGTCGCCATATCCCTCACAATAGCGACGGCAGACTCGTTCCGTGTCGCTGAACGGCAATACATCCATGGGTTCTCCGATGCCGAGGCGCTCTCCGCGGAGGTGATTGACGGGATGGAGATTCGCGTGGTTCGGGTCATATCCAGCACGTTTCTCTGGCTCGCGCAGGTCCAAACGCTCATCCGATTGTTTCCTCGACACAAGGAGAAAATCATGATCAAATGGGCGGGGTTCGCCCTGATTGTCTTGGACACGGTATTTAGCTGCCTGGATAAGTTTCACGCCCAGTCAAACACAACACGACCGCGGCTTTACGAGGATGCGATCCCCGCTCTCAGCTACCTCTTCGAGCTCGCACTCAATCTCCTCTACGCCGCCTGGGTCATCTTCTACTCCTTGTCGAAACATCGATTTGCCTTCTTTCATCCGAAAATGCGGAACATCTGCCTGGTGGCGCTCTTGTCCCTCTGCGCCGTGCTAATTCCCGTCGTGTTCTTCGTTCTGGATATCGCCAAGCCCGAATGCGCTGGCTGGGGGACTTACATCCGTTGGGTCGGATCGGCGGCGGCGAGCGTCGTCGTCTGGGAATGGGTGGAGCGCATTGAGGCCCTAGAGCGCGACGAACGCAAGGATGGCATCCTTGGGCGGGAGATCTTCGACGGCGACGAAATGCTGGAGGTGACGCCGTCCGAGGAGGTGGACTGGCCTCGCCAGGCGTCGAATGTCCCCAATCGAGGTGGGGGAACCGGCGCTTCGTCTGGCTGGGGAGGGATGATGGGCCTGGCGCATCGACCGTTGCGGAACCGGGTCGTCTTTCCCGGCATCGGCCGTCCCGATCTGGAGAGCAACGCAGCGGGCTCCCGGCGTCGGCGACCGGCGCGTCCCACACCTCCGCCCGCCGCGGTGACCCCCGTCAGCCGCGCCGACACGACCAGCGCGGCGAGCACGGTGTACAATGTTCACTACCACCCGGTTTCCAGCCCCACGCCGCCCGCAACCATGCCTCACATGGACGAGGCGGAGGAGGAAGAGCATGACCTACACGCGACGGCGGCGGACAAAGAGCTATCGAGCACCCTGGACGGGAGACCGGGCGACGACCTCGCCCACCACGGCCTCTCCGCGCAGGACACTCGCGAGCACTCGCCACAGATTATCCGCACCGACCCCCGGTGGCGGACCTTCTTCAACGCGTTCCGCCGACGACGTGCATCCCTGCCCCGGGAAGTCGCCTCGGCCCAGGCATACGAGGAGCCCCATCGGAGATCCGAGGAATACGACCCGTTCATGGAGCACCAGGACGAGCCCCCGCGGTCGCGGATGGATCACCTCATGCCGTTCCCCTGGAGAACCCCGCCCGGGTCGGGTCGGCCGGGGTCCGACACCCCCTTACCCGTCACCGTCATCCCCGCCCGACGACGCGGCCCACACGCCTGGTCGCACGAGTGGTCCAAGGACCCCAACCTCCTCGGGCGGCCCCCCAGTCCGCGGGCGCGCTCCAACCGTCCTGACCTGCCGGTGCGGGTGATCCAGCCGCAGACCCAAACGGCCGCCCCGTGGGAACCTCCCAGCGCCGGGGAGTTCGGCCATGGGGACACCCAGTTACGGTATGACCCCGACGCGGCGGCCCTGATCGGCCTGGATGACCATCACTCGGATCGGGGTTCGGCGCAGCATGGAGAGATTCCAGAGGATCGCACGACCACCAGCGGGCCCTCGCGACCCTCGGCCTCCACCGGACCCTCCCCCGCCGGTTTCGACTCCGCGTCCCCTCCGGTGGACCAGCATACGGACGGTCGGCCCTCGCGATCGGACGATCTGCACGATGACGCATCCCACCCGGGCTAGGGTTCCTTCATCATCTTCCACGGCAGTCCCTGGCCGACGTTCTCACCGCGTTGGAGGTGTTGAGGGGTTGCGATTGCATTCATCTTTCTTCGTTCGATTCCATTCGGTGCTCTCTGATATCCTGGTCTTTTCTTCCTCTGGATTTAGCACGGTGTCTGGAGATATATAAATTTTTTTCTTTCTACATTTCCCTTTCTTGTTGTGGTTTCTCCACTGGGTCTAGGTCTTTCTGTCCTTCCCTTGGGCATCGGGTGGACTGGTTTTTGGGTATGGTAAGGTATTGGGTATATTCTATTGAAATGGGCGTGCCGGGGACATGAATTAGGTCCGAATTGATCTCTATGACTTGTCTGTATATATATCAAATCTATCTGTCTACATAATGATAATCTTTCATGATACTTCTTGACTATTTCTATTGATTGTGGGCCTATTCTCTGTAGTCTGTGCTGCTGACTGTGCACTGCATAACTCCAACTTCGCTCGGGCATCTGCTGCTCCGACCGCCAATCAGAACCCGCCATTTTATGCTATGATTTTCTCTTTGTCTCCAACTTTCTCAGGCTCATATCTCACTCCGGTCATCTTCATCGCCATGACCTCCTCTCTCCGGTCTTTGACTTGACTCGTTTCTACTTCTTTCACTGTTCATATAGGCCGATCCCCTTCTTCCTGCGACAGTTGATCGATCCGACCGATCGATCGATACCCCATTGCCCCGCCACGCTCATCCTCCCCCAGACGTAGCGCCTCAGTCCATGCCGCGACATCCTCACCTGGGGGCGTCGCGTCATGGCGACCGTCAATCGGAACATGTTTGATACCGCTGTCACAGTCGATCGGCCGCGTGGAGGCTCATTGATGGCCTTACCGCTGAACCTGATCGCGACGATCATCTCCCACGTACGTTGGTCCCTCCGGTCCCCCGGAAGGTCGGATCCCACAGCAGACGGAAGGCTGACTTGGGCGTTGGGGACGACCAGGTGGATGACCAAGGCGACTTGGCTCGTATCTGCCGAACGTGTCGCGTTCTGAACTACATGGCCCTTCCCGAACTCTACAGGCACATGATCCTCACCTCCTACGACCGCATCCGATACCGCGACGAGCAGCCCGAGGGTATGGGCAGCGCGAGTCCCTTCACGATGGGACTGAATGCCGTGATCACGCGACCGTTCGCCACGCTGGTGCGGTCGCTGACGCTGCGGGGCGACTGGCGCGAGCAGGAGCTTGAGGAACACGCGCGCGTGGGCCGGGTGCCGGACGCCTCGATGCTGTTGAACGTCGCGGTGCGGGCGGCGGTGGATCGGATGACGGACCTCGAGAGCTTCAGCTGGGAGCTGAGCACCAAGATGCTGGAGACGGTCTACCAAGGCCTGGCGCAGCGGCCGCGTCTCCAGTCGCTGACGCTGCGCTTCCCGTCCAGCCGGCACCCGCGACCGACGATCGTCATCCCGGCCATGCCGCACCTGCGGCACCTGAAGGTGACCGACATCGACCCGCTCTGCTATCCGGACGACATCTCGACGCTGCTGTTCCACTGCCGCAAGCTGCGCGAGCTCAAGATGCACTGGTCGCCACGGATGCGGAACGCGCAGGAGCCCAGTGTCAAGCTGCACGACTACTTTCGCAAGTGCATCACGGCGCGGCGGCCGCTGGCGTTGAAGAAGCTCGGGCTACAGAACCTATATGCGCTACACAGCGAGGAGTTCAACCTCGCCTTCGACCCCTCCACCTGCGAGGACGTGACGATCCTGAGCAACACCGGGTCTGAAAGCCCCTACTTCATGAACACCTTTGTCGACAGCACTTGGCCCACCGCGCCCCCCAACACCCGGTTGCGCATCAAGAGTGTGCGGCAGGATAATACCTCGCGACGCCACGTCGAATTCCTCCGCTCCTTTACGGGGCTGGAGCGGCTGTACTTCGTCAGCGCGACGGGCGCCCAGGATACCGACCACGTCAACAACCCCCGACGCCCGGCACGCCTGACAGAGGAGGGGCTGGCCCAGACGGATGGTGCCACCGCGCCCCCGCCCCCGCCCCCGCCTCTGAGCCCCGCGAATTCGCCCGGCCTGCAGGCCAGCATCCGCGACAGCTACCTCAACGTCATCGGCACGAACCACGCCACCAGCCTCCGACATCTCCTCCTCCCCGCGCACTGGCCCCTGTCCGCGGGCGCGGTCGCCCGCCTCATGCACACTAGCCCGCAGCTAGAGCAGCTAGGATTCGCCAGCGACAAGTCGGGCATCGAATCCCTCGGGCTGCTCATCCCTTTTCTCCGCAAGTTGGAGGTGCTCCGCCTCCTCGTGCCGACGGGGCCCGGGAACCCGACCCCGACCCCGCGGGGGGTGCCCGGGCGCGGGGCCGGGCACTGCTCGGACCCGGGGTCGGCACGCACGCTGGCCGAAGTGGTGGAGACCGACGACCAGATCCTGATGGACCTACTGAGCGAGGCGCTGGGGGACCCGCAGACGTTCAGCCAGCTCAAGATCATCGGGCTCGGACACAAGGGGTTCCAGCTGGGTGGGTACTACACGATTCCCGTCAGCGCAGTCGTCGACCGCCCGGTAGAATCGCAGTGCCAGTCGCAGTCGCAGTCGCAGTCTCAGACTCCCACGGGGACCGCGCCCCCAACCAACAGCACCACGCCCGAGGACGGACGGGCGACGACGGCTTCCCCGGACTCCCGTGGGGCCGCCCACCCCGGGGATTCCAAGCTCTCCATTCCGCGTCCGCAGCCCCCGTCGTTGCTGGGCAAACGCCAGCGGGAAGACGAGCACGTGTGGGCTGGAGACCCCGCCACGGACACAGACTCCCCCATCATCTGCATGCCGCCCATCCTGCCCACCGCGGACGGACGACTCTGGCGGCGGCAGGTGAAACGGGTGGGATGGGAGACGCTACGGCGTTGGGAGATCTGGGGGCTCGACACGCAAGAGCTGTGAGGCTGCCCTCCCATCTATTCCTGATTCTCCAAGAACTCTATAATCTTCGTGTCCTGTACATATAGAGTCGTTAAATATATCAGATACCCGTTGGACACCCCATCCCGACCACTATCACGTGCGGCCTGAGGCAAACATCGGGCCGATCCGGTGCAGGCTCAGTCTAACCCCATCCGGTTAGTGTCGCCTCGGGGTTTGCTCGGCAGGAAAACAAGACATGGGAATAACTTCATCTTCTAACCTCATGGTCGACGCATACTGATATCAGAGACTCAGGAGGTATGATGCCCTCCGTCGTGATGGAGCCCTGCTCATCCTGGCAGGCAATGCTTCAGTATAACGTAACTCAATGAGTCGGTCGCGCCCCCTGTCGTCACCCGTGGAACAGACCAGTCGACGCCCCGGCAAATGGCATGACACTCAGCCACCGACGGTCCGGGTGGATCTCACCGACCCATCTCATTCGTCCCAACCTACAAACCCTCTAGTTCGCCTCTATCAAATTCTTCCCCGCGGAGATCCTTTGTCCTCTGCCGAAACCCCGGTCTCTTGGATTCGGCTTCGGGGGAGCCCGACAGGCTTGGGATTGGGATTCAGGGCCAACCACATGGATGGAAAATTCAAGATGAAAGCCCTCGTGGTGGACGCTCGGGAATTTCCCGGCGAGGTTGACCGTGTTGTTTTCTTGATTTTCTGGTGATTTCTTTTCTAATACATATTTTTTTTCTTTTCCCTTGTCTATATAAACCTGGTCAGCCCCATCTTCTCGCCACTCTCTTTCTGGTTCACCATCCTATTGTCTTTCCTTTGTGATTCCATCCAATTGACCGGATCAAACACACCTTCACCATGAACCACCGCTCAGTTACTATCGCAGCCCAGGTGGTCATCACCTCCGCCCTGGGCTACTACCTCTACAAAGCCATTAGCGCGCGACGCCAACTCAATGCCAAACCGGCCCAGTCGGCCGTGACGGCGCCGCTGACCCCTGAGCAGATCGCGCTCATCAAGGCCACGGTCCCCGTGCTGGAGCAACACGGCGTCACCATTACCACCGTCTTCTATCGCAACATGCTGGCCGCCCACCCCGAGCTCAATGACGTCTTCAACGCCGCCAACCAGGCCAACGGCCACCAGCAGCGCGCCCTGGCCGGCGCCCTGCTGGCCTACGCCTCCCACATCGACAACCTGGCTGTCCTCGGCCCCGCCGTCGAGCTCATCTGCAACAAGCACGCCTCCCTCTACATCCAGCCCCGCGACTACGAGATCGTCGGCAAGTACCTCCTCGAGGCCATGGGCGAGGTCCTCGGCGACGCCCTGACCGACGACCTCCGCAACGCCTGGGCCACCGCCTACTGGGCCCTCGCCAATCTCATGATCGACCGCGAGGCCGCCCTCTACCGGGCCAGCCACGGCTGGACCGACTGGCGCGACTTCGTCGTCGCCCGCAAGGAGCCCGAATCCGACGAGATCACCTCCTTCTACCTCCGCCCCGCCGACAACCGGCCCCTCCCGCCCTTCAGCCCGGGCCAGTACATCTCCGTCCGGGTCAACGTCCCCGAGCTCAACACCCTCCAGCCCCGCCAGTACTCCCTCAGCGACCAGCCCCAGCCAGACTACTACCGCATCAGCGTCAAGCGCGAGTCCGGCCGCCAGCCCCAGCACCCAGGCTACGTGTCCAACGTGCTCCACGACCGTATCCAGGCCGGCGATACCGTGCAGGTCTCGCACCCCTTCGGCGACTTCTTCCTCTCCGCTCAAGACTCCACCCCCACTGCCCCCAAGCCCACGGCCCCAGTGGTCCTCCTCTCGGCAGGCGTCGGCCTCACCCCGCTCATGTCCATGCTGAACACCACCATCAGCAGCTCCCGCCGCATCCACTTCATCCACGGCTCGCGCTCGAGCTCCGCCCGCGCCTTCCACGCCCACCTGCAGGCGCAGGCCGCTGCCTCCCCCCACCTCAAGGTCACCCTGTTCACGAGCCAGCCGGCTGCAACGGACAAGCAAGGCGCAGACTACCACTTTGCTGGCCGCGTCGACCTCGACAAGCTCGACCCTAAGGAGGACCTGTTCTTGAATGACCCCCGCACTGAGTACTACATTTGCGGACCTGAAGGTTTCATGACGGATGTGGCGGCTGCGCTGGCGAAGAGACAGGTTGGGTCGGAGAGGATCAAGATGGAGTTGTTTGGGACGGGGGGTGTGAATTGATTTCTCCCCCTTTTCCTCTGTATCTTTTTTGTTGATTGCTTGGATTGATTTGCGTGCATTGCGGCGCGGATAGCTGTATATTACTTGGTTGCTGCTGTAGATATATTAGAAATACCCCTCTCTTTCAATACAAAATAATCATATGGATTATTGATCAAGTCTTAAATCTGACTGTCGTCCTGGATATGGGAGTTTGTAGAGATATCCTGATCCAACGGATTAGGGGGTAGACTTTCATCTCTACTATACGAGTAATCTCCTGTACGTGCCCAAGTTAGTTCACTCATTCAATAGGGTAGACTATGGGAGATTAAGAATAGATCAAGCATAAATGACATTATGCTATCTTATAGACACCTCCCGATCATACAGTCCACACATCTGCACAGATCCAATGAAATATGAAACAAAAGGGAAAAAGATATCAGAGTAAACCTCCGCGCTCACAAGCCAGTCGTTGCGTTGCATCCGCCGTAGAATATCATGTCGTATCACATCACACACATCACATCACATCAAACCAACCAGTCCACGATCTCATCAGTCGATGAAAAAGTCAACTATAAAACAGAAGCAAAAGATGGGAGAAGAAGAGAAGACATCACGGAACAAACGGTGACATCCCGGACTCCCCACCCTCTCCAGCCGGGTTATTACTCCCATCATACTGCTCGTTCAGCAGCACCTCCAACATATCCAGCTCGCCGACCATCGGTCCCGTGCCGCCGAGTCCCTGGTCGACGACGGCCGTCGAGCTGTTGAAGAACTGGTCTAGCGGCAGCGCGAACCAATCCGGAAGGACGGCCGCGTGGTCGTTGAGTGACTGCGATGGCGGCAGCCCGTCGAGGTCGCTGCCAGCGGGGGGCGTCGCGTGCGGATCGTAGTAGTTGTAGTAGACTGAGGGCGGGGGCGGCATGAAGGAGACGTTGATGTTGGATGAGTTGATTGGCTGTGCGGGGATGCCTGCGAGGGGATCGTGGGCTGAGATGGGCGTTGACCCTGTCTGTGACGGCGGTCGCGGAGGCTGTTGCTGATGCTGATGCTGCTGCTGCTGCTGTGGCTGTTGCTGCTGAGGTTGATGTGCGGGTGGCGCGGGCGCGGGCGGCGCGGTGCCGTCACTGTAGCTGAGGTTCTGCGAGCTGGGCGCCGGCGTCCACGGGGCCATCGACGTGCCCTCCCGTCGGCTGGCGGGACCGTCCCGCGGACGCGGCGAATGCGGACGCGAGACCGGCGCGGAGTTGCGGTCGGGCGCCTCGCCGTCTCCGCCGCGGTCCAGCGGGGCGAATCGGAGGAATCGCGTGCGGATGCTGGTGGTGAGCAGCTCCAGGAGGCGCGAGATCGCGTGGCTGAGATGGACGTCGTCTACCACGTGGGTCCGGAGGGCTTCGATGACCCGATCCTGCAGGTCCAACGAGACCCGCACGTCATCCTCTTTGGCGCCTAGGGTGAAGGTCTGCAGTTCGTCAGTATCAAGGTTGTATCGGAGGGGAGGGGAAGGTGGTAGACCAAAGGGAGATAGATACCTTTAAGATAAAAATCATCCCCGACAGGATACGAAAGCAAGTCCGGACCGGGGCATGTTTGAGGTGATCCCCCGGCACAAGAACCTCGAGAACGGTGGTGAGGATGCGGCGGGAGGCGTCGACCACCTCCTGGATGTAGGGCTCGTTAACACGATACAGCTCCATCAGAACATGATACCCCCCGCTCCCGGACGGGGCGGGCTTGGCCTGGGCGGCCTCGTTGGACATGGTGGTCCAGCGATCCACGACGGCCTGGAGGGCGAGCGAGTTGACGTACAGCCGGGTGTACTCGTACTCGATCATGAGGATGCTCCGCATGGCCGGGGCCAGGTGGATGGAGTCCAGGTCGCGCCGCCACTCGCGGAGGAAGGGCTGGAAGCGGTCGATCTGGTCGCGGTAGCGGCCGCTGCGGATGAGCTCCGAGGTCTGCTCGTTGGAGGCGAAGAGCAGCTGGTTGCTCTGGTACATGATCTTGGAGATGCCGATCCAGCAGTCGTGCATGCGGTCGACGACGGCCTGGTCGCCGTCGGCGCCCGGCTCGGCCGTCGGCTGGATGTCGTTGGTCCACTGGGGGAGCGGCAGCATGGAGGGGATGCCCAGGCGGCCGCTGCTCTGGGTGATGTAGACGAGGATGAGCCGGCGCAGGCGGCGCTTGCGGATCTGCTCGGCGGCCGACTCGGTGGCGACGCGGGCCTCGCTTCGCTGGTCGAAGACGCCCAGCTCGAAGGCGAGGGCCTGCGCCGTGCTCAGCAGCATCCAGGACATGCGGTCGGACCGCCAGGCGGGCTCCAGCCACTTCTGGAAGGCCAGCCGACCCTCGGCGGCGGTGATCGGGGCGCGGTGGGGGCCGTGGTCGAGGTCGACCTCGGGGTGGTGATGGTCCCGGTCGGCGCGGCCCAGCTGGGCGTGGGCATCCAAGTCCAGCAGCGCGTTCTCGTCGTCGCCGGGCGGGAAGTGGAGGTTCCGCGGGTGCCAGTCGGTCAAGATCAGCAACGCCTCGATGGTGCCCAGCGACCGCAGGTTCCCCTTGGCGGGGCTCCGGGTCGCCGGCGCGGCCAGGTCAAAGGACCGCGGTTTGCTGATGCCGACACCGCCGCCGCCGAACTTCTCCTGGCCCCAGAAGAGACGCTCGATCATGCCCCGGAGGTAGGACCAGAGCCGGTCGTGGATGTAGAAGGCGCGGGTGTAGGCGCCGTCGCCCTTGGGCTTCATGTGGCGCGAGGCCGTGGTCAGGATGGTCACGGCCAGCACGGGCTCGTCGGTCAGCAGCGCACGGTGCGTGGACGGGGGGGCAAAGTCGGCGATGACGATGGGACTCAGGGGAGCGAGATGCTCGTAGTAGCTGCCGTGGGTATTAGTTGGGGATAAGACGCCACGAGACAGGGGAAAGGGACAGGGGAAAGGACCGACTGTGCTACATAGGCCATGCATTCCTCCACGGAGAGCCAGCCCGCGCGGACGAATCGCAACCGCGACCACGCTTTGACCGCGTCCTGGAAGCCCGGGTCGCGCGGGGGCGCCGACGACGTACTGGGCGGCGCGCGGTCGTCGGCGGCGCCCGGCGCAGCCATCGACTCCGACCCGCCCGCCTGGTAGTACTGACCGACCTGTATGGCGCCCGAGCGGGGCGGCCGCGAGAACGAACCCCCGGCACTGTGCGGCGTCCCCGCCTGGGTCATGGGGGACATGGGCGAGTTGAAGGACGAGACGGACTGGCGGGCGGCGTATCGATTCTCGCGGCTCTGGCGATTGAGATCCTCCGTCCGACCGGCCGCTTCGGACAGCAAGTGAAGCGCATCATGACTGTTACTGATCGCGGGCGACAGCAGCTCGACGGCGGTGCGGTTCATCATCGGCTGGCCGCCCTCGAGTCCATACCCGGAACCCGCCCCCGGACCCGCCCCCGACCCTGACCCCGACCCCGCGCCCGGAACTGGACCAGGATACATGAGTCGAGACCCGCGGGACTCGGAGAATGACCGTGTCGACGGGGCCGGAGGCGCCTTCACCGGGTAGGTGGGTGGTGGTTGGGACGGGGGGGGGACGGGGGGACTGTCGGGCCACGTCGGTCGGGTCGTCGTCTCGATCGCGGCGTCGGGGGCCGGGGTGGGAGGAGGATAGGACGACGCGTGACCGGGGGAAGCATCGGCAACGACCTCCCCGACCATCATCCGTTTATCACGTTGCAGGGAATCCTCGCGGGACTCCTCGACCTCGGAGGCCTTGCGTTTCCGTCTCGTGGCGGAGAACTCGCATCGCTTACTCTCGCGGCGGCAACGGACGCAGGGCGGGGGACGGGGGTTATCGACGCCTGGAAATCAGTCAGTCAGTCTTCTCACCAGCCCCATTTGTCGACGATCGAACATACTCCCCAGATCGCACTTCACCTTGCGTTGTCGACAGGGGTCGCAGGCCTGGTAACCGCGACGGTGCTGGGAGGATTGGGATAGCGACGGTCGGGGCGAAGGCGATCGGCCCTGAGAGTAGACGGTCGATTCCCTCTGGCCCTGACTGGCGGGCATGACTCCGACGGGCGACAGAAAAGGAACGTCAATAAAAAAAAACAGAGCCAATGGGGTAGAATAGGATGGGGGAGATGGAGCGGAGAGGGTAATGGAGGATAGGAGTGGAGTGGAGGGAAACGAGCGGGGAGAAAAAAGACCGACGCAAAGCGAGCGCGATGGATCGGGATTGATTTCCACTGGATTTATACCGGCACACCAGACTAGAATTTCCTAGAGTATTGTATTTACATCCATATAACTATTGATAATGAGAACCATCTTGACTTTCTGGATATTACAGAATGACGACAGAATCCCCCTTGCGCCCAACTCGCCACAATCCATTGGGACAAACCCCCCCATCCCCATGACCCCATCCTGGTCATTCCCCCGCGCACAGCAATCTCACCGGGCATGCAGGACCAGGGAGGGAGGGGGCGTGACCCACTGTGCTCCTGGGGGGAGGTTCGTGACGGGTTGGACAGACCGAGACCAACCAATCCGTTCGAAAGAAACCCCCCTAAGGGCGCACCGTCTGCGACCCCAAGCGACACTAACGGCGCCACACAGTCGGTCCCCTCCCCCATTCGGAACGATCGCGAAGGTTCTTTCACTCAGGGCGCGTGCGTCGCGCGGAGTCGTAGCCCCCGTATCCCGCCGGCCTTCCGGGCGGGGATCGCGGTGGGTCCCGCCGTCAGCACGTACAGGAGGTACTTGAGGTTCGGCAGGGTCTGCCGTCGGTCGAGCCCCCGCAGCCCCTGCGTGTTCATCACGAACTCAATGTCCTTGTTGAGCAGGAAGACCCCGTAGTCGAAGCGTGCCGGCGCCGGACCCGGATGGAGGGGATACCGCCGGGGGGCCAGGTCGACCGAGACCGGGTCGTGGATCTGCGACTGCGACAGGGCCGGGTGAATCGGGTAAGGGACGGGAGCCGACAGGTACAGGGACAGCAGGTGCACGAGGTGGGCCGTCCACCCCAGCGCGGCGGCCAGCCGGTCGCGGTCGTCGACGTCGGCAAAGTCCGAGTTGGGCAGCGGCAGCCCCACGATCGTGAAGGCCAGCGGCTGGTCGGCCACGGGCTCGATCGGGTAGATGGCCAGCAGGTCCTCGGCGATGCGCCGCAGCTGGCCCCGGGTCTCCGCGCCCGTCTGCGCCAGCAGGGCGGTGCTGGCGGCCAGCTTGGCCCGCGCGTCGGGGAGGTGGCTGCGGGCGCGCTCCTGGACCTGGCGTCCGCGGGCCATGGCGTCCCGCCGCGCGCGCAGGCTGGCCGCCAGGGCCTCGCGGCGCCGGGTGGCCAGGCGGAGCTGCTTGCGTTCCGCAGCCACCGCCTGTCGCGTGAGCGCCAACGTCTCGCGCGCGGCGGCGGCCTCGCTCGTGGTCGCATGCGCCGGTCGGTGGGTCTCGAGGATGGCGGTGATCTGGGCCTCGAGGCGGGCCCGCGTCGTGCGCGCGTCTTGGATGCACTCGTCCAGGTTCGCCAGCCGCATCAGGGCGTCGTACGACGCCGTCGGCAGGGCGGTCCCCTCCGCCCGGGAGGCGACCGGGGCCGACGCCGACACCGCCGCGGGCGGCAGGTCGGTCAGGCTCGTGTACACGCCGTCTGGGAAGTGGAAAATGAGGGAGTTGGGTGGTAACGGGTGGTGAAAGCCGTCGAGGGACCGGCCCAGGAACTGCAGCGACGGCAGCGACAGCCGCCACTCTACCAGGAGCCCGTAGGCGTCCGCCGGGGTCGCCCGCGCCCACACCCGGACCATCAACCAGTCTCCCCGCGCCACCCCCGGACCGCATCGGGTCAGGTCGAAGAAGCGGAAGCTCGGGTTGGTGGCGTTCTCGACCACCTCACTCACGTAGACCGGCGGGGCGGCGCCTTCCGCGGACCGGGCCTCGGTCTCGCCCTCAGTGTGCAAGGAGAACCAGGTATCGGCCATGCGACTTCGGGTGATGGCCTGCAGCTGTCCCTCGCGGGTACGCGGGTCGAGGTCCGTCCCGGGCAGCGTACTGCGTCGCCGGACGGGCCGACGCGCGGGCGATGACGCTGGACGATGGGCGGGTATCTTGTCCTTGTTGCCGTCGACCCCGGCCGCGGGCAGGTTGGTGAATGAGCGAGACTGCGGGATGGCGGATCTCGCATCGAGGGCGAGTCGCTTGAAGGGCGACTGCAAGGCATTGGGGACCTCTTCATCGTCGATGGTCTTTTTCCGATTGGGAGGATTGGGCGGAGTGAGGACGAGATTGCGGAGCGACAGACCGTGGAGGTGTCGCACGCGCCGGTTCTAGCGTTACTTTCTGTCAATGCGACTGTTCTTATCATGTGTTTATGGAAAATGATCTTGTGTCCATACCGTCGGCAGCAGCCAGGGAGTCTCGCGACGCGTGGTGGCATCGGGACCGGGGTCATCCCCGCTCAGCGACATGGTGGGGATAGATCATGCTAGGGTAGCCCCTTTGTCGTGAGTGAGTCAACGAGTGCAAGTGCAAGTCCACGTCAAAAGTCGAAAGTAACAGGTACAAGACCGAAAGGAAGAGAAATGAAGCCCAAGTCGAGACGATGATGATGATGATGCTGCTCCCAATCGGGTTTAGCCCCGGTCGAAAAAATGATCCGGTCCTCACCTCTTCTTCTCCTCCGGGATGTCTGCATCCTCGATCATTCTACAGCTTCACCTTCGCCATTCTCGGTCTGCAATCCTGACGGTTCAAGTCACCAGTCAGGCACCATGGCCTCCGCCCCCAAATCCTCCATCCAGAAGATCCTGGATCCCACCAAGATCGGCACCTGGAACGTCGTCCGTCGTCCGCCCGTCGAGAACCACAGCCTCATCCAGGGTCGATCAAGAGAACAGAACTCCAATGCCTTCAAGTTACATCAGTTCAAGGAGGGGGTTCGGTTACGGAAGGCCGTCAATGCCATCACCCACGGCAAGAACATCTTCGTCTACCACAACATGCGCACCAACCAGGTGGTCTACTCGCTGACGCGATATCTCGAGGTGAGCCTTGATAGAGAGATCATTCCCCCCCTTCCCCTCTATGAGGAAGGGAGACTAACAGAATAGAAACACAACGTCCTCCGGCAACTCGTCTACCACGGCAAGAAAACCGTCCCCGCCTCCCTCCGCAAGGACATGTGGGTCCCCTACTACTCCGTGCACTTCAACGACGCCCAGGTCGGTCTCCGCGCCTACCATCTCCTCCGGGAATTCTCCCTGCAGCGTCAGCTGGCGCCCCCGCGCGACATGATCACCATCTCCGACCAGTGGCTCGCCCAGCGACGACCCCGCGATCCCGAAGCCGCCAAGGAGTTCGACGACAAGTACGCCGACAAGGTCGGCTGGCTCATGGAGAAGAAGCACCGCGCCCGCGCCCTCATGGACCAAAAGGCCACCTCCGTCGCCGACATGGCCGCCGTCCTCGCCATCCAGGCCGACGAGATCGCCAACGGCTTCGCCCGCCGCCTCCGCGGCTACCTCACCCCGACGGCCCGTCGTCGTCGCCGTGAGGCCCGCAAGCGCGAGCAGGCCCTCGCCGAGTCCCAGGCGGCTCGCGTCAACGCCTTCGAACACACCCTCAGCACCGGTCCCGCCAGCGTCGAGTACAAGGTCGAGGAGACCCCCGCCAACACCAACTCCCTGCCGGATGACCTCGTCAAGGTCCTCTGGACGGACCTCTACGACGCCCAGTTCGCCCCCGCCTGGCCCGACCGTGTCCGCCACGGCGAGCTCGACCAGTCCCGGGACCACGTCATGCCCGGCCCGCACCCGACTTACGCCCAGGGGGCTGAGATCCTGGCCGACGGTGCCTTCAACGAGAAAAACCCGGTCGAGCCGCCGACCGAGAAGACTGTGTAGATGAAGGGAAGGAGAAGATTTATGTCCATATCGAATTTGTACTTTTAGATTTTACGGCGTTGTAACCCAGTACACAATACACTATTCAAGGATTCTCCCATCCAGCGACCAGTAGATCGTAGACGTTGGACGATAATGGTGGATGATATGATGGTGATAAGAGGTATTCTTCTTCCAGACAGCCCATCAACATGTACAGCACCGGAGCACCCGCTCAGGAGATCAAAATGGACAGCACCCCAAATCCATTCCCCCCGGAGCCCGTCCTCAAACAGACTAAGGTGATGAGGGTAGAATCAAGATGTCGGAACAGAATAGGAAACGAAAAGAAATCAATTGGCTCTCCAGAGCACCCGGAACCACCATCATACCCCGACACAAGAGCCCAAGGAGTAGGGATCCCTACGATAGAACAGATAATGAAAAATAGAAAAGAAAGGCCGACAGCCCGCGACCCACGCCAGTAACCCAAAACAGTGCAAACGAAAAGAAAAAAAAAAAGACAAGAAAAGAAACATTACGACCCCTCCGGCTTGGGCGGCGGCGCCAACGGCGGTGCCTCACTGTGCTCGTTGACCGACAGCTCCGCCTCGTTGGACATCTTCTGCAGGATCTCCTCCTTGGCCTTCTCCCCCGCCTCCGAATCGTCCGTGATCCCGGCGTTGGCCATGCTCCGCCGCGCGCTCTCCACGATCTTGTCGGCTTCGCTCAACCCCGGTTCTGTGGGCATCGACGGGTCGCCCGCCACGCCGATCGGGTCGGCCGTGCCGTTGACGACCTCCCGAACCCGGTCGCTGTTCAGGCGGATCACCATGCAGGACAGGTTGTCCGTGCTGAACCGGGCCAACGCGTGATCCAAGAGCACCTTGGACGCCTCCTGGGCATCGTGGATATGTCGGATCAGATCGACCGCTTCCTGGTCACTGCAGACATCCCACAGCTATCCGAGCATCAGCATTTCATCCTGTAAACCCGAAGAGAGAATCGGGGAATTAGGGAAGGGAGAAAGAAAGAAAAAAAAAAAAAACTAAAAACTAAAAACTCACCCCGTCGCAGGCCAATATGATGAATTCGTCCGCATCCGGTTGGATCACGGTCTCCGTCGTGTACGGATGCCCCGTGACGAGATCCTTGATGTAGGCATCCCCCAGGGCACGGGTCACGGCCAGCACGCCGTTGACGCGGTTGTTCAGGATCAATCCGCCGGCGTTGGCGATCCGTTTCCCCTCGTTCTCATCGCTGCCCTTGTGGTCGTACGATAACCGGAGGGCCTTGCCGTTCCGGCAGAGGAGCACCCGGGCGTCGCCCACGTTGGCGGTGTACAGGACGCGCTGCCGGACCGCCTTCTCCTGGAGCTTGGGGATCAGCGCCGCCCCGCCGGCGGAGGCCTGCGTCGGCGTCTCCCCGGCCGCGCCGGCGTCCGCGGCATCTGCGTTGGTCGGCGTCGCGGCGGATGCGGACGCGGCGGCGGCGGCGGGGGCCAGGGCGGCCGACCCGGTGGCCGAGTGCGCGTTGGGCACCCGGTCCTCCCACCGCAGCAGGGCGACGACCGCGGTGCACCCGCTGTTCTTGACGGGCAACTTCTCCAGCTGCTGGTCGACGCTGGTAAAGGCCTGGTCGAGCAGCTCGGGGACCGCCATGTTGGGGGACCGACGCATGACCTCCTCGAGGATCAGGTGCAATTTCTTGCCACACCAATCGGCGGCGAAGGTGCCCGCATGCCCGTCGAAGATGGCGAAGTACCCGTTGTCCGTCTCCACCGCGCCGGGGGGCGTCTCCTCCGTCCGTGGCGACGCCGGTTCCCCGGCGAGACGGTTACTATCTGTGGTGGTGGTAGTAGCAGCAGCATCGGTGGACGGCCCCGGTGCGGGCGCGGGCGCGGGCGTGCCGAGGAAGTTGTACAGGTAGGCGTGGGTGTCCTCCATGGTGCGACGACATTTTCGGTTCTGGTCCTCGGTGACACCGACCTTGAACGAGGAGCGGGGGGTGGGGACCGACTCGCCGGCGGAGTTGTTGAAGGAACCCTGGGGGACGGTCAGGGCCGGGTCCATGGTCCCGAGTTTCTGCAGCGCGGTGAGCTCGCGGATCGGGACGGAGCCCGACGAGTTGTCCCGGGACCCGTTGAGACTCAGGGAATTTTTGGCGTTGCTAAAGAAGGTGGCGGCCTTGGTGACGGTACTGCTCCGGCGCTTCTTCTCGCCGGGAGGGTTGCTCTGTTCCTCACTGGTCCGACGGCCAAAGAAACCACCGGGGGGCGAAAACTTCTTCTGGACGGGGGCGGATTCCTCGGTGCGAGCGGGGGCGGACGGTGTGTCGATGGCAGTAGCCTGGGGGATGGTGTCGAATTTATCTTTGGGTGGGCTCGAGGAGCCACTGAACATTCGGTTCAGCAACCCACCCTGGCTCGAAAAGCTTCTCCGCTTATTTCCTGCCAGCTTGATTGTGGGACGCGAAGTCAACAGGAACCCAGGGAAAGAGTTGGAGGCCACGACACCGTCGAGAGCGACGCGAGAAGTCGAGTGTGGGAGAGATAAAGAGAGAGGGAGGGAAGGAGAGGAGGTGGTAGGCGGCGTTGGTGGCGGCGGCGGCGGCGGCGTATCCCACGGAGGGGGGGAATTCAGCGGACTGACGTAGGATCGGGGGAGATGCGGCGGAAGCGAGAGGCACCGGAACTGGAGAGTATGAGAAGTCAGTCAACGACACCTCGAGCGTTTCACCGTAGCCACCGATCAGATTGATGAACAGGGGAAGTGCCGATCCAGACGGCGTCTCATCACCCGTCCCAATCTTCTCCTATTGATTTTATTGGCAAGGGGGGAGAGGTTGGATGTCGTCAAGGGATTTACCCTCACACACGGAACAGGCGACCATCGTCAATCCCCATCCATCCTCGATCCTCGAATCCCGGTATTCAAGAAACCAAATTCCCTGGTCCCTAGAATCTGGATCTCCACACCACCATTGCGTCGAGGGAACCTGATAGGAGAAGGAGAAAGGGGAGGGGGAGGGGGAGTAAAGTGTAGTGTCTGGAGAGAGTAGACAGCGTAACTCACCGAAGAGGAATCCGATGGGAGGGAGGACAAGGATGATCTCCAGATAGAAAAGAATCCGAAGAATCAGCCGAGCCGAGAAACGAGGATATTCTAGTGAACAGATGGCAAAAGGGAAGAGAGGAAGAATGAAGAGAAAGAGAGAGAGAGAGAGAGAGAGAGAGAGAGAGAGAAAGTGACGATAAGTCGGACTCGATCGTCAACTATTCTTAGTACTGGATTTGGCTTACGAGCCTGTATCAGCCTGACCTGATTTATGAGCATTACGCGCGGGGCACGCAGGGGATTGCTAAGTCAGCGGGGTCTGAGACCGTACCGAACCCACTCTGACCGGTGGATGCCCGCTTTTCTGGGGTATTATGCAGGTGATGACCCGTTTGGTACCGGTATCAAGATTACCGGGGAGAGCTGGTCATCGCAGGGATACTTCGCTGGTACCGCTGGGATCAGCCAAAATGGGAGGGGGGGGAAGTAACGTCCGGGTACCGACTAGTCGATCCTCAACAGACTATTGGAATAGTCCGAAGACTCCTAAGTCCCTGACAACGAGGACCTACACGATCCAGGAGAAAAGGAGAAGGGTTCGAGATCTCGGTCGCAAGACAGTAGACTATCGATCCGATCGGACATCGAGCCGGAATGCAAGTGGTGGGACGGGTCCTCCAGGGACCATCCAGTCCCAGTCAGATATATCTACATAGTGCATACAATTCCATATATCGGGTAATCGCTCAATCCCAGTTAATCCCACGAGCTGAAGTCCCCAAACCCTCCCCGCCCCTTCATCTTCTTGCGCGCCGGCTCGGGCTCGGGTTCATCCTCCAGGACCTCCACGATCTCATCCTCCGTCTCTGGGCCCCGATCCGCCAGCGCCGCCCGCAGGTATTTCCCGACTCCTGCGCCGCCGCTCGCGTCCTCGGCGCCGCCTGCACCACGGATCCGCTTGCCGGTCCAGGTGACCCGATCGTCGTCGGTGTTGTCGTTGGTGTCCTGTTGCGAGGAGCCGTCCGCCGGGCGGTCGTTGGGGGTCTCCCCCCGAGCCTCAGCTTGCCGCTGTTTCAGGAACTCCTCGAAGGGGTCCACGAAGATGGTCACGTCGTGGATGCGGATGTCCGGGGTCGGTCGATTGGTGGACGGGTTCACTGGGTTGGTTTCCATGCGGTCGAGTGTGCCCGACGACGGTGTCGGGTCGTCGATGACGTGGCCAAAGATGGTATGCTTGAGATTCAGGTGCGGTAGGGCGCGGTAGGCGATGAAACTGGTCTGTCAGTCCCTCTCTCTCTCTTCTCGATGGGTTTGTGGGTGTGTAGGGGAAACATACAACTGGCTGCTGTTGGTATTCTTCCCCTTATTGGCCATGCTCAACGTCCCCCGGGAATCGTGCTTCAGCGGTCCCTCAAACTCGTCGTTGAAGTACTTCCCCCAGATGCTCTCCCCGCCGCGTCCCGTCCCCGACGGATCCCCGCCCTGGATCATGAACCCCTTGATGTTGCGGTGGAAGGCCACGTCCCGGTAGTAGCCCTTCTTCGCCAGCTTGATGAAGTTCCACACCGCCTTGGGCGCGTACTCCGTCTGGAGCTCCACGTTGACGTCTCCCAGGTTGGTGGACAGGCGCGCGTACCCCTTCTGCTTGACGCGCCCCCGTCGGAGCATGTACTCCTCGTCCGACAAGAGCGCCAGTTCGCCCGACGTGTGCGGCGTTAGCCCCGTGCTCGTCAGCGACGCCGCTGCCATTCCAGTCGTGTGTCGGGCCGCGTTGTAGGGCACCGGTTTCCGCGACCCCGCCGCGGCCGCCTGGTTGGAGGCTCGCGAACCCGCCCGGACCCCACCCTCCGTTGAGGACTGGGAGACGGCCCCCGCGGAGCCCCGCTGCGCGCGTTCCGCCCGCGCCTTGGCCACTGCCTCCTTCGCCTTCAGGATCTTGGCCGAGCTGCCCAGCGCATCGGCGTTGACGCTGCCCGACGCCCGCTCCTGCTGCTGCTCCTCCGTCAGCCCACTCTCCCCCGCCTGCAGGTAGTGGAAGGCGCTCAAATTCCGCGACTCGATGTTCTGCGGGTCCTGGAGGGTGATGATGTCCTTCCGGCCAAACTCCTCGTCCGTGACCAGGTCGCGCCACAGCTTGCCCTTGATGTTCAGCCGCTCCACCGTGTCCCACGCGAACACGTTCCCGGTATTGCGCAGGGCGACGATGTGCGTGTTGTCCGTCAGCACCTTGTAGGTCACAGGGTCGATGTATTCGCCGGCCTCGTTCTTCGCCAGGTGGAGTTTGATCAGGTCGGCGCTCTTCAACGGCGTGCCGTCGACGGGGTTCGTGCCGTGTTTCTTAATCCAGGGGACGATGTTGGTCAGATCGAAGATGGTGCCCGACTGCGTGCACACGGGATGCGCGTACGGCTGCAACGACAGCGAGCAGAAGTTGAAGGGGAGACGCTTGAACGCCCCGTGTTCGCCGCGTCGCGCCTTGCCCAGGCCGGCTCCTGCATTGGCCGAGAAGGCATCCTCCGATGCCCACTCCGAGTGTGTGATCTGTGTACGTTGCTGGTCAGCGGCGTCGCGAAAGAACCATGAACTGTTAAGGTCGACCTACATAGAGTTTATCCGTTCCTAAAAGAGAGATCAACACCATCAGACTCAGCTGTCTCAAAATTGATGTTTCCAAGGGACGACTCACCTTTCCCCATGTTTCGCGATTGCAATCTTGAAAATCCTGGTTGATTCTGCTCGCCGCCATGGCGGACGATGATGATGTATGGTGCGGATGTACGCTAACCGGATTGGGCTAGTTTGTCTGGTAGACAAACAGTGTAAACCCGACAAATTAACCAAATCAAACAAACAGCATTCTTTGATGGCGATGTGCTTCACTTCTTGAGTTCTTTGCTATTTCATAGGGAGATATTGAATCAATCATCGTATAATTGCTTAAAGCATATTGTTTAGAGATTTCTGTGTCTGTCGAGTCCGTATGGGGCACTATCAAGTCGAGTCGAGGTTGTTGGATTCCCGTCTCAACACTATATATATCTCGGATATCCTCCGTACTGGTTCACTATACACCCTTATGGGCGTTGCGATATATTATCGACAATGACAATAAACATTCCTGGGTTAATAAAGATCACTGAATCCATCGCTTGAACCTGCCTATCATTTCCTTCCAAATCAAGTATAGCAATACTAGATCATTCTCGTCGATTTATTACGCGCAGATCCTACTCTACCAGAGAGATGGCGGTGCATAGAATGCTTGCAGGCCATGGGTCGATCCCAAGGCCTGCACGGAGGACTTGTATTCTTATGAAACAGAAGATAAAACTACAGATAATACAAGTCACCCTTCCTGGAGCACTGCCGCCGCAGTATCCTTGTCCTCCCATCATCTTCCCCACCGAGAAAAAGCTGTCGAACGCCGTGGAAAATGGAAACCTATGCTTTTTTTGTGTATCGCATCATGAAGTCGTTGTCATCCCCCCATCGCGGGGTTTTCTCTCATCACACGGACGAGGCTTGGTAGCGAAGAGGAACCACCCAGCGATTCCCGAAATCGATCCCGTGTCGTCGGCGAGTGCCGTATTTCCGCCAGACGATCTGGGGAATACCGATGTCCGCCACGGACAAGACCCCCAGACTTTCGCCCGCCACCAGAGCGTTGATGATCCCGGTTTTGGGTGCTCCCAGACCCACGACCGCCTTGGCGTGGACGTATAGCCGCCCGCCTTCCACGACCGTCACCTCACCTAGTCGTCTGTTAGTTGGGGGAATGGGGTAGTCGAAAGCGGGGGAAGGGGGGACTCACCACTCGTTGCCGACAGCCCCGACGGGACGTCAACCGAGAGAATGTCGAGACTGCTCCGGTTTGCCCAGGAGATCATCTCAAAGGCCGCCGCCTGGTCGTCGGTGCGCAGGTCGTCAAACGCCAGATGGATCCCGAACAGGGCATCCACGATTAGGTCCGGGCCAAAGTCCGAGTTGGACATCTTGGTGGAGATGTCTTCCCAGCGGGAGACGCGTCCGCCAATCTTCTTGAAGACCTCTAGCTGTTTCTGGCAGCTTTCCAACAGCTCGTTCTCATGCTCCAGCCCTAGCATGCACACGGTCACCCGGTGGCCCCGGTTGCGCAGATGACGGGCGGCGGTGACGGCCCGAGCCCCCGTGCGATGGTTCCCCGTCAGCACCAGGATCGTCGGCGCCGCGGCGTCGTTGGCCAGGAGCCCCACGGCCGCCTCGGCGATTCCCCGGCCGGCGTTTTCGGTGATCATATCCTCGGTCAGGCCCAGTTCGGCGATCGTGATCTGCTCCACCTCCAACGTCTGCAGCGGGCTGACGGTCGGACAGCTGCGATTCGTGGTGATCAGGCGCAGGGTCCCGGCGGACACGCCCGGCCCCGCGACGGGGGAGGCGGTGGCCGATGTTTTGCCTGGGCGGGGGCTGGAGTTGCGTGAGGCGCCCAGCGGGCCCCGGCCCAGCGCCGCTACCTGAGGCGGGAGTAAGGTCGATCCCACGACCCCGCTGCCTTTGCGCGACGCCGTTGAGGGCCGGGCGGAGGCTTTGGAGTGGTCTCGTCCGGAGTAGGTCCCGCTGCTCAGCCGGGTGTCGCTGGGATCCCGCTCCGAATCCCCGGCTTCACTCTCCGGGGGACTATCCAGAACGTTCTCCGTCCAGTGGAGATTCTTACCGCCATTCGTCCCTGGTTTCGGGAGCTTGTTGAAGCTCACCAGCCGCTCTTCGTCCGCGGTGGTGTCTTCGTTGCGAATCTCCTCAAAGACCCGTCTCTTGTCGAATTTGGAGAGGTTGCTCTGGAAATCGAACTCGCCCATCTCCTGGATGTCCGTCGCCTCTTCCGTCGCCCACCCGTTCTGATCTTCGGCATACGCGTTGCGGTTGTTCCTCCTCTTGCCCCGCCGCCCATTCAACGAGGCCTGCTTTTCGCGGTACGACAGGGGCGAGTTGACCGGTTCCACAAAGGCAGTTTGACGCCAGCCCTTGGTCTTCGGGTTCAGGTTCGAGGCGCCGTCGTGCTCGTTGAGGCTCCCCTGCGGTTTGTTCTGACCGGGGCGACGCCCACGCTTCGTACTGAAGTGGGTGGTTGTGGGTGTGTTTTCATCCTCCTCCTGCGGGGCACTCCGCAACCCCTCGGTCCCGTCCCCCGCACTCAGCTCCAGACTGTTGAACGGCTGGGACAGGGTGGACAAAAGAACCGGGCGATCTCGATCCGCTGGCTGAGCCAGATGGGGTTGTGGAACGGCGGTGTTGTCAAGCGGCGTAGTTGGCAGGGGTGGGCCTCGAGGTCCGGGGGCCGGGGGGGCTTGCTGGGCGGGAGGTTTCGAAAAGCTCAAGATCGCGGGATCGACAAACGATTGCGGCGCGGTCGGAGCATACGAAGCCGGAGCCGCCACTTGACCCTCCTGGACGGGCTGTGTTCCCTGCGTTCCCAGCGAGAGGTCCGCGATGTCGGGGGCGTCAATCGAGTAGACGGGGAGTCGCTGGCCGGTCCACGACAGTGTCACTACACAAGTCCTGATTAGCATCCTGCTGCCAAAACCCCACCCATCCTTCTCACTTACCATTGCGAAGCATCAGCCGTTGTCCGACGACATCAGACACCTGACCCTGGACGCTTGCATTGGGCGGCACTCGCAGGGTGACCAGGACATTATACCCGATGAACTCGGAAGCCATGATGGGCACAGGGGTGCAAGAATTTCAATCACTTCCCGAGGGTATTCTGAAGCGTGACCATGCTCCGGAACCAGAAAATGAAGCGGGGGCAGAAAGATGAAAGAACACGAACGAGACCGGTTTGACAAAGCTCGTACAGCGTCGCAAAGATGGGAAAATGATCCGCAGTGCGAGGAAGAAGAGGAGCAAAAGAGGAAGAAGTGAGGCAGTCGCTGACTCAGCCGGTATCACGTGGAGCTTATCTTATCGCCCTTTCTAACCCGATCTGAGGAATACATGGAGCTGTATGACGGGGGATATTGTAGATGGCAGGGGTTATTCGAGAGGATCCCAGCCGTAGGAAGTGGCATGGATTGCATGCAATGCTAGATGAAATAGATCACGGTGAAAAACTTGAGGTAGAGAACACTGGCTGTCTGGGATGGCTGTATATACATGGGGAAGTGGTCATAGAAGCTACAGAGTAAATGCATAGATCGTAGAAATAGCCTTACATCATTCTGTCGAAATCATCGTCGTCAAACTCATCGTCCCCCGGTCGCTGCGGACGGGGATCGGGATGCTTCGGCTTGAGGACGTCCGTGATGCTGACCAGTTTGGAATAGAACTCGGTCACCCGCGGATGGACCATGACCTTGCGCGCGTCGAATCGGGTGACCTGCAGACCCTCTTTAGTAGTCGCGCGACTGAGCGCAACGTAGGCCTGTCCCCGTTCGAAAACACGGCCGAGATCGACCTTCACGCGGGGCAGGGTTTGGCCCTGCGCCTTGTGAATGGACAGGGCCCAGGCGAGAATCAACGGGACCTGCTGGCGTTGGGCCTGCACTTCCCCGTTGGGTAGCTCGATCTTCCAGGCTTCCGGTTGACAGAGGAGATGTCGCTCCCCGCCATCCGGTTGCATGAAACACACGAGGGGCCATTTCCGGCTCACGACGGCGCTCCCATCCTTGTGGGCCATGGCTTTGACGCTCTTTCGCATCTGGATCGCTTTGGCCTTTTCTTCGTCCATCTCGGGGTCGGCAAAGTCATTCTCGTGTTCTCGGTACACGTCAAATGTCGCCTCATCCATGAACGCCACGACGCGACCGATGGAACCGTTGACGAGGGTGTCCTCCATGTTCTTGATCAACATGACCTGAGCGCCCTTTTTGAGGTGGATTGAGTGTGGTGCCATGCAGTTCGAGAGGAGCCTGTCCCGATGGGAAACATCCTGGATCGTCCCCGAATCCACCGCGTTGAACGTCATCATTTCGCCGGACAATCGATGCATTCGGGCCCCGTTGGCCTGTTCGACTTCGTTCCGGGTCGGAAAGCTGCGTGGCGGATTAGCATCTAGATTGGCTACTATTGAAAGATAAAGCAACCAGAAAGAGAAACAAAATGGGGAAAAAGAGATAGATACGTACAGCTCCGTGGCTTCTAAGGAATCATCAAAGTCTAGAGGTCGGGACAGTTGCTTGAAGATGCCGATCGTGCGCGGGCTCAGCTTGCCCAATCGCATCTCGTTCAGCATCTCTGCGAATTGAGGATCCTTCTGACGGAACACATGCGTCAACAGGACGGTGTGTTGTATGCAAGTGTTCCAAGTCGCCGCCGCGAACGCGAAGACGGTTTCCCGCTTGCCGGGTTCAGGGACTGGGGGCAGTTGGAAAAAGTCCCCGGTCACTACGAGTTGGATTCCCCCGAAAGGCCGGTAGTTCTTCCGGATCTGGCGCGCAATCTCCTCCAGTTTATCAAACAGATCACCGTCGACCATCGACACTTCATCGATGACGAGAATCTTGGTGCGCTTCCAGCGATTCGAGGCCTTCTGATTCTTCCTGATCTGCGACATGGTTATTATGCGCCTGTGCGTGCCGGCCAACAGGGTTCAGCCCACCTTTTTCACGAGCTCCGGGACCTGCTCCTTGCCTAAGCCGATCCCCGCAAAGCTGTGGAGCGTCACTCCTCCGATGTTACAAGCCGCCAGACCCGTCGACGCGGTGACCGCCACCCGGTCCGGCTCTCTCCTGTATTTGTCCTGCAGCTGCTTGATGATCTCGCGCATCAGCACCGATTTACCCGTTCCTGCCGAACCGGTGAAGAAGATGCTTTTCCCTTGCTGGACGACCGCCTCCAGGACGTGTCGTTGCTCATCACTGAGGAAGACCGAGGCGAGCTTGAGGCGCGGTTGGGGCTTCTTGGTGTCCATCTTCAGACTCTTGTTCTGGCGGCGGAGCTCTCTCTGCTCTTCTTTGATGGCACTCGCGGATTTGTCCCACAGCGCCGTGGGCTTGGGCTGGCGCACCGGCGTTTCCACCTGCTTCTTCGGTGGTTCTATCGGGGTCGACACCTCATTCTTGATCCAGGGCACCGTCCGCGGGTTGTTGGGTTTCTGAAAGTGCGACAGGGGAGAGGAAGACCACGGTAACTGTGCGCTGCTCGGCGGCGCGGGGTTGTCATCGGGGATTGGCGGTAGTTCCGGGTATTTTACCTCGGCCGAGTCACTACTGATAAAGATCGAAGCCGGCTGCGACGGTGGCTTCATCTGCGCCGACGGCGCCCTCTGCGAGTCGGCCTGTCCCGCCGACGCCTGTCCTTGCACATTCGGTCTCACAATCTTCGCCGGGGGCATGAACGTATCCGGTTCCTCAAAGTTCAAATCGTCGTCGTCGTCAAAGTCGTTTTCATCAAAATATACAGCGCTGTGGAGCGACCCCAGGGCGGATTGACCGGCATCGGTCATCTCAATCTTCCGTTTGACCCCGATGGACTGTGGTGGGGAGTTGAACCGGGGCTTCCCACCGTTTTGCGGGAGCGTCGGTTGCAGTGGCTTGACCGACGACCCCGAATGCTCCTGAACCGCCTTCTTGAACATGATTGTCGACGGACTCGAGGGGTCACGTAGAGGGATAACGGGGGTGGTGGCACCCCATGCGACGTGCGTTGTTGCCGGAGTGATATACGGTCCTATATTTCAGTCTGGGCGAGATGAATGCATGGGCCCAATGACGAAAGTCGTGAGTCGAATAGATCGATCGCAATTGGAACAGTCAATCGAGAGTTGATCGTCAATCTTCCATCGGATCGAATTGGATTTCGGGAGAATTTCGCGACTCCGAAAGATGCGCGACGCGTCGCCTATCGCACGTGACGGACCGATAAGGGCCGATACCGATAAGGATTTCCTCGAGTCCTGAATTTCCTGTTCCTGGAATTTCTGATTCTGACTGTCTGAGACTGGAGTTTGCATGGAAGATAGATATTGAACATCTATGGGGGTCGACAAGAGAAGGTGTGGAAGGGGAATGAGGGACGTCTAGCTGTCCATGCGGGATCTTGATATCGCGGGACCTGATCCCACCGTGTATACGGTACAAAGACACTGTACGGGGATGGTGCCAACCCCGAGTCGTGTATTGATGTATGGCTATAATTGAATCGCTGTAGATAAATCTATACGATGGGATCGTATCCTATCGCACATGGAAGAAGTCGATGCGACGCGCAGAATCGACGCATCACGTGACCCGTATCGTGCACTCCGTTATCTGCAGTCTCGACGCCAAAACTCCGCTCAACATCCTCACCAGAGTCGTGCTTTGTCCCTCCTGCCAATCATGAAGAATGGCAGGGAACGGTGCCTCCAGTAAGTGGCTGGAATCTACGATGGGCTGGTTGGCTCGCAAGATTGCTGATATTCCACGCAGACAAGGAACTTCCTCTGGCGGGAGTGGTCTTATGCTTCACCTCCATTGTGCCCGAGCACCGCGTGAGTGACACCATCGATCCTGGAGCCAATCCGTACCGTATACTGACGTCGTCAATGTTGACAGAGCGAGCTGATTGCGATTGCGAGTCAGATGGGAGCTAGCCACAGATTCGACCTCACCGCCGACGTCACCCATCTCTTAATCGGCGAAATCAAAACACCCAAGTACAAGTATGTTGCACGCGAGAGGCCCGACGTGACGGTCCTCAACCCGAAATGGGTCGAGGCGGTACGTCAGTCATGGATGCAGGGCGGTGATACGGATATCCGAGCACTGGAAGAGCAGTGGCGCTTGCCGACCTTTACGGGCTTATCGATCTGCGCTACGGGGTTCGAGGATGGTGAGTCGCATTGCAGGATACTCTTCCCCCCAGCCCCCCACGCGCGATGAGGGCTGACCGTTTACAAGGGGCGTTCCGAGACTACCTCCGGAGCATGTCGGTTCGCAATGGCGCCGAATATAGCTCGGACCTCACCAAAGACATCACTCATCTCGTGGCGCGGGACACGCAAACACAGAAGTACAAATTTGCGACCCAGTGGAACGTCACCATTGTCACTCGACAGTGGTTCACAGACAGCCTGGAGCGTGGCATGGTTTTGGATGAGGCACTGTACCACCCCCTTCTGCCACCGGAACAGCAGGGCGCAGGTGCCTGGAATCGCGCGGTGCCCTTGGCCCGAGAAACAGCCCCGGACCGCAATCCCTCGTCGAACCCTCGACCGCGCAAATTGCGCCGAACCGCAAGTGCGAAGCTGGTGGGGCAGAACGAAGGAATCTGGGGCGATATTGTCGGCGCGGGGTTCGAAAGCAGCGATTTGAGGCGGTCCCGAGGGAGCCAACACAGAAGCGACAGCACGCGTACGCTCCCACGAACTGCCTCCATTGTTCAGGAGGCCAGGTCATTTGCTAGCGAGAGCGGTCCTGCAGAACCGCAGGACTCTCGGCAGTCGAAGCCGGGACGACAGTCTTCAGGGCCAGTCGCCGGGAACGAGGGCTTCCTCCATGGCTGTTATTTTTACATTCACGGGTTTTCTTCCAAGCAGGTTGGTCCCTCACCTGACCTTTTAATTTGCGTGTAGACTAACGGATGTCAGGGAAATGTACTACGCCACCACCTCTCCTTCAATGGGGCCCAATTGGTAGTATCCCTGAGCGAATTCTCGCGGCCAGAGATCCCCAAACGAGGCCATGACCTCTACATCATCGTGCCTTACACGACGCCGCGAACCAAGGTGCCTTCGACGGATGACCTCGCTTTTGAGTGCGAGGTGGTGACCGACATGTGGCTAGAGCGTTGTTTGGACGCAAAGGCCCTAGTATTGCCGGAATCCCACGTTGCCAACACACCTCTTCTTCGATCTCCGATCCCAGGTATGTCCCCCGCCCACATGATCGAGCCATGCACTAACACGTACAGGTTTCCATGGGATGAAGATTTGCTCTACGGGGTTCTCTAAAATCGATCTCCTCCACCTATCTAAGCTCGCCACCCTGGCCGGTGAGTCCATCGCCATGCAAGACCGGGTGAACACACTCTGACCCAAGTTCCAGGCGGCACTTACCACGAATACCTGACATCAAACGCCTCCGTGCTGATCTGCAATGACGCGGGTCCCGTCAACCCTGATAAACTGCGACACACGAGCGAATGGGGCGTGGCGGCTGTTTCTGCGAATTGGCTCTGGGATTCCATCCGCAGCGAGCAGAAACGGCCGTTCGAGTCGTATGCCATCAAAGGACCGTCAAGGCCGCCCACTCAAAACACCAGGGACCTTGAAGTGCGAGCTGGCTCGCGCACAGCGTACCCAGAACCTACCAGCCAGAACGGATCCACCGGTATCCCGCTCGCGAAATCCACAGCGTCCACAACTATCCATGCCGACCTGTCCCAGGGACGCAGCAAAGCCAAGGGAGGCGCCCACTCGCCCACAGAGCAGCACAAACCCACACCATCCCCCAAACGACCAGCAGAGATACAGCGTATCACAACATCTCCCTCCAAGGTCAAGAGCGCGACAGACCGTCCCATGTCCGCATCGCCAGCCAAGCGCCCCGCCTCAGCCCAGTCAACCAACACCAGCGCGTCCTCCTCCCACCAGAAAGACCAACAGTCCGCGCTCGAAATCGCCATGAACGGGATCCTGAAACAAGCCCGCGAAGCCAACTCCCGCTCGTCCACAACCACCGACCCTACCGAATCCGCCGACGACGCCCTCCGCAAACGCCGTCGCCGGCCGCTTCTCGGCCGCGCACCCTCGCACTCCTCCGTGCGCAGCACGGCAGCAGCAAAAACGGCCGACCACCGATCCCGCGCGAGCTCCATCGATACTCTCAACGAAGACGGCTACGGCAGCGCCGTCGACAGCGTCGCCACCGAAAGCAAGCTCCCATCGCTCATCAACAGCGGTCAGTTCAACTTCGCCGACTCTGTCGGTGATCACGAGCTTCACGCGCCGCCGCAAAGCCAGTCTCCTCCGCCCATGACCCAGCTGGACTACGAAGATCCAGATGCTGTCGCCATGCGCGAGAAATTCCTCCGCTGCGCCGGCAAGGCGGTCGAGAAGAGGACTGCGCCGGATGTGGACAGGCTCCAGGAGCTGGAGAACAGCGGGTGGGGAGCTGGAAGGAGGACGCGTGCGGCTAACAGGGTGGTTGATGATGAGTTTTGATGGCAGTTTGCTGGTTCCGAATTCTCTTTTCTTGTCTTGTCAGTCTTTATTGTTGGTAGCTTAGATCTCTATTTGCTGTCTGATGACAAGCCTGCTTGCTGGAAAGGGAAGAGAAGTAGGCGGTGGATGGTTCATCCATTGGTCTTTGATTGCTATTTGATGGTGTCCATTGAGAACATTGCATGGCGGACGGCGTCGTCTCATTTACTATAACTATTTTTTCATCGCATCTCAGTTTGATTCTATAGACTTCCGGCGACCTCAGCATTTCCAATCTTTAGGGACGATGAAATGAGTAGTACCTGTAGCTATATCTTGGAAAAGACTCCGACGCCAAAGCCAAAGACGCTGATAAGGCTGTTAGAGCCAAGCGTTATTCTAATGCTCTTCTTGATAATTGATCAGTTAATAGTCTAAGACGATTTAGATGATTGGAATAGTCCAGTTTCATTCAATGCGGTATGCAATTTGATCAAGCTAAATAGATACCGGAGTATCCTATACTCATGTCATGTACAGTGATACAAAGCCAATTGTGGAAACCAATTTCGAAAGGAAAGGGGGCGTTCACATTGCTATCGGGGTCACCAGGGATATACCTGGTAGCTGAGCAAAGACAACTCCCTAGGTATACATTCACATAAATTGGGAAGGGTATTGTTGGGCGAAAAGGAAAGACAAAAACACAAAGGAAAGTAGTAGAGGAAACAGCTGTGCCCGGGGAATATTTCAAAGGTACAAAGCACAAACCAAAGTCGACGTCGGAACCCCATTCTAGGTAGAATCAATCGTACATGCGTTATTAATTTTACAAAGCCAGCGCACACTCGTCGGTTTAGGCAGCGTGCGCCGCCATACCGCCGGGAAGCGGCGCGTCAAGGTCGATGTCCTCGACGGAGCGGCGGTTCTCGCCGCTGTCGCGGAAGAGATTGGCAAAGTACTTGCGCGCGGCGTCGCTCTCGTGCTTCGTCTTGCCGACTTCTTGCTTGCGTCTCCCGAGGTCCTCGACGTCCTGCGCCAGGCTGGCCTGGAGGTTGCCGGCGGGAAGACGGAGGATGCGGCGAACCTCCGCCGAAATCCGCGTGGCGTTGGTGTGCACGTAGTCCGTATCGGAGAGAGCCACGGCGAGCTTGCGTGACAGACGAGGGGGCAGTGTGGTGGGAATGGAAGAAAGCACGTAAGCGGTAGTGAGAACGGCTGGAAACATGATTAGTCTACATCGTAACAGAATGCTTTGAACAGGGAAACTTACCGGCAGCGACCACACCGGGCAGGAAGAGGCGTCGCACGTTTTTCGGACCGAGAACCTTGACGGCGCTAAACAGGCTGTCGATCCAGCTGATGCCACCGAAGAGCCTGCCTCCTAGGACCGTCACCGCCGTCATGGCCACACCCGTTCCGGCCATCTTTTCCTGTTGCTCCCAGAGACTGGACAGATCAAAGAAATCCAAGAGCTCAACTTCCGTATCTACCTGGCGGGCCATCGTGTGACGGCGACCTCGGCGGAACATCATCTCGGAGCGGAAGTTGAGGGGTGGGAACTTGTCCTCTCCGACATGCAATAGTCCGATGCTTTGAATGAATCCTACCCCCTGGGTGGTCTTCTCGCGGGCATAATCCTCGCAGTCCGAGACCTTGGCAGAGATCCGGTCCAGCATGGCGGCCTTCAGATCTTCGGCGTACTGGAACGCCGAAAACAGGCCGGGGTATTCAACACCCAGGTCGGCCTCGGAGACATGGGCGATGGTACGGGCAAGAGTGGACCGCGTGTGGTTGTAAACGTCGTCGGTAGAATTGTCGATACACTTCTCGACTTGCTCACCGATCTCCACCCTCCTCTTCTTGCCGTCCTCGTAAGCGGGTTCGAGTTCGGAGAGTTCCTGAGTGACACGGTCCAATTCACTCTGGGCCACGTCACGGTTGACCGCGGCCAACGAATTCAAGTCCGCCAGCAGGTTGAGAAGGTAGGTCCTGGCGGGGGCCAGCTTGGACCGCGAGCGCTTTTCCAAAACGAACCGCCGCAGTGAGCTTTCGAGTTCCTCGAAGTCCTGGATCTTTTCCTTTTCCTTGCCTTTGCCCTTGTCTTTTCCTTTGTCGTCGGGCTTGCCATCGTCGTCATCATCTCCATGGGGATCGGAGCCACCGCCGTCACCACCACCACCACCACCACCACCGGCGCCGACACTCTCTATCGAACCCGGAGGCGCCACAGGGATGGCATTGCTGGAGACGAAGTGGACCAGCTCGGCGGATTCCTTGTATGTCCGGGGGCTGAGCTTGCCGACCTGGTCCAGAATCATGCGCTCGCAGCGTTGCTTGTCGCGGATCTGGTCGAAGCCGTTGACAACGATGAACATGTAGGCCTTCTCGTGGGCGGCATTGTGGATGAACTCCTTGGCGGACAGGGTGAAGTGGTTGGCCGCCGAGACGACGAACACGACGACATCGATCTCCTCCTGTCGAGCAAACACCGCGGTGGTCTTTAGCGAGTCCGAGTTCAGCCCGGGAGCATCGATCAACGCGATATCCACCACGCCATTGTTGAGTAGCGACTCGTCGATCGTCCGCACATCCTTGACGTACACCTTGCACTGCATGTACTTGGTGTTTTCGATCACGATATTCTCCAACTCACTCAGCGGATAGACGTCGTACGTGCTCTCGTCATTGCGGCTGTAGTGTTGGTCCTTGTGCACGGCGTGCACTTCCTCGACGCCGCTGTTTTCGCGCGCATCCAACACCTCGCAGAAGATGCTGGTGCAGGGCTGCTGGTCCTCGGGGAGCACCTTGCGACGGAGCAGGGCATTGCAGAAAGTCGACTTCCCGGCGTTCAGATCTCCCGTGATCAGGACCTTACTCGACGTGTCCTCGATGCGATCCCGCAGCGAGAGCAGATGCTTGATACTCTGACTGACTTTCCCATCCAGCAGCGACGCGATCGAGCTCTTCTCCAGCGAATGCACCAGCTCCGCCTGCGACAGCGCGCCTAGCTTCAAGTCCAGCTTCAAGATAGAAAACTCCTGGGCGATCTGCGGGCCCATCAATCGCGGTTCCGGCGCCGGTCGACGCTCCGCGGTGGCACTGGACTCGGGCACATCCTCGCCCGCGGCCATGGTGGCGGCACGTTTGATCTGACCGGGACGGGGCATATCCTGTTCCCTCTGCGCCTGTAACTCCCCGAGGTCGGACTGGCGATAGCGCATGGTGGGCCGTAGCGACGGGGAGGCGGGAGTGCTTTGCACGGCGGGATAGTGGGCAGGCCACTGCCGGTTCATCTCCTGGAGTTCCTTGAGGGTCTCGATGGTGCGCGAGATGGAGCGTCCCAGCTTCGTGCGATTCGAATTGCTACAATCACGGGTTAGTCTGGCGCGGCGATGGGGAGGAAGGATGGAAGGATTCCGTCGACGCACTAGAGGAGTTGATGGACATGGCTGGCGACGACCTGGCGCTCGTGTTCGGCTACATTATCGCACATGGCAGTCAGTCTCCATCTGTCTCTCCAACCAAGCTCCCTCCTATCCCCTTCAAACGTACCAGCCGGATTCCACTCGCCGGGATGTGTCGGCGTATGCACCGGGGTCGGTCGATCGACCATCAGATCGGATCTCCACCCGCTGGTCTCATCTCCATCCATGACACTGCTCCCTCCGTACCCCGAATCCTCATTCAGCGAGGACATCAAGGCGGTGGCACTCTGCGACGTCGATCCATTCCCCACGGTCATATAGGCGGGCGGAGCTGTCGGATGGAAAGGGTACTCGGACGGGGGCGACGACGACGACGGCGATTCCTCTGGCGGGTGTCTGGATGAACCTTCCCCAGCGGAAGATCCACCATTTCTCGAAAAGTATTCCTGACTCATGATCACCGAAGGTACATGAAGGGTGGTTGTTGTTGGGAGTGATTTGAGGGGGGCGAACGAGGAGGGGAAGAAAAGTTGGAAGTTTGGAAAGAGAAGGTCGATTTTCTTCGGGAGGGGTATTGATACGGGGATGGCCTGACCCTGTATGTCAGTTACGACCGTTTTGGGCTTAAAGAGGAATAGCCCACATCTGTTGACCCACAAAACATGGTATGGTTACCACTGTGACCGGTAATACCAAAAGAACCAGAATTACGGCCCGTTACTTATCGACCCCCGGCGGTTCCCGTCCCTTTTGATGTCACTGATAGCATCTCTCTCTCTCTCTCTGTCTCTCTCCCTCTCTCTCTTTTTCCCCCACAATACAAGTCTTCTCTCCATCATGAATGTAAGGTCCCCCCCTTGGTTTACGGACAGCCCGTCACTAACCCCGGTAGATCGTTGAATGGGCCTTTGGGAAGCGCATGACGCCCGCGGAACGGCTGCGCAAGCATCAGCGAGCCCTCGATCGCACCCAGCGGGAACTTGACCGGGAACGTGTCAAGCTGGAGAATCAGGAGAAGAAGCTCGTCCAGGATATCAAGAAGAGTGCCAAGAATGGACAGGTTGGCGCGTGTAAGATCCAGGCCAAGGACCTGGTGCGGACGAGACGGTACGTATAGTTCGGGAGTGGGGGACGACGTGGCTAATGACGAACTATTATCTGTGATTTGACAGATATATCCAAAAGTTTTATCAGATGCGAACCCAGCTACAGGCCATTTCGTTACGGATTCAGGTATACAACCATCATGCGTCGTCCATTCCTCATTTCTGTTTACTGTCTTGATACTGATGGTGGTGTGTCGATAGACCGTCCGCAGCAATGAACAGATGATGCAGTCGATGAAAGGTGCCACCATGCTCCTGGGGAGTATGAATCGGCAGATGAACCTCCCCGCGCTGCAACGGATCGCCATGGAATTCGAGCGCGAGAATGATGTGATGGATCAACGGCAGGAAATGATGGACGATGCGATTGATGAGGCAACGGGGATGGAGGGCGAGGAGGAGGAAGGTGAAGATATCGTCAAGGAAGTGCTGGATGAGATCGGTGTGAACCTCGGCCAAGATGTGCGTTTTCCTTTGCCCCCCCCCCCCCCCCCCCCCTCACAAATGGATGGAGGAGAAGATCTACGATACTAATTGTATGGATAGCTGAGCGAAGCCCCTACCGACCTGCCCAAGACGGCAGTCAGCGAGGGCCGAGTGGCGGAGGCTGTTGGGGCTGGCGGGGCCAGCTCCCAGGATGACGACCTGCAGGCCAGACTGGACAGTCTGCGGCGGTGATACCATGATCGGAGTTAGTCTGCGCTTTTTGATCCTGTTTGATTCTCTCGTCGCAGGATTTACGTCTTTATATCATGATTCTCTTTCTTCTTCTCCTTTTCTTTATTCTTTGTTTGCTGGAAAGCCAAGTTTGCAAAGCTATTGTGCGTTACGAATTTTGATGCTGGTTTGGCCTTGTTTTTTTGTTTTATGTTTTTTTCTACCAGAATCTACTCTCCTATTAAGCCCTGAAACCATGGGAGTTGATTGTGGATTACGAACTCGAACATGGATCCATATCTTGAAACGAAACAAATCTAATACTAGCAGTGGTGTAGAAAACCAGCTACAATCAACACCGCTCAGATGACATACGTACCTCTCTGGCAGGCCAGCCACTGACACCCAGGCCTAGCCGTCGCTAGGAGAATATGTGACATTCTCGACCGGTGGCCGGTGGAATTCACCCTCGTGGTGAGATGCCCACTGACCAAACCACGGCATGGCCTCCATCTCGGTGAGCGTGGGTCTCAACGGGGGATCCTTCTCGAACGTCATCCGCAGCATGTCCGCGCAGTCCTGCGACAAGTCCTCGCGGATCGGGAGATCCTCGTTGATCAGGCGGTCCCGCCGAGCAAGTGCCTCGTCGATGCCCGCAGTTGTGCGATAGAATTTGCGGAGTTCATTTCCCTCTCGGCTCAAATTGGGGTTCCAGGCTCGATTCTCCCATGCCGCATACCCATGCAGCACCTCGTAGAAGATGCACACCAAATGCCACAGGTGAAAGCGGCGTGCATCGTGCGGTAGCTTACAGTCGAAATTGAAGGTAGGGATCTGGTCGTAACGCACCCCGTCGAACAGCTTCGTGTGCTCCATAGCCTGCTCCGGGGTTAATTGATACTCCCGGAAGAAAATATGCCCGCTGATCTCTGCTTGGAAATCCACATCGTCGAGGCCAAAGCTCAGCAGGCCGAGGTCGATGAGGTGCGTCTCCAGATCCTCCTGTATCATATAGTTATTATGAGACAGGTCGCCGTGCGACACGTTCAGATCCCGGAGAGCGGCAAACCCCTCGAGCAACTGGGAGGCAACCTTGCACGACTGGATCTCGTTCAGCACGGGCCGTTTCTGGTCCATGAGAACCATCCCCGTCCGGCTCGGAAGGATCCGCGCCGTCGCCTGCTCGTAGTCGGCCGGCAGAGGCTCGGTGAGATGCGCGACGCTATGGGCATCGTCGGCATAGCCCTCCATGATGGTCGACGAATACAGACCGCAGGAGTAGACCGAGTGCAGGGTCGGAAACCGTTCGCACTGATCTAGCAGGAGTAAGAGCAACGCTTCGCGGGGCACATACGGAAATTCCCCGGTGTCTTCGGCCAGACGGGTCATCTTGGGCGAGTCCCACTGTCGCCATGCCATCTCGTTGGTCTTCAGTCTTTCCATCTTGATGGCCCACAAATCGGACGGCATGAGCCGATGTCGCGCGCTGAATACACTGGCAAATGCTGTCGACCATGGCAGTCACCCCTCGTTAGCTGTCCGAACCGGAGCGGTGGCAGAGAAAGACCTACTTCCTGCTCCATAAAATCCTGTCCGGTCCCACACATCCGTCAGATCCTCGCACGCTTTCCGCCATCGATCCCGCGTCCTGTCGGTTTCGTTCGATGGTAGGTTTAGTGCTTGCGCTTGCCTCTCGGAGTCGTCGGTCCTGATGCCGTTCGCACCAACAACGTGTGTGCACCGGGAGATCTTCGTATGGCCCCTCGCAATCATGGCGTCATGGAAGCGTCTGCGAACGACTCTATGGAGGCGTGGGTAGGTTTGTGAGATGCGCTGGTCGGGATCGACGAGGAGATACATCACCGTGGCTAGAGCGTTCATCCATGGAAGTCCCTTTTCGTCCAAGCCATATATCGGGCGCCCATGGGCGTCGCGAGAGGGTGCCTCAGCTTCGGCCATGTTGTGAAGGCAAAAACTGCGTGCGTACGGCGTTCAAAATTTGTCGTAGGTTAGAGGTAGTATTCCAGTCGTTGATTTGAGGAGTCTCCGGGCGGTCATCGAGGGCGCCTTATATGCGATTTCATCTTATCTTGAAGATATATGGAACCGTGTCTCGTCATAGGCGATCTTTATTTTATTCTTCGGCCAGACCAATGAAAGGGCTTTGTTTGTTGCCATTGTATTGTCTCATAGTTAGGATTGATTGATGGATGAAGCTTTTGTTTGTCTCTCACAAAGGCAACCCGTGCAGACAATCACCGACTTCTTTCTCTTTCTCCTGAGCTTTGTCTTTTTTCTTCTTTGTCACCATCTTTGTCACCATCTTCATTGTCAGAGGCCATTGCTATATCCGAGGAAAGATGGAACCGACCTCGACCTCATTCGAATATCTCAGTCCACCAATCGACACCGTCATTGTCTCTAGTAGAGCTAGTAGAGCCTCATCCCCTCCAAATCTACGTGAGTCACCGAAGATCCACAGGGCGTCGTTCCTTACTGACATTGCCCGAATTGGGACAGGAAATGACCGCATAATTCAATGCAAAAATGCCTGTCTATGGGTTTTCATTGGAGGAAAAGCACGATGGATCAGTGATGATATCGAATGAGTGCCTGTCAGTCGCTCTTGGCTGCATGAGATCCCCCCACCTCCCCATCCCAATTAGCGTCGTCAACTTGACGCCCACACTCGGTGTTGCATGAGGAGGCCCGCTCGTCGTCTGCAAGCAAAGAAAGCTGAGTGATGTCGGTCGGCTGCACTGCGACAGAATCTGGCATGCCTTAGCCTCCTGCAGCCAGTTGTGCTTATTCGTCATCCCTTTCGCGACGTGAGCCCGACTCGCGATGGAGGGCAACTTACGTTGGCCCTAGTTGCATCGCCTCGCTCGGGGGACCAAGGCTCGGAGAGGAGTGTGCATGACGGGGCTCAACAACCGCAGTCTCTACCAATGATACAATCGAATCGAAGAGGGGGAGAGGGAAAGAGAGAGACGGAAAAAGAAAAGGGATATCAGCAAAAACCCGCCGAGTAGGGCAATTCTAGCCTCACTCTACATTGCCCGGGCTCAGCCACTGCGCCTCATCGATCCTCGTATTCCTGGGATCTGCTGCTTCTCTCGCCGCTGTATTCTGCACACCTCCGTCTTCTGTTGTATCCACTCCATTTCTGGGGATCTCCATCTCCCCGTGTGGCTACCTGTTCGCCCTTGCCTAGGTCGACCAAGCTGCTCGGCATCTGCGGAGTACGACTGGGATCAAGAGGAGAATCCACCAGTCAGGGTCGTCGCAAAGACCCCTCGGGCGAAGGCTGGACCTGAGTTCAGTCACCAAATGTTCGCTAGTGAGATTCGGGGATGACGGTGGGCAAGGCAGAAGTGCAGGGGTTTGCGCCTTGAAACACTCAGACTGGCGGTTTTCGCCCCGGCTGTTCACCCACTGATGGAATTCTGCCTGTAATTGAGACCGACCACTGTCGTTATTAGTGTTGATTGTCTCCTAGCTTGTTCTGCTCTGGAGAAGTGGGACCCGAAACTATTTCTACCGTCTGCATCCCCCCCCCAATCGCTCCGTGCATCAATCGGTCTCAGATCTGCCTCCCGTCCCTTCTACCCTATAAAGTACTACGGCCCCCCCGCTTCACTGCGTCGCTCTTGCACGATCTCTGAAGGGTCGATCGCTCACTATAGACAACTAGTAATTCCCTTTTGGGTCTGTGGAGCAGGAAGCTGGACCCCATGGCGGTCATCCACCCCAATATGATGCCGCCGGTGCCACCCTCTCACCACCCGCCTGCCACTCATGCCCCCTCCAACGAGATCCCCCGGGTCATCCATGACCCCCCGACGAGGCTGATCCATCCCGGGCATCTGGCCGACCAAATGGCGCGACTTCAGGTGAACCCAGATCAATTCGGCCCCGCCAAGGCCCCCAAATTCGAAGAGTTCCCGGCGTCCCCCAAAGGAGCGGACTCCATCGAGTACCGCGGATTCACCTTCTTCAAGGCCGACTCGACGCCCGGCAATCGGTCCACCTGGACGCATGCGGAGAATACCCCGATGCACCTGAGCCAGGCCGACCTGCTGCGCCTGGTGCACCGGCGGGCCAAACGGTTCGCGGCCACCGAGCAATACCAGTCCCTGTCCCGACTGAAGCGGGTCCACGTCGACCGGCTGATCGAGGATCTGAAGCAGAGGGACCCCCACTCCGAGTGGACCTGCGTCTACGTCAAGGAGGACGAGAAGGCCGTCAAGGGCAAGAACTCCCGTCGCGGGGATTACGAGACCGTCTCGCTGGACATCATCCTCATGAAAACGCCGACCAGCGCACCAGGCTTCGCCAAGGGCCCCTTTGACCGACACGTGAGTTTCGGGTCCCCGACTGCGCCGCCCAAGGAGCGCGTTTCCACCTCGGGTCATCCCCCGATCATCAACGTCGAACCGCGATCGATCCACCCGGGTTCGGAGCGTGGGGGCCCTTGGACTGCTCCAGGGCCTGTGCATCCGGGACAGGGGGCCCCCGTGATCAACAACGGGCCCCAAACGGGTCCCCAGTTTCCGCCCGCCCCGCAGTTCCGTCCGCCGACCGCCGCCCCCGCTCCACACGATCAGCAGATGCCCGGCGCGTGGCCTCCCAGGGCGCACCCCCCTAACGCGCACCCGCCACCGGACGAGCACGGGATGCCTCGAGGACACCCCGCAGACCCCAGGGACCCCGGGCAGGGTCCTATGATGGGAGGCCCGGATCCCAGGGCGCGAGAGATCCCGGTCGGCCCAGATGGACGGCCCCTGCAGCGCATGCAACCACCGCAACATCTGCCACCCCATCAACACATGCCACCTCATCCGCACATGCCACCTCATCCGCAAATGCCACCTCATCCGCAAATGCCACCCCATCAGCACATGCCACACCCCCGACACATACCCCCCCAGCACATGGCCCCCCAGCAACCCCCCCAGCAACACATGCCCCCTGGATTGGAACAGATTCGCGGCGAGTTTGCTGCACCGACTCCCCACCCGGCCGCCCGAAGCGACGTTCCTATGGCGCCGCATGCCCCCCACGCCGCCCACGGGCGACCTTCGCACCCCGGGGCGTTTCCGGGACTGGACGCGGAGGCGGAGTGGGGGCCGGAGTCGAGCAGCGTGGAGGACGACGAGCCCGAGCTGCTGGACGCCGAAGATCTCAGCTCCGTGACGGATGGCTCGGACGAGGAGGACGAGTTGCACCCGCCGGAGGGGTGGCGAGGGAGCCTGTACCAGCGGCACTCGCCGATCAAACCGGCCTCGCAGGCGCCGCGATACCGTACACACTACCGCAAGCAGCCCAGCAAGAGCCGGTCGGCGTCGAAGCAGGGGCGCCGACGCTACCCGGGGGGCGTTGTGGACGTGGTGCCGGCGGACAGCAAGCACGGGTCGCGGCGGGCGGCCAAGGGGGGCAGCCGGGAGCTCCTGCCCCGACCAGCGCGACCGACGGTCATCCACGGGCCTGTTAGTTCCGATGATTTGGATCTAGCGCTGGTGGAGGACCCGTTCCGCGGAGGGCGGGCCCGAAACGACATTCGCACCCGCATCCTGGACGATCGCGAGGCGCGCATCGAGCGACGGGAGAAGATGATAGACTACCGGACACGACTGCTGGATGAGCGATTGAACGAACGGTTGGACGACCGACTGGACGAGCCCTATTACCTGGGTCGTAGCATGTCCCTGCGCGAGCCGACGTCCTACCACCCGTCCCGACGATATAGCGGCTATGTCCCGGGGGGGCTACATTGAGGGCCCCGTCCGGGAGACGGTGCTCCATGTTCTCATTTCTCCCCCATGTCTTATTTCATTTTCTTTTTTCTTTTTTCTTTTTCTTTTTTCCTTTCTCATCTCCGGCGTTCCGACCGGATTCTCTTCTCGTTCATTGGATCGCGGGGCGTCTGTGGGGGAGATTCTTTCCGAGGGTTATAGGGTCTTTCCGGGAGGCCTGTGGGGATCACGGAACCGATGGCGTCATAGGTTGGATATAATTACTTTGCCGGGGTAAAATAATGACATTGATGAACTGAAGCTGTATCTGACGGTAGACCAGATGTACACCTGTAAGTGTAGTAAGCTGAGGCAGTAAGTCAGAAGAGGAAGAGGAAGAATCGTCCGTGTAGTCCAGAGTAAGAAGAGAAAAAGCTGGAATGGAGAGGCTTATCGATAAGAGGAGTGCTGGCTGCCTGAGGCACCACTGCCCCGCCTCCCGTTTCGTCATTTAAATTCCTCCATTTCTCTCCTCATCTTCTTCATCTTCTTCTCTCTCCCTCTCTTTCTTCCATCTTCTTCACGTCAATTCATTCCTCCCTTACTACTCTATTCCAATCTCCTTAGATTCAATCATCCCCCCACACCGCCATCATGCCCCGCCAATTCTTCATCGGAGGTAACTTCAAGATGTATGACCCTGTCCCTCTCCCCTAAGAAACCCGACATCAAGGTCATGATCCAAGATCAAGATCAAGACCAAGGTCAGAGTTAGATCAGACTCTCATATCGATTAGGAACGGCACTGCCGAGAGCATCACCTCCATCATCAACAACCTCAACTCCTCCCAGTTGGACAAGTCCTCCGAGGTCGTCATCTCCCCCCCCGCCCTCTACCTCACCCTGTCCCGCCAACTGGCCAACCCCAACATCGGCGTCGCCGCCCAGAACGTCTTCGACAAGCCCAACGGTGCCTTCACCGGTGAAATCTCCGTCGAGCAGCTGCGCGACACCAAGATCAACTGGGCCATTGTCGGTCACAGCGAGCGCCGTGTCATCCTGAAGGAGTCGGACGAGGTATGTTTCTTTGACGACCCGGTTCCAGGAGAGACCGATGCTGATTGAGAACAGTTCATTGCCCGCAAGGTCAAGGCCGCCGTCGACGGTGGCCTCGAGGTCATCTTCTGCATCGGTGAGACGCTTGAGGTAAGCCCCACTTTTTTTCTCCCGAACGCTAGGCAAGGTTAGGGAGGGGTTGTTGAGACTAACGCCCGGTCTAGGAGCGGGAAGCCAACAAGACCATCGATGTCGTCACTCGCCAGTTGAACGCTGCCGCCAAGGAGCTCTCCAAGGAGCAGTGGGCCAAGGTCGTCATTGCCTACGAGCCCGTCTGGTATGTTTTTCCTCTTTTCCCCCTTCTTCTACTTCTCCTCCGGCTAACTGGAACAGGGCCATTGGCACCGGCAAGGTCGCCACCACCGAGCAGGCCCAGGAGGTCCACGCCGCCATCCGCAAGTGGCTCGCCGACGCCATCTCCGCCGAGGCCTCCGACAACGTCCGCGTCATCTACGGCGGCTCCGTCAGCGAGAAGAACTGCAAGGAGCTGGCCAAGCAGCCCGATGTCGATGGTTTCCTCGTCGGCGGTGCCAGCCTGAAGCCCGCCTTCGTCGACATCGTCAACGCCCGTCTGTAAGCGGCACGCCTCACCAATTAAAAACAAAAAAGATACCACCCAACAAATGGAAATAAAACAAAAATAACGTCTACAAGAAACATTCCCGACCAGTCGCCTGCCGGGAGCAGGCACCGACTGTAGGTGATCTGCTCGATGGGACGTAGGATATAAATGAAAGATACCAGCTCGTGCAATATTTTCTTTTCTTCCATTTGTTCTAAGCCTTTATACCCCGTAGATGATCCTATATACATATACATGTACTTGTAATTCTTCCTGTGGACTTCTCTATCAGCATGTGGTCCATATCGTTGGTCAGTCGTACACGACTAGCAAACACAAATCACGATGAATACGACACCGACACCCCCACCCCCTTCCAGTACGACATCCCCGCCGCACCACCCCCACCCGTCGTCCCGGACCCTCCCCCCGCCCCCGACAGCGAACCCCCCGCGAATGACCCAGGCCCCAGCCCCACGCCGGCACTCACCAGCAACTCCTTGACCCGGCCTTCCCAAAGGACCCGCACATTCCACGACTGGTCAACGCGGATCTTGAGCACCGAGTCGGTTGCGTGGTCGCTCTCGAGGTCTGTTGGGGAAGGAGGAGGAGGAGGAGATGTAGTGGTGGTAGGCACCGACCCGGAGAGGAGAGCCGACGAGGGCCACTCGGTCGTGCGCATCTTGCGACGGGCCCATTCGAGTCCATCCTCGTCGTCGTCGTCGGTGACCTTCCGGCTGGAGCGACGCCAGAGTTCGCAGCCGGCGACCATCTCGCTTTCCCAGCTGTAGACGTTGAAGCCGAAGCGGGAGCCGAAGGCGAGGTTGGGCGAGGCGCGCAGGGAGTAAGTCGTGGAGAGGGAGCCCGTGAGTGGTGTGAGGGATAGGGTGATGGTGTAGGGGAAGGTGGAGATCGGGGAGGAGACGTTCGGGGGAGAGGAGGAGGAGGAGGAGCGGGAGGAGGAAGGGAGACCCTCGGTGGCGGCGGGGAGGGTGCTGAACCGGAGACCGGTTGACATTCCAATTAGTGAAGATACGGGCGAGTAGTACGCTTCGGCACCGGCGGAGAGGAGCGACACGCGCTGGTCTGGCGGGAGAGACAGCGAGGCGCGCGGGTCGGGCCCAAAGTTCCACAGGCCCCGCCAGCCGAAGAGGGAGTTGTCGGTGCTGAAGAGATACTCGTTGCTGTATTTGCCCGTGTCGTGGGAGAGCTGGGTGAGCAGGGAGGCCTGCGGGGCGGACTTGGAGAGCGGCGGTCCGCGCGTGGAGCAGACGGCCAGCGCCAGCTGCATGGTCGGGGAGATGCGACGGAGGAAGAGCGCGTTCAGCGTGGTCGGCGGGGGGAGGTGTAGCGTTGCGTGGAGCAGCGTCGGTTTCTGGCCCAGTGGTCCGTCGACCACGGCGGCGAGGGAGCTCCCGTCATGCCGGCTGTTGCCACTGCTGTTCTTGAGATCCTCGAGGTCGACGGGCGCGACGGGGGGCTGGGCCTGCCGATACCCCGGGGATAACTTCCGGAGCGGAATCAGGGCACTGCGGCTGGGCAGGTTGTTGAAGGGGACAGTGCTGTAGAGGTAGGACACGGAGCCATCAATCACGCCGACAGTACCTAAGGTGTAACTAGTTGCGAAATTGGGGGTAGCGAGGGAGGAGAGGTGGACACGCAGTCGTTCGGGGGTGGAGAAGTCGAGGAGGGATTGCGCCGTGGCGGTCAGGGAGGCGTAGGAGTTGTCGCGATTGCAGTCAGTGGCCTCCGTAAAGGCGAGCTGGATGTAGTCCATGAAGTCGAGCATGGTCAGAGCTGATCGCGCATGGCGATTCGCTGAGGAGAGAGGACGATGGGGTGAGGTTATTCGCGTGACGGAGATGGAGATAGAGGATGGCCTGGATAATGGCCTGGAGAATCAGGCAATCAGACAGTGTTCCCGAACGGGTTAGCGCGTGTATAAGTAGTCAGCATGGGATGTGTACACAGCATAACACTCTCGTTCCTGAGGCAGGCGGATGAGTCAGCAAAGCCCGCTAGATAAGCCCGCGACAACGATAATCCGCCCGTTATCAGAAAGAAAAAAAAAAGCAGAAAAAGATCATCGAAATCGATCTCCAACAGTCAACAGTCTGTCAAACCCCGATTCTCCTCGACTTCTCTCATACCCAGCAAAATGCCTCGTTCCAAGCGCGCCAGAGTCGTCCACGAGACCAAGACGGCCAAGAAGTCCCACAAGGAACAGACCCGTCGACTGTACGGCAATATCCGAGAATGTGTCGAGTCTTATGAGCACCTTTTTGTCTTTTCCGTCGATAACATGCGCAATACCTATTTGAAGGATGTGCGGTCGGAATTTTCGGATAGCCGGTATGTTCTCCAAAAAACATTACAAAGGAGGAGGGAGGGGGAGGAGGGAACAGAATCCAGTGACCGGCGTGCGGGAGAAGGCACAGGAAAACATCAACCCGAGTGATACTGACAAGAAGATATAGCCTCTTTTTCGGCAAGACCAAAGTCATGGCCGTCGCCCTGGGTCACACGGTCGAGTCCGAGGCCGCCCCCAACCTGCACAAGATCGCTCCGCTGCTGGCCGGCGCCGTCGGCCTGCTCTTCACCAACCGCGACCCGGCCACCGTCACCGAGTACTTCGACAACTTCCGTCCCCAGGACTTTGCGCGCGCCGGCTCCGTCGCCACCCGCGACTTTGCCATCCCCAATGGCCTCGTGTACTCCCGCGCCGGCGAGGTCCCCGTCACGGACGACCAGCCCATCAGCCACACCATCGAGCCTGAGCTGCGGCGGTTGGGCGTCCCCACCCGGTTGGTCCAGGGGAAGGTCATGCTGCAGTTGACGGGTGACCAGGAGGCGGAGGGGTTCGTTGTCTGTCGGGAGGGCGAGGAGCTCGATTCGCGGCAGACGACCCTGTTGAAGATGTTTGGTGTCACCTCGTCCGAGTTCCACGTCGCCGTCAAGGCCCACTGGACGAGGGAGACGGGTGAGGTGGAGGTCTTGGAGGAGAAGGCTGGGATGGAGGTGGATGGGCAATGATTTATCTTCTTTTTTCCCTTTCTTTTACCCCCTTTTTGGATCTCTCTCTTTTTGTGATATCTTTCTGCTCCCCCGTATCAAAAAGTACCCTCGATTGTGGCTGCTGGGCATGGAGTTGGGTGTTGGCTTTTGTTTTACAGATCTCGAGTATCTCGTCGATTACGAGACCTACAGACTAGACCTACGTGGACAGCTACTCAAGCCTTCTTGTTCACGCATCTGATATACATACGAAGAACCTGGTCCGGTCATTGCGTTGGAAACCTTACCTGATCTCCTTACCTGCACGCCGGGTCTCCCGGCCAGGACAACGTCTTGACCACCTAACGTACATACTTACCCTGTAAAGCCAAGGTGGCCAGGGATCATAACAAAACAAGGGAAGGATCAAAAACAGTTGAAAAAAAAAAAGGGAAAGAAAAAATGTCACGCCAGCCGGATCCATCGCAAGATATACCGTCATTCACAGGGTCGACTGCCGCAATCCATGGCCGATCGCGTCGAGTCGGAATAAAAAAAAAAAAAAAAACAACGGACGACGACTATGGGAAGGATCATCCCCGTTGATGCCTTACCCAGTGTCGTTCACAGAACTTTCAGTTAGAAATTACCCACCAACCCACCATGGAATGCCGAAAAAAAGAAAACAGGGGATCAAGTAAAAAAGAGTCAAGGGAAAAAAGAATCAAGTCCAACTCAGTATCTTCTCTTGGCACGGGGATCATCGTAGGCGTCGTCCTCGTGGTATCTCTTCCGTCCGTAGTCCTCGCGCCCGCCGTAGCGGTCACGGTCACGATCACGCTCGCGCTCCCGGTCTCGGTACCGGTAGCTGTCACGGTCGCGGTCGCGGTCGCGGGGACGGTCCAGGTCGCGCTCCCTGTCGTAGTCGCGGCGGTCGCGGTCCGCGAAGCTGTCCCGGGGTCGGACGGGCTCGCGGTTGCTGCCGGTGCCGGTGGCGCCGCGGTCGCGCTCGAAGCGGGCTCGCCCACCCCCGGGACCGGACGGCGCGTTGGGGGGCGCCTGTCCGCCGAAGCCGTTTCGGCCGCCTTGATATCCCACCCCGCCACGCGGGCCAAATCCACGATCCCCACGGAAGCCGCCCTTGAATCCTCGGCCGCCGCCACCGAAGCCGCGGAACCCGCCGCCAAAGCCCCCGGGCCCGGACGGGGCGTTGAAGCCGCCGGGTCCGATGGGGCGGGACGGCATCGCCTTGGTATATCCACGACCACCGAGGCCGCCGCCAAACCGACGAGGCTTCCAGCCCTTAACCGTGCGACCACGCTCCACATCCACCACCACGCGGCGATCCTTGATTCGAATACCATCCGTCTCTTTGTAGGCGGCTGGACCGAAACAGAAAAAAAAAAAATGGGTGTCAGCAAAATTGATCAACTGGGGCCTGGGGGTATATCCCGCCGAGTGGGAGGTGTCGTGATAACGGGAGATCTACCTTTCATATCCTTCTCCCGCTCGTAGACGATGAAGGCATATCCACGGTGCGCTTTCTTGGCGCCTTTCGGGGTGACATTATCCTTGACGATGCGGATCTAGAGAAGTTAGTCGGGATCGACCACGACTATGGGGCGCTCGTGATAGAGAGGGGAAGGGGGAGGGGACATACCCGCTCAATCGGACCAAAGCGGCCAAACTCGCGCTCCAGATCGGCGTCCTTGACATCGTAGCTCAGACGGGAGACGAAGAGCGTCTTGAACGGGTCACCACGGGCCTGCGGGTCATGGCTGGGGTCAACTGCATCCGGTCAGCCACGGTCTTATCTCTTCCACACCGTCCTTGGAAAGCACCGCCCACATACAAGCCTGGACACTCTCGTTCAACTGGTTTTGCAAGTTTTCCTTCTGCTCCTGCTTCTGGCGCCACTTGCGTTGGATCCAGCTCTCGGTCGGCGTGTAGGGGACCTCCTCCTCGTATTTCTTCACCTCGGGCAGGAACTGCGCGATCCCACCAATCTGACTCTTCTTCACGTCCTCGGGGGCCCGATCCAGCGGCGTCACGTAGCGCAGGGGCGGGCGCGGCTGGAACAGGGCGAGCAGCGGAGGGGGGAGCTTGTCCGTCATTGTGCCCTCCACCGGCTGCACTGGAGGAGACTAGCGTTAAGAAAACAAAAAAAAATGAAGACCAAGGACAAAGTGACTAGTTCAACCGGGTCGACATGGAGCAGGATGAGAGTTGGTCGAGATGGAAGCCGACGATGTTGTTCAGAATCGCGTCCCAACTGAGGTTGGAAATGCGCCTGTTGTCCCCTTCGGGTTAGTCCAATTCCAACCGCCTGCCGCCACCCGCGGCAGCCGCCATAGACGCCAACCAATCACGGACGGGCCTGCTCCGTCGGCGAAAAGATTCCAAAGTTGCGGCCTGAATGACACGGCTTTCCTCTCCCATCTCTATCACCACCGATAAACACCTTCAACATGCCGGTCCAAGGGATCAAGGCAGTGACTACTGCCCGGGTGAGACCTCGATTTTTTAACAGGATCTGACATGTCCTGGACTCGCACTGACTGACTCCCTCCAGAATGGCGTCGGCGCCTTCATCCTCCAATGCAAGCGACTGGACTTTCACTACTGCGACTGGGCCGGGAGTTCTCGGGGCATGGTGTACGTGCTACCTGACTGTCGGACATTACTCCAGCGCCATATACTAACAAAGATTGATCCAGCGCCTTCCTGAAGCATAAACTCCCCGCCATCGCCAAGGAGAACCCCCAGATCGAGATCCGCGTCTCCCCCCGTCCGCACCGTCACCCCGTCATCAAGGGCCAGTACATCAACGGCCGCGAAAAGGCCATCTGCGTGCGCAACCTCGAGCCCGAGCAGATCGTCAACAAGGTCTCCCTACTCAAAGAGGCCAGCGGCGAGAAGCTCAAGCGCATCAAGAAGCCCGTCTCCAGTATCAACGAGAGCGTCCGGGGGATCTGGTCTCCCTTCCACGGCGAGTACAAGGGCATCTAAACGCGAGCGGGTCTGGTGGGGGGATTGCCCGAGGGTGTTATTGGAGCGTTTATATTATGTGTTTTTTTTTTCGTTTTTTCAATTCATGGTTGTCATGTATATTGGGTTTGCTGGTTTGAGGGTGGCGGCCAGAAGGCTGCTTCCGATGTACTATACAGAAATATGGTCTCGCAATCTATACCATGATCAGTTACTACTATATATGGTATTAATACTATATAAATATTCTGATGTACCTGTGATCTACGGATATACCAAACAGTCTAGTCAAAGAGTAATCATATAATAAGATCGTGATAATACAACCCGCTATGCTGAGATGCTATACCAAGAGATGGCCAAATCCGAAACGCACCCAAAAAATGCAACCAGGGTATACCGAGAGAAGAGGGACAACACGAAGCCCTGCCGAACACCAGCGACACTCAAAGAAAGAAGAAAGAAAGAAAGAAAGAAAGAAAGATCATAAGTAGACTTGAAACATCGACCGAGGCTGACTGACGGCTTTGCCACAGTTGTCCACCAGACACTTCGCGAACGGCTTGGTCTTATGGGAGGTAGAATTCTTCTTCGCTTTCGACTGGGAGCGGTGGGTGGCACACTCCCCGCAATAGACCTGCACCGGTGTCAGTAGATGTCCTGATAGAGGGGAGGGAGGGGAGAGAAGGGCTCGACCAACATGTCCGCACTGTTTCACCACCCAGATCTGCTGCTTGATCTCACTGCCCACGCCCAGCTCCGCATCGCAGTTGGGACAGCACACCACATCCTCGTCGCCGACCGTCCGCGTAAACCCCTCGGGAACCGGACTCGGAGGTTTATACGCTCGGGCGGTTGGGGGATGGCGTTCCAGCTCCCTCGGGTTGACGTCCAGATTGACCGTCAGATCGATGGCCCCGTGGGAGGGGTCCCCGCCCATCCACAGAACATCATCCATTTGTGGCGGCGGCCGATGACGGGCGAATTCTCGCGCCCGCCGGGCGATCACCTGCGTAAGGATATCCTCCCGGGCCCTCTCGGGGAGCCGCGAGCTGTGGAAGCCCAACATCCGCAGCAGGCTGTTGCTCACCCCGAACGACCGCGGCGGCAGCGGCGGTGGCGGCGGACGACGGGGCCGCACCGACGCGCCCATAAACTGCACCTCTGGGCTACTCGGCAGGTCGTCTGGCGAAGCGACGGTGACTTCCGCCTCCTCCGCCTCCTCCTCCTCTTCTTCTGCGTCCAGATCGACCACGTCAACCCTCCGGTCTAGCCCCAGCCCAGGCAGCCGGGGGCGTCGGGTCTGCGGGGGCGAATCGGGCTCGTTCGTCAGGTCGATGACCCCGTCTCCGGGGGAGGAGTCCGACACGACCGGACGGCGAAAATCGAGACCATCGCCGGGGTAATGCAATCGGGGTGGCGAGGGACGGGGATTCTGGGGTACACCAGCATTGGACGGGCCGGGGGCGGATTGGCTGGATGACCGCCGGGAGGCCTGACTGTGACGCGAAGGCATTTCGGAAGCATGACGGGATCGCTATAGAGACCGATACGGTGTCAGTCCACGACTGGAGCATCATCGAAGACGAAGAGGAGACTGACCTTTTTGGGGCGCGCGGCCACGAACTGCACGTCACTGGGATCCATCCGGGATGGGAACGATGAGGGGGCGACAGGACGCCAGAGGAGCCGAGGGGCGGATGACGATCGGAATCCGGGAAGGGGGACTGTGAGCGAGGGTCGGTCTCGACAGGCATGGACCGACCAGGGAACGTGATTGAGGGATAGATGAAGATGGAGAGAAGAGAAGATGAAGAAAGACGAGAAAGAGAGACTTATCGGTGTTATCGATTAGGATCTTGACCGCCCGCCACTCACCTCATCCGACTAGAGGTGGAGTTAGAGATAGATCTCTACACGAAAGAAGTCCATGAAGAGCAAGACGACTCTGCTCCTGTCAGTCTCTAGATCGGGAATGAAGTTGATTTCGGTTTTGTTCCTCTTTGTTTGGGATTTCTTTATGTACGCTTTCATTAACGAGATGTTCCCCCAGGAATAGTAACGGCTAAAAATACAAAAAAAAAAAAAAAAAAAACACCAGGATGTGAGACCGCCTTCTTTCTTTCTTTCTTGCTGGCTTCTTTCATTCTATCGGCCTGTTCAATCGTCCGTCCGATCCTCTCATCGACTATGCAGCGCCCACCACCGTGAGGCCGCCGTCGCCGTTCAGCGCCACGATGCGCTGCGCGGCCGCACCCCAGGTCGCCGCCACAGCAGGCACGGCACTCCGCAGGGGCTCCGACCAGCTCTTGCTGCTCTTGGAGTACTGTTGCACCGTGACCCCGCTGGGCCCACCAGTCAGCAGGAACTGGCCCGTGTAGTCCCAGCTGATCGAGTCCACCTGGCTGCCCGTGTCCAGCGCTTTGACCTCCTGCGAGTGTCGCAGATCCCAGATCGAGACCACCGTGGATCGGTCCGCCACCGAGGCGAGGAAGGTCCCGTTTTCGGAAAAGAACAGGGCCTTGACCGGACCGGACATGGCGTAGTTGGCGGCCGCGGTGCCCGTCTTGACGTCGAAGATCTTGATCTGGCCGTCGACGCCACCTGCGGCGATGAGATGTCCATCGGGATGGAACTGCACCGAGAGGAGGGCTGGACAAGGAATTAGTGTTAGCCCATACGCACACACACACACACAAAAAAAAAAAAAAAAAGAGAGAAAAGAAACGAAGATCAAGGCAGCACGTACAGGCATCGGTAAAGACCTGAGTCACGGCGGCATTCGTTGTGAGGTCGTACAGCACGTAGCTCTTGTCGGCACCCACCGACGCGACAATGTCGCCCGTCGCATGCGTTGCCAGGGCAGTTGCAGCGCCGGCGTGGGAGGTAAAGGCGGCCGTCCGCGTGCCGTTCTCGTAGACGGCCACGGCGCCCGTCGACGAGGCCACCACGGCCTTGTCGCCCGCCCAGACCGCGGCGGTGACGGTTCCATCGATCTGGAGGTTCTGCACCACCTGCTTCTGCGACAACGAGTAGATTCCGATCGCCCCCTCGGCCCCGCCAATCAGGGCCAGGTCGCCCGACGCGTGCACCGCCAATGCCTTGGCGCCCGGCACCAGCGGCGCGGTGGTCTCCAGGGGTTTGTAGGCCGAGATCGAGTCGGCGGATGCCCAGCCCTCGGGGACTGCGCGCTTACGGCGCGTTTTCGAGAGGCTGTCAATCACATCGTTAGTTATCACCATGCACCAGGAGAAGGGAACGGGGGATGACAAGGGGGTCACCTACGACGCCTGAGTACTCTCCACCCGGGCCAGGACGGCCTCGGGCAATCCCGCCGCATCCACCTGCATCGCCTCACCCCCGGCGGCGGCGCCTCGGCTGGCCCCGACCGAGACCTTGGACAGCGCATCCCGGGCCTCGTCCCGTTCCTGGGTCAGTCGAGCGATGACACGGACGGCGGCGTCATGCTGATAGAGCGCGGTGCTCAACTCCTGTCGGGTCTGGGCCAGGGTCTGTCGCAGGGTGTAGGTCTCCAGGGCGAGCGCATCCCACTCCTCTTGGAAAACGCTCAGCAGAGACGGGATGGAGGTCAAGGTAGGAGGTCGGGGTCGGACGACGCGCTGGGACTGGACCTGGATCAAGTCCTCGGTGGACAGCTCCTCCCCATTCACGGGATCCTTGCCATTCTCGGCAATGTAGGCTTCGATCAATCGCTTCTCAAAGACGCTGCCTAATGAGTCGTATCACAGGTCAGCGTCCATATCTCTCTCTCTCTCTCTCTCTCTCTCTCTCTCTCTCCGACCTTACCGCTCTTGGGGGAGACGACTGGCTCCTGGGGGGCCTCTCCGGAAACTAGAGAACATCAAGAATCAGTAAGCGCCTCATCATCAATCCCCAAACCAACTTACTTGCACACAACATCGTTCTCCAAGGGGGAATTGAGGGTGGATGTGGCAGGAAGAGAGAGGTGGAAGACGAACGTGAAGCTGTCCAGCCTGAGTCTTTTCCACGGCGCCCGATCCGGTCTAGTGGCTGCCTTAGTCAGGCCGATCTCTCTTCATCTTCATCTGCCTACTTCCTACTTACCTACTCTCGTTCTGTTTGATTCTTCTGTCCCTCCGAGTCAATTGCTTTTCTCGTGTCTATTATCTTATCCGGTCGTCATATCGGTGGCCCAGAGCATGAAGTTCTGAACCCCCGTCCATTGCGGCTCCCATGCGCTGCATTCTCCCCTGATCCCTCGATCGAGCCGACCCCAGGCACACACGTCCGTTCGCCATGTCCTTCAAAGCCAAGGACCTGACATACGGTATGTAGCGTACAGCAGGAGAACTTCATGCGCCCCGTCGCTAAGAGAATCAGATTCCAAGGAACCGGCCTTCCTGCAGCGACTCAAGAACCAGTACGGAAACTCCACGGGACGCCTAGAGCGTCCGGCCGCTCGGCCGCGCTTGGCCAAAGGGAATGACGAGGACGATGCGCCAACGTATGTCGATGAGGAGAGCAACGAGGTTCTGACCAAGGAGGAGTATGAGGCTCTCGTCCGAGGCGGCGACCCCCAGAAGGCCGGAGAGGCGACCGATGGCGCCACCCCCCAGCAACGAGAGGAACCGTCCGTGGGGGACAATCCCACCGACAAGGCACGCGCGACACCCAAGCAGAATGTGGTCGACGTCAGCGGTCCCAGGAAACGGAAACAGGCCAAGGTGGTAGGGGAGGAGTCCTCCGCCGGGCGAGACCAGACGCCGCCCAAGGAGCTCGCATCCACCAAGCCCAAGGGGAAGAAAAAGAAAATCAAACTGTCCTTTGACGACGCGTAACACCATACTTTTCCCAGTATTGTCTTTTCCATGAGATATCACGGGGGAGAGAGAGCCCCGACGCGCCCGCCGAGTGGACTTTAGACTGTAGACTGTAGATTGTAGACTGTAGAACCCGGCGCATTAATAATCGTCGACCCCCCCAAAGCCATCAGTCTCTTGGCCCTCATCCAGGAAATCCAAATCCATTGGTAATTACGGGTCGTGGTGGATATATAAACCCAAGAGGACCCGACTGTGCGGTGGTGCGACTGCGACTGGCCTGAGGCTTCCCGACCATCTCCAACAATTTTCTCTCCCGCATCGGATTCATTTCTTTCAACCACTTCTCTCTCTCTCTGTCCGAGAATTACACCCCTCAACCATGCCTGTGGTCAATGTGGATGACCTCGTCCGGTTACAACGGACCCCCGAGGACATTCGGAATGTAAGTGAGACTCTCTGTTCGTCTGCTGCCCCGCCGTGCGCTGTGGCCCCTCATCCGGTCGCTCCCCGCGGCGGGAAGGCATTGATGTCATTGCCTCCGACGCCCACAGAGGAATCACCACCGTGGTCGCTAATTCGCCTGTCTAGATCTGTATTCTCGCACACGTCGTACGTATGAATCGAAGAGCACCTCGCGGAGGGAAAAAAGATCACTCTAATCGTTTCCAATGTTTAGGACCATGGCAAAACGTCCCTCACGGACAGCCTGATCGCCACCAATGGCATCATCTCCCCCAAGCTGGCGGGAAAGATCCGCTATCTGGACTCCCGGCCCGATGAGCAGCTGCGCGGCATCACCATGGAGTCGTCGGCCATCTCCCTGTTCTTCTCGATGATGCGCCGGTCGGCCCCCGACGCCGCCCCGGAGCCCCGCAAGTACCTGGTCAACCTGATCGACTCGCCCGGTCACATCGACTTCAGCAGTGAGGTGTCCACCGCGTCGCGACTCTGCGACGGCGCCATTGTCCTTGTCGACGCCGTCGAGGGAGTCTGCAGTCAGACCGTGACCGTGCTGCGCCAGACCTGGGTTGAGCAGCTGAAGCCCATCCTGGTCATCAACAAGATCGACCGCTTGGTCACCGAGCTCCAGATGAGTTCCGCCGAGGCCTACTCGCACATGGGCAAGATCCTCGAGCAGGTCAACGCCGTTATTGGTAGCTTCTACCAGGGGGAGCGCATGGAGGAGGATCTCCAGTGGCGCGAGCGCATGGAGGAGCGCATCAACACCGCGGCGACCAAGGACAAGGATCGCCCCCAGCGACAGGCCCCCGACGACGAGTCGGTGGTGGGTAGCACGGATGGCCTGGAGTTTGAGGAGCTCGATGACGAGGGTCTCTACTTTGCCCCCGAGAAGAACAACGTCATCTTCTGCAGCGCGGTGGATGGCTGGGCCTTCACCATCCGCCAGTTTGCCGCCATCTACGAGAAGAAGTTGGGCATCAAGCGATCGGTGCTAGAGAAGGTCCTTTGGGGCGATTTCTACCTCGATCCGAAGACGAAACGCGTGCTCGGCCAGAAACACCTCAAGGGCCGGGCTCTGAAGCCCATGTTCGTCCAGCTGGTGTTGGATAGTATCTGGGCGGCCTACGAGGCGACCACGGGAGGTAAAACGGGGAAAGGGTACGTATCTCCACCATTCGCGGTTTTTTTTAATTGTCTTCCTTTCCTTTTTCAACGTGAGCACTCATCCATCCTAGCGACCCCGTCCTGCTGGAGAAGATCACCAAGTCCCTCGGCGTGACCATCCCCCCATACGTTTTACGATCCCGCGACTCCCGCAACGTCATGACGACGCTGTTCTCCATGTGGCTGCCGCTGTCGACCGCGGTCCTGGTGTCAGTCATCGAGTACCTCCCGAGCCCCCCCGCCGCCCAGGCATCCCGTCTGCCGGCGTTGATAGAAGACTCGCCCGCGTCGGGCGCGGTCGCCCCCGCTGTGAAAGACGCCATGGTCCACTTCAAGACCGGCCCCGAAGCGCCCGTCGTGGCCTACGTCAGCAAGATGGTCGCCGTCCCAGAGAGTGAGCTCTCGTCGAGCAAGAAGCGCACCGAGAACACCATGTCGGCGGACGAGGCGCGAGAAATTGCCCGCCGGAAGCGTGACGAGATCGCGAAGCTGCAGGCGGAGGCGGCCGGTGGCCAGCGGTCCGACGACGACTTCGAACGCATCACATCCGCGTTCGAGCACGCATCGCTCAACAACGGCAGCACCCCCGATGACGCCGAGGAAAAGGAGGATCCGGAGCACCTGATCGGCTTCGCCCGTCTCTACTCGGGGACGCTCACCGTGGGCGACTCCGTCTACGTACTCGGACCCAAATTCACCCCGGAGAACCCCCACGCCAGCCCCGAACCCCAGAAGGTCACCGTCACAGATCTCTACCTCCTCATGGGCCGCAGCCTGGAGCCCCTCCGGTCCGTCCCCGCGGGGGCGGTGTTCGGCATCGGGGGCCTGGCGGGCCACGTCCTCAAGACGGGGACGCTGTGCTCGCAGCTCGAGGGCGGCATCAACCTGGCGGGCGTGTCCATCAACACCCCGCCCATCGTCCGGGTGTCCCTCGAGCCGGTCCACCCGGCCGACCTGGGCAAGATGGTCACGGGGCTGCGTCTACTGGAGCAGAGCGACCCGTGCGCGCAGTACGAGCTCCTGCCCAACGGCGAGCATGTGATCCTGACGGCGGGCGAGCTGCACCTCGAGCGATGCCTCAAAGACCTCCGCGAGCGGTTCGCCCGCTGCGAGATCCACACCGGCCAGACCATCGTGCCCTACCGCGAGACCATCGTCAGCGCCCCGGAGATGCCGCCGCCGAAGAACCCCGAGCTCGGCCGCGGCGGCGTAGAGACGACCTCCGCATCCAAGCTGCTCACCCTGCGCCTGCGCGTCGTGCCCCTCCCGACGGTGGTGACCGAGTTCTTCGCCAAGCACGTCGGCACCATCAAGCGACTGCAGTCGGCGCAGCGGGGCTCGGAGAGCGCGCCCCCGGTCGAGACCAGCGACGCCACCGACGAAGCGCGCGAAGGCAGCATCCTCTCCCTGCAGGACTTCCGGCGCGAACTCACCCGGCTCTTCGACGAGGAGGAGGTAACGGGCGACAAGGAGCTCTGGCGGAACGTCGTGGACCGGATCACGGCCTTTGGACCGCGCCGGATCGGACCGAATATCCTCGTCGATGCGACCACTGTGAACACCTGCGAAAAATTGTACGCATCTTCTTCCCCTCCCCCCCCCCCCCCCCCCCCCCCCCGTTCCTTTTCTTCCCTTCTCTTCTATCTATCTATCAAGTGCCATTACTGATTAATCCCACAGCCTCCTTGACGACCCCAAGCAGCAGCCCACCCTCACGGCCGATACCAGCAGTCGCGATGCGCTCATCGTGCGCGATCTTAGCGACAAGATCGCATATGCGTTCCAGCTGGCCACGGGACAGGGTCCGCTGTGCCAGGAGCCGATCCAAGGCACAGCAGTCTTCCTCGAAGAGCTCACTGTTCACGCGAGCGAAGGCGACGTCGACCTCGGCCGACTAACCGGCGAGGCCATCCGTCTCGTCCGCGAGAGCATCACGCAAGGCTTCCTCGACTGGAGTCCGCGGATCATGCTGGCGATGTACAGCTGCGAGATTCAAGCATCAAGTATGTCTCCCTCCTACGAATCGTTTTACTACTACTAGTCGTACAAATGTGTCGTATGGTATCCAGAGCTAACCTCAAAAAACAGCCGAAGTCCTCGGCCGCGTCTACGGCGTCATCACCCGGCGCCGAGGCCGCATCCTCTCCGAAACCATGAAAGAAGGCACCCCCTTCTTCTCGATCCTGGCCCTCCTCCCCGTGGCCGAATCCTTCGGCTTTGCCGACGAGATCCGCAAGCGCACATCCGGCGCCGCCCAGCCGCAGCTGATCTTCGCGGGCTTTGAGGCCCTCGACGAGGACCCCTTCTGGGTGCCTGCCACCGAGGAGGAACTCGAGGATCTGGGCGAGTTGGCGGATCGGGAGAATGTTGCGAAGCGGTATATGGATGCTGTGCGGACGCGGAAGGGCCTGGTTGTGCAGGGGCGGAAGTTGGTGGACGCGGAGAAGCAGAAGACGTTGAAGAGGTAGTTTCTTTTCCCTCTCTTTGTTGTTTTGATTGTTTTTTTTTTTTAGTTTTGGCTGCGGGTTTTGTGGGGAAAAGTTTATATATATATATACTATCTATCTTTTGTCTTTCTTTAATCTCTCATAGATTATCTCTTTTTGATCTCGTTGTTTTGTGTTGATATAGTACCAGTGAAAATCCGTCTTATTTCTATGAACATGTCCTTGGACTTTACACATTTAAAAAAATACGGATGTACCCCCCATGTATCAACATCTTCATCCACAAAGCGGAAATGAAGACTAGTAGAAGAGGGGTCGTGGGATGAGTAAAAGTATCCCACGCGAAACAGCCATCAATCTTCCTCCGTTGACAAACACAGCCAGACATGGGAAAAGTCAAGACCATGGATACTGGGGAGGTGAATGCGAGCAAACAATTGGATCTATTCTAAGATAGGGAACACCATGCTAGAAGTGTCAAGGAAGGGAGGGGCGGAGTAGGTAGTAGTATATTGATCTGTTTAGGTACTGATGAGTAGTAACAGTGTGCTTGCACGGCTTCCGTCCGTGTCTTGGGAATGCTGCGTCGTGGCTCTGGGAGTCTGTCGGGCGGGGTCTGCCGTTCCTGTCCTCAAAGACTGCCTGTCATGGCTGGGTGAGGAACCGGCTGACTGCCTCGTTTGCTCCACGGCCGGACGCGGCGAGAGGCCGCTGCAAAGACATGAGGTTTGCCCTGAGGGCGACGTACTCCCTCATGGCGGTCTGAGACCCAGAGGTCCGGGTTCCAAGGATGTCTATCGGGATTATGATACGATACTCGCCAACGGTCGGGTCGTCCAGCAGGTAGGGTTGTCCAGTGTAGAAGAGAACTTCTAACCGACATCACACTCAAAAGGGCCGCGCCACCTTCCGCAGCTCAGCCTGCCCCGTGACCGGATCTCTCATCTCCTTCCAGCTCACTGGAAACATCATATTGCCCGCCTCGCTGCGAGCCATGACGACGCCGAGGTCGTTCCGCGCCGTGGTCAGGTAGTAGAAGCTCTGGTCGCCGAGGGAGATGACGGAGCCGCGGACGATGTCGCCCACGCGGAACATCTCGTCGACGACGACACGGTCCTTCTCGACGGCCCGCACGTCCTCCTTGCGGATGAGAGCCTGGAACCGCAGCTCGTCGGCGCTGCTGTGGTTCTCCGGGTTGGCCGCCACGCTGAGGATGGCCTCGACGTTGTCGTTGTCCGACGCGGCATTCGCCGACCGGGGCGCCGTCGCGGATTCGTCCAGCACGACCAGAATCGACACCGTCACCTGCCGTTTCTGCACCCGGGTCACGCGCGCCAGCACGATCGAATCGACGGCGGGGAGGGTGTTGTACTTCCGGGACAGCGGAGCGGAGGTCTTTTGACCCGTCGAAGCAGCGTTCCGCGAGACGGTGAGGGTGGACTTGGCTTGCGAGCTGGCATTGGCAGGGTCAAGGACGACGGGCCCCGCGATGGACGCGTAAACGTGAGCGTTCTGCACGTGCGTTCCGGGTCCGGCAGCATAGGTGGTCACCGGACCCAGACGCTGGCCGGGAATAGCCAGGGTGGGGAGGGAGCTGGCCATCTCGATTCTAGGAACTCAATGGTGGTGTGTGGACAGAGAAAAGGGAAGTGAGTGGGGGGGGAGGAGAAGATGAAGATGAAATTGGAGCAACAGGAAGAAAAAAAGGTCGGGTCGGGAGTCGGCGCGACATTTTTCCCGAAGTGGAGTCACCTGATACGTTGATGCTTGATACAATCTACAGAGTATATGATATATACAAGTCACACCGATGAACAGCAGAAACGGTACAGTTCGACCGCACGGTATAAAGGATCGGCTCTAGCAACATACAGAAAAAGGTTTCATCTCAGGGACCGAGCGGCTCCCGAAAAAGCCACGGCCCGGCAAACCAACATCGACAGCACGATGCGTTCCGAGCAGGCCGAATGCTCGCTGGCGGAAAAATCAAGACACCGAATCAAATGCCCGCTGAACACCTGGAAAGAAGACAAAAGAGAACTACAGAAGGAAGGTGTGGGGGGGAGGACAGAAGGGAGAAAAAGAGAAACAGAGAGAGAAGCACTTTCCGGTCACGGATGGAGGGCACGCCGGTCAGCCCTCGACCAGCGTCGGTCGCGGCCCACTCCCCAGGAATTCGAGGCATCGTCGAGCCAGCGCAATGACCTCACCCTCGCCGTCGTCGGCCTCCTCCTCGTCCGACTCGATATTGCGGTCCGAGATCGTCCGGACCATCTGCACCACGTCCTCCGACTTGGCGATGTACCCGATCAGCCGCTGGTCCTCCGACTCCAGCAGCTGCAGGAGCGTCCAGATGGCGATGTGCTGGAAGGTTGGGTCGCCACTGGCCAGGAAGCGTCGCAGGTAGCCGTGGATCCCACCGTTGGGATCCGCCCAATCGCGCACGAAGATGGTATAGTCGCCCACTAGATACCGTCAGCCGAGGGCTCCAGAGATGGAGGGGACGAGGGTAGAGTCAGATGGGGGGGGGATACCTTTGGAGGAGAGGTTGCCCAGCGCCGCGGCACTGTTCCCTTGCACTTCGATGCTCTCCGACTCGGTCAGCGGGATCAAAACGTCGAACACGCCCAGGGTCAGCAGGTGAGGCTTGAGCTCATCGCTGAGGGCCAGCACGGCGATGGCGGCGGTCATCTCGGACTGCACGCTGAGGGGCACGCGTAGGACCAGGTCCTTGCACTTCTGGACGGCGCCCGCCTGGAGGACGAGCTCCTTGTTCCGGTCGGAGCTGGCGGCCAGATTCCGCAGGGTCGAGATGGCGTGGCACTGGATCTCCTCGTTGTCGGTCGAGCCCAGGAGGTCAACCAGGGGCTTGAGGAAGCCGGCGTCGATAATGGGCGACTCGTTCAGCGGGTGGATGGAGATGTTGCGGATGCAGGCGACGGCGGAGAGGATGAGCGGCAGGTAGGAGGACTGGAGGAGGCGCAGAAGCGGCGGCAGGCCCTTGGCGCGGACAATCTCGAGCTGGTACTTCTCGTCGGAGGCCAGGTTGCGCAGGGCCAAGGCCGCCTGGCACTGCACCTTGGGGGTGGAGGAGTCCATCAGGTGGACGAGCGACTGGACCAGGCGCGACTCGGTCTGGGCCAAGCGCTTGCGGTTGGACGAGTCGACGGCGATGTTGCTGAGCGCGGTGGTGCAGTAGTACTGCACGTCAACATCGGGGGAAGAGAGCAGCTGGACGAGGACGGGGATGGCGCCGGCATTGACGAGTTGCTGTCGGTTGTCATCTGTTTTTGTTAGCATCGAACAGATCAACCGATCAATAAACAGAAAGATAGAGGGGGAAATACCAGAGTGGGTCATGTTCAGGAGCGCCCCCGTGGCATTCCGCTGGACGCGCATGTCCTTGGATTTGGCCAGGCGGATGAGGGGCCCCAGGGCGCCCGACCGGGCGATCTTGGCCTTATTCTCCTCGTGGGTGGCCAGATTGGTGATACACCCGACGGCGTTGCACTGGACCTCGACGTTGGGCGATACCATTTGGCGGATCAGCGGCGCCAGCCCTCCGAGGGCGACGATCAACACCTTGTTATCCGCTGTGTTGGTCAGCCACGGTCTTCCACAGATGTTCGATCGCGCCGGGAAAGAGAAGGAGGGGGAGAGAAAGCGCCTACCATTGACGGCGAGGTTGCCCAAGGCGGCGCTGGCGGCCCGTTGGACTTCAATGTCGGAGCTCTGTAAGAGGAAGAGGATGGGTTCGAGGGTATCCCGATCGACATCGCGGACGTCTAGACCACCACCGTTAATGATACAGTCCCGCGGAATCCGGGTCGCGAAGGTCGCCTACCTCGTTCTGTGATTTCGGCAAAGGTCAAGCTCGCACTCCGTTGGAGGTCGACGTTTTCCGAGTACACCAGGGTGCTCAAGGCGCGCAGGGGTTCGCCGGAAAAGAAATCGGTCTCGGTGCGCTATCGCCAATGGGCGGTCAGTTTGACGTCGGCGCAGGGATCGCGCGCCATCACTTACATTCTCCAAGTAGCCGAGTAGGTCGGAAACCGCTTCTCGCTCGTCATCGGCGAGGGTGGTCTCGTAGATGCCATCGCGCGAGCGACCGGCGATGGGACCCAGGCACGCCGTGATGTGGCACCAGCGATCGACCGTCGAGAAGCACGACAGACATGTTTCGGCGAATCCGCTCATGCCGTCCGGTTTGGTGGTCCGTCGGACCAGCAGAACGGCCCCGCAAGTGTTGAAGGGGGGACGGTGCGAAGGAGGCGGAGACGACAGCCCAGAATGGCACCCTTTTTAGGGGGGGGGCGAGGGTTTTCTATTATTTTGTCTTTCTGGGAATCCGAATTTCTTTTGAATTTCTCTCCGATAGATGGACTTCTCTTCCCGCTGTTTGAGACCGTCTGGGATGCGCGTCTGGACGGCGCTTGGGTGGGTGAGGACGGAGGAAGATCTTTTCTGACGTTCTTCAGCGTCGGAGGCAGGAAGAAGCGGAGGAGCGAGGGCGACGATGGCGCAACCGAATCAGGGACGGGCGGGATCGGATAGACGGCGCAATGCAGGCAGATGATGTGAGGGGATGACTGGGATTGGCGATGGGGGGAGGCTCTGCAATCCACCCAGGGAGCAACGGGCAACACAAGGCCCCGGCGCGTGATGATGATTAGTCCCCTCTTTGCTCTTTCCGGGCCGGGGATGTCCTTCTGGGGACCCTTTTCCTCTTTCCAATAATATGGGAGAAGGAGTGGGAAAGATGAAAGTCCGGGAAGAAGGGGAGGTTGGAAAGATAGAGAAAGAAGAGAGAGAAGAGAGGAGAGACGAGGAAGAAGAGAAAGAGGAAGTGAAGTGAAGTTGAAGGGAAATGACGGTGATGGGGATGGGCCTCAGGCTCTCCTTCCCGATCCGGTTTAGTGTGTCTTAGCTCCCCAGATAGACAGATAAAGAGAATAAACCTCGCTATACAGGGAGATTCGATCGAGATAGAGAAGGATAATCGAGTCGAGTGGAGAGCGGAATTCTAGTCGGAGGGATCTTGTCTGTTTCCAAGTGGATAGTGAGAGTGGATGTTGGAGGTTGTTGACCGGTAGCAAATATATATATGCTACTCTACATCGTACATGCCGATATAAATGACGATGACCAGATTGCTTTGGCTACGACAATCCAGGGTCGAATCTCTCCCGTCCACCCCAGCGGACCAGTGCCTACACCTTCCAGAATGACCCGACCATTGTCTGATCTGGGGTGGCCACCGTGAAGCATGTCCTCTCCATCCCATGACGTCTTCGCTGCCTCAGGTGTCTACACATACTCCAGGATCGCCCGTCACTGGTCCCTCTCCCCTCACCCGGAGAGTCGCCTCCAGAAAATATCATCCAGTATGATATCGTCATGATCGACTCAGATAGTCAATGTATATACACATCGGTTCCTTGGGGGGCATGGGTGGATGGGTGGGGGAAAATCTCCCCGAATGGCCTGTGTCTTGCCCGGGGAGAGAGGGGAGAAGGGGAGGGGAGCTCGTCACCGGACACGGGACGCTTGGCCTTTCTGAATATAGCATGGGATATGCGACCGGGGTCCAGATGAGTCTAGAGAAGACAAGAGGAGACAAAGAAGAGAGCACCGATTCCCTAAAATGTATCCCCAGGTTCTGCCCAGATTCATTCCCCCAGACCGGGGTGGTTCACGTGAGCTGCCCACACGACCCTGTAGATTCCGCCGTGGAGAAGAGGTACGATTGCCAGTCGAGACAGAAATTCCCGACGACAGAAGAGATCAGGACCCTGGTTGGGAACCCCCTCTTCAGGGCTACGAGTAGAGTAAAAGAGATCTAGAGAAGAGAGAAGAAGAAGAAGAAGAAGTATAGAGTATAGAATAGATAAAGATCAGGCCACTGCCCGTCCTCACCGCCTTCCCCCCCAGGCATCTCCACTCCTCTCCATTCAGCCATTCAGCCTTCCACTCACTGCATGAACCAACCTCCAAAAAAAACTCCCCTCCTTCCTCCAATGATCATCGGAATATTCTCCATCTCGATTGCCTCTGGCCACAGCTGAGTCACCGGCTTGTTTCCCTCCATCTCTTGGACCAGTCGGTGTGCTTTCTGGACGTTCCCCGCCGTTCGGTCACCTGCTCACGCCGTCAACCTCGTCGCCTCCAACGCCAGCGGGAACCACCACCGTGACAGTCTCCTTGACACTTACACGATCGTTGAATTCTGGGGATCATCACCTCTGGAGATTGCATCCAGCCTCATCGCACGATCTTCCCCTACGGACCACCACCGTTGTACACCGTCTCCCCGGGTCTAACACCCCCGTTCACTCGGGCTGACCGCCCTCCGTTCATTCCTCCGCCCGACCGTGCGCCAACCCCCAGGGTTCCGCCCGCTCCCTCGCCCGGTTACCACCCCCCCCCCGAGTCTACGACGGCGACGAGACGAGCGACAACCTGGAGAACGATACCCAGACGTTTACCGGGTGACAAATATTCCCCGACACGATCGAGTCCAGAGACAACCCAAGAAGATCGGGGAGATCCGCGCTTCTCCCCCTCGTGACTCGCCGGAAGACGGAGAAGAAGGAGACAATAGCGGACGAGGAAGAAGACGCAGACAGGAAGAAGACGCAGACGGGATCATGACCCAGTCAGACTCGCGGCCGACCCCCGAGGCCACTCCGGCCGAGTCGCGCGAACAGGACTCGACCGATGCCTCGGCCTCCTCCAGCGCCCGCACGACGAAACAAGGAGCCACCATTCGCTTTTTCCCCTACCAAGATTCCCCCCAAAGTCCCCGTCCCTCCCTCCCCTTCATCCCCCTGTCCCGGACCCTCCCCTCCGACAGCTGCGTCATCCGCGTCGGTCGCTACTCCGAACGCGATGGGCACCCCGTCGCCAACCCCCCCGGCCTGTCCGATGCCCCCGTCGGCTTCAAGTCCAAGGTCGTCAGTCGAAAACACTGCGAGTTCCTCTACATGAACGGTCAGTGGCACGTCAAGGACGTCGGCAGCTCCTCCGGCACCTTTCTGAACCACATGCGGCTGAGTCAGCCCAACATGGCCTCCCGCCTCTATCCCGTCAAGGATGGGGACATCGTCCAGCTGGGCATCGACTACCGCGGCGGCGAGGAGATGATCTATCGCTGCGTGCGCATTCGCGTCGAGTGCAACCGGGCCTGGCAACGCCAACCCAACAAGTTCAAGTACGCCCGCCCCCCCCTCCGTGCCCTCTGACCCATGACCGTCGCTGACCGTGTCCCTTGTCCGGGTAGTCAAAATACCGAGACCCTGATCCAGAATCTGGGCAAGGGCGATGCCGCGAACTATGAAGGGTGTCGCGAGTGTTCCATCTGCTTGGGCTCGGTTCTGGTTCGTTCGACCCCCCTCCCCCCGTCCTATCACGGAAAAGCACTAACCCGGACAGCGACCCTACCAGTGCTTGTTTATGGCAGCGTGTGCCCACGTGTGGCATTACAAATGCGTCAGCCGCCTGATCCACACGCCCGATTACCCCATGTTCCAGTGTCCCAACTGTCGCGCCTACACCGACCTCAGCGCCGAGGTCGACGACACCAACGAGTCCGAGAAGGACGAGAGGGAAGGGGTGGATGCCTCGCCCGCCGCCGCCCCGGCCGATCCCCAGCCGGAGTCGGCGCGGGTGACCCCGAGCCCGGGAGCGGATCCGGCGAGTGATCCGCCGGCGGAGGACCCGTCGCAGATCGCCGAGGCGGATGGGGGTTCCCACCCGACCCCACCGCCGGCGGCCGGACTGGTGGACACCGTCGAGAACATGCACCTCCATGATCCCGAGGGCGCGCCCGACGGGGGAGCCCTGGGTCCGACGGAGACCGCCGTCTCGACGACCCCGGAACCCCCGCGGTCCGTCCGATCGTCGCCGGCCACTACCAACACCGATTCGGTGGCCCCCACCCTCCCCGTCGATGTCCCGGGTTGGCAGACGCTGGGCCCGGCGCCCAGCGTCCTGGCATGTCGACCGGCTCAACTCCGCGCCGACACCCCCGTGCGATCCGAATCGTCTGATGACAACGTCATGACCCCGGAGAACGACTCGGGCATCTTGGCGCTGGACGGGCGGGCGGGCATGCCGTGAACGGTCTGGCTCCCTCCTACCATCGCATTGCATGGTCTGCATGATTGTGGGTCTGCTTCCGTATCTTGGAATATACCCTCTGGAAGCGTTGGCATTTTTTTTTTTCTCACACACACTCTCTCTTCTTGCCCGTGCCAGTGACCCTAGCCGTCTGCATCTGAGAATCGTCTATGTTGAACATGGATCTGCGACGGGCCAGCACTTGGTCTGTGGTGAAATCTGTCTCTGCTCGTTGTGCTTGATTCTGTTTCCATGTCTGTTTTCCGGCTTCCCTGTTCTTTCTTGTTTCTTTCCCATCCCCGTTCGTGACCACTTAGCGCTTGATCTGGAGCATGTACATAGGCGTCCCATCTGAATTTATTGAACAGCCAGCCTTTTTCCTTGGCAAGTCCTGTGTCTCGTGGGTGACGATGATGGCTGACTTATCCGTTATACATCTATGTTTCCATCCCGCCAATGGTATCTTCTTTTCTCTTTTCTGATTACCCCGCTTGTTTTATATCACCTTGTGTGGATGTCTAGTGCTGACAGCTGTGATCCAACGTCTACTTATTTTTGACGTGCCTCTGCCAGTCAGTAACCGCACTGATCTTCCCTACCTACCTACCTACCTACCTACCTACCTACACTCCAACAAACACCAAACATCAATCAATCCGCGTTCCTCAGGATGGGCATCATCGCGGTCGCTGGCGGCACCGGCAGTGTCGGCCGCACCATCGTCGACGCCCTCGTCGCGCGCGCCACCCACAAAGTCATCATCCTCTCTCGCACAGTCTGCACCCACTTGGTTCTCCACCCTGCTCTCAAGCCCCACGACTAACTTCAGTCACACTCCAGGATCGCCCCCCCAAAGACGGCGTCTCCTTCCAACCCGTCACCTACCAGGACGTGGACACGACCGCGCGCGCCCTTGAAGCCGCCTCCATCGACACCGTCATCTGCGCCTTCGGAATCGACAACCAGGCTGTCCAGGACACGCAGCTCAACCTGATCCAAGCGGCGGAGCGCTCAACCTGCACGCGGCGCTTTGTCGTCAGTAGCTTCGACCTGCTGTATAAGGAAGAGTATGTACCCTCTCCTCCTTTTTCTTTCACTCAACCTTGGTTGTGCGATAGCGCTAAACCAGGATAGACATGTGCCGCTCCTACCCTGGGCGCAATGGGCGCTGGACACGGACCGCGCCGTCGCGCAAACAGGTCTGCACTACACGCGGATCGTGTCCGGCCTATTCCTCGACTACTACGGTGTGCCACACTGGAAGTCGTACCTGAAGCCGTTTGTCAACGCCGTCAACGTCGGGGCCAAGTGGGCTGCGATCCCCGGGGATGGCACCACGCCCGTCAGTTTCGTTACCAGCCAGGACATGGCGCGGCTGGTCGCGCGGCTGATGGACGAGGACGGCGCGCGGTGGCCGCGGGTGGCCGGCATTGCCGGGCAGACGAGGTCGTTCGGTGAGATCTTGGCCATCGCGGAGAGGGTGCGGGGGGGAAAGTTCTCTGTCGTGTATGATTCGTTGGATCGGCTGCGCAGTGGTCATATCTCGTTTCCGGATTTCGTGGAGACCGGGTTGGAGGAGCCGGGCCGGTCGAGCGAGTGGATCTTTGCTACTTTTCACTATCTTTCTGCTACGGGGAACTATTTGGTTCAGACGGAGGAGACGCTCGATGCGCGGTTCCCCGAGATCCGCATCACGACGCCGGAGGAGGTGATTGAGGAGTCGTGGGGAGGTCGTTGATGGGTATCAGGTTTCTAGCCTAAGTCTAGCCCTAAGACTTCTTTATCATTCTCCTTGAGCACATGTTGGGCAAAAAAAAAAAAAAATCAAATATGCTGGGACATCAATCATATCAAGCCTGACCAAAGGTCGTTCGGTATTTTGGCGCAATGGCCGAGATAAATCCCAAAAACGAAACATATATATCAAAAACACATCCATGGTATAAAACAAACAATCAATAATCCTCGCAATTCCCCGAGTAGCCCTGACTCTCCCACTGGTACATGCCATTAGAGTGACCGCCAGCCCACACCGTACCATCGCTCGCCTTGCACCCACAGCCACAGTTCGGGCATAGTCCGCCGTTCTTGTTCCTGCCGCACCAGAACAAGTCGGAGCAGTCGTCGTCTGTCTGGCACGTTTTCCAGTCGCCCCATTTCGCCGCCTCTAACCGGCCCTGTGTGACCTCCGACGTCCAGCACCATTGTCCGTGGCTGTCGCAGCTCTTCCAGCAGTAGCCGTCCGTGCAGCCGGCCTTTTTCTTCCCGCCGTCTGCCAGACAGGCGCCCCGGATCGGGTTGTCCTCGGCGATGCAGTGTTTGGCGTCGGCGGCCACCAGCGTCGCGGTGGCGGCGAGGAGTCCGAGGAGGGTGAGCTTCATGGTTCTGCGTCGGGATGGAGGTGGTTAGGATGTGGTGGGGTGCGAGTCGGAGGGAGAGACAACTCACGCTTCGTGGTGGGTTTGGTTCGAGTCTCACGGAGAATGCTTGAGGTCCTTGGACTCGTTACTGAATCGCTGGATGGAAGGGCCGTGACTGGAATTGACTCGTCGCCCTTTATATAGATTTCTGCGCCATGCTCCCCGGCCTCCGCTGATGGTCGACACGAGGATGCAGGCGAGGTATTCTCCTTGACTCTTCGAACGGCGCAGAGACCGTGACCGCACTGCCTTCTTTGTTTCATCCACCACCCCCACAGTGTCCGGACAAGAGAGTCAGCGAGCATGTGGGGCTGGGGCCCATCTCAGATGTGATTCCATTCGATCGGCGGGCATCCGGTAACGGACTGTCGCTCGACCTTTATCCCAAAGGACAGTAGCGCATAATGAACTCGGCTCTTAGAGCTTATAGCGCGGTCCACCGCAGACTCTCTGATGTATTCGGTGATGGCAAGGCCGCTTTAGGTTTGAGATCGACTATCTTGGCGGCTGTAAGCCCTATCAGCATCAATCACGCCAGGATGCCAATGAGAATTCATTCACCCTGGTGGTCGGATGGACTCCGTATGCAAGTATCTGGCATGTAACATAATCATGGTTCTTTGTGCTGGACGCCTGACGCCCTGCTGATAGTATCCCGTCAGATTTTGGTATGTTGGCTTACCTGTGGAGCGAAGAGACTGGAACCACCATGACTGCATCAGATGGCCCCCCCTCGGCAGATAATAGTTACCGTGCACATCGGAGTTGCGACTTCTATAATTAGGGAATCGAGTCATGAACACGGCCCACGCCGATCATCGCCGACCAATTCGACCGGTTCCCCCTTCGACCCCACTGGGTGGATAGGTTTAGGGACTATGGCGCATTTCTAAATCCATGCCGCTGTGGGTCCAGGATTTCCCCGTGGTCATTCAATTTGGCATCCGGCACTGGGTGGAAGATAGATGTATACCTACTCCGTCGATTCGGAGTGGCATGCTGGTTGTCGACTGGAGATAATGATCTGGTTTGAACATGCTATCTGTTTGAACATGCTATCTGTTTGAACATGCTATCTGTTTCAACACCGCTATTCTGTGGATCGAGAAATGGTCTGCGGATTGAGTGGCAGATGAAACTCGACGAAAAGTTGACCGTCTGACCGTGACGCACACCTGTGAAGAGTGTTTATTCCTGCAATGACCACCTTGATTGGAGACTCTATGGGGTACTGTGGCTCAGACCACTTCCAGTAACTTATGTCAAGACGACGAGGATCCACTAACCTGTACGGTGGATTAGTTGAGATAGACATCTTTGCGATGGGAGAAATAGACAGAGATCCTCACTTTTATTCACGTATTGCCACATCCCTTTACCATCGAGGTGAGCATCATACTCACTCCACTCTGGGGTAATCACTATCTAGTCTGTCTGAGCCCCGAAAGAATCTTTGATGCCTTCGTCTTGGCTGCATGATGGTTACATCGAGCAATCACCTGTGCGACCAAATCAACGTATAAAGCAGCCCAACTGATGAATACCATGTCTTGACACTCGAATGGACAGTTCACGGGGTGGATCTCGAACAGTCCAGGGGTTTTGAATCCCGGCGGACGGCCGAGTCGATGTTGTGGGAATAGACCTGGTGTATCGGACGGGAAATCATGTCCACGGATTGCCCATTGAACCGACTATAATTCCATCCCTGCATATGAAGGGTGGCATGACGAATGACCCCGTCTCTATCACCAGAAACCGGTCGTTTCAAGTTCATCAGCCAAGAAGAAAACCTCGCCCAGACGAGACCGGGGTGATCCCGGTCTATAGCCAACCTTGTGGCTGAAGGAAATGAGCGCCACGCAACCAACCACCAAGCAAACGAAAAGATAGCAAGCAAAGAAACGGAGGTCGTCAGAAGTCATGACATGGAAACCCTCCCCCCGAGAGTCATCCACTATGAGCCATGCACCCCTCGCTACGAAACACCTGGACGCCCGCCGTCAACGTCGTGACATGGTTTCTCCTGGCCACGGCCATTCTCAGCGTTCTGACGCGGTTGGGAACCAAATACTGGATCTTTCGGAAGTGGACCGTCGATGATGGGCTGGCACTGGGTTCCTTGGTACGAACGTTGAGAAACCGGTCCTCTTGACGACTTGGGCTGACGTGTGAAATTTGATCTTTAGATCTTCTGCGCTGGCCAGTCTCTCGCCGTCTCCATGGCCACCGCCAATGGATACGGCCAGCGGTTTGATACGCTGCCCGCGACGGGCATCGACAGGATGATGAAGGTGAGCGCATCGCCGATCCAGAATCCGACCGGTTTCTGATCTCCCCTCGCAACGGGCGAGACCCACAGTCGCAATATGCCGCAACCCTCCTCTGCATCCCGAGTATGGGCCTGTCCAAGCTGGCCCTCATCCGTTTCGTGCAAGACCTGACGCCCGCTGCCCCCGACCGTCGCGTCGCCGTTTGGCTCCACGTCTTGGTCGTCGTCTGGGCTGCTGTTGGGGTCATCTCTGCCGCCTTGCAGTGCCGTGTGCCCCGTCCTTGGGACTACATCTACGGGGAGTGCTTTGATCGGGTATGCACCGTCAATGGGGACGATCGCTACAGTGGCTAACCGGGGGAGGGCTGTACAGATGGCCTGGTGGCAGTACCTGGGAGCCAGCAACATCCTCTCCGAGGGAGGCATCATCGCGCAGGCGATGATGGTAATCGTCAAGATCCAGACCCATGGGAGGAAAAAAGCTGTTCTGGGGACTGTGTTTGCGCTGCGTATTGTGTCCGTCTTCTCTCGCTACTTTGGCCTTTTTTATCTTCTTTCTTTCCATTCTAATACTGCCGTCTAGGGTCATCGTCGCCATCCTTATCCAACTGATTTACGCATCCAAAACCGCCCATAGCACGGACGTGACCTTTGACACCTGGCCCGTCGCGGTCGCCACGCAATTGACCCAGTGTCTCAGCATTGTGACAGCGTGTTCGCCGCAGTTCAAGCCCTTCCTCGACAGCCTCCGATCGACGGGAATGAGCTTGGAGGGAAAATCCCGCTATGGAAGCTCGCAGAAGGGCTATGGCTCCCAGACCTCCGCCCGTTTCCGTCGCGGCATCTCCCAGAGTGAGGCCCATGAGCTGATGCCACTCCCGCTGCGAGGGACCAGCCAGACTATCGTGTCGACGGCGGGGATCTCGCCCGACTCCGACGCAGAGAGCCAAGGAAGCCAGTCCCGGATCATTCGGGAAGTGCGAACCTGGACGATCACCGAGGCCCCGGCGGGTAAATAGAAGAATGCTGGAAGACTCTGCATGGGGTTGGGTTGGCATTGGAGGGTGGTCTGATGGACAACTAATTTCCTGATATTGCGGCGCAGAGTGATTGTAGATTAATAGCCACAGGGATGGCAATATTATTTCCAACAGAAGTTGAGCGACATCAGTCCATAGGGTCGTCGGAGAGGCCACCAAGGAGGATATTGGGCAAACGACGAGCGTCCGTTGATATCAGGTAATATAAGATCCTAGACAGAATTTTGGAGGTTACAGCCGGAGTGGATTTCGGCCGGGACTGATGCAGGGATCGAGAACGAACCCTGACTGTATCTTCAAGTCAGAATCGACCATTCTGAGACGTCCATCTCGTCCAGACCAGTCTCCGTCTCGGCATGCAGGGATAGCCTCGAAGTTTAACCGCCGCTGTTTGCTCGGCCCCGTGGGTCGTGTAACGGCTGTCCCTCCCTTGTGGTCCCGTCTGTGGCGTTGCTGGGACCGTTTATTTTTTTTTTTCTCTTCTGATCTTCTATTCATTGTGTCTCTTCTCTCTCGTCCTCGTTTCAGTGCGATTCTTTGATACTCTCCGCCGCGTTCTGTCACACCGATCCAATATGGACTCCCCTTGGAAGCAGCGCGATCCCTTGACCGTCGAGGTTGAGGGCCAGTCCTCGCGCAAGGAGTATGACGATGTGAATCTGGCCCGGCTCGGGAAACGCCCGGTTCTAAAGGTGAGAACAATTCGATCATGCACGGGGAAGTGATGATGTGGCTCATTTGTGTAGCGGAACTTCGGCCTCATGTCCATGCTGGGATTCAGCTGTACGATTCTCATCACCTGGGAGGGTATTGTTGTGTAGGTCTCCCTTTCCATGATGGCCCAGCTCTTCAGAGAATTGAACAGAATTAACAGACTGTAGACTTTTTCTCCAGGCATATCAGAAGTAGGGCGAACCCAAGCATGCACGAACATGCCAAACTGATCGCCTTGCAGTGGTGGACCAGCGGGCGCAGTCTATGGCTTCCTGTTCGTCTGGTCCGGTGTAACGGCGAGCTTCGTCGTCCTCTCCGAACTGGTCTCGATGGCGCCAACGTCGGGCGGCCAGTATCACTGGTGCTCCATGATGGCCCCGCCCGGCGCCATGAAACTCTGCAGTTACCTGACAGGTGGGTCCGACACGGATGGTCGAACTGCGAAGGCAAGGTCGAGACTAACGGATCAGGTTGGCTCACCGTCATCGGATGGCAAGCTACTTACGCGACTTCATGCTACCTGTGCGGTACGCTGATCCAGGGATTGATCGTGCTCACCAACCCGAGCTATGTACCCCAAGCCTGGCATGGGACGCTGCTCTTCTGGGCCGTCAATGCGTTTTCAGTGGGCATCAATAGCGGCGGAGGTAAACTGCTCCCACGGTTCGAGGGCCTGATCCTGATCCTCCACGTCCTGGGGTTCTTCGCCATATTGATCCCCGTGACGTATATGGCCGACCACGGCACGGCCACGGAGGTGTTCACCCAATTCTTGAACCTGGGCGAGTGGCCGTCACAGGGTCTGTCCTTCTTTGTCGGTCTCATGGGATGCGTGTTTGCATTTGTCGGTGGTGATGCTGCCGTCCATGTATGTCCCCGCCACCCTGATGCCCTCATGACTGTGTCTAACCGGTGAACTCGCGGTAGATGTCGGAGGAGATCTCAAACGCCTCCGTCGCGGTGCCCCGATCCATCATGCTCAGCGTCCTTATCAACGGCTCGTTGGGCTTTGCCATGCTGATCGCCGTGCTGTTTTGCGTGGGCGACATTGATGCCGCCCTCGAGTCGCCCACGGGCTACCCATTCATGCACATCTTTCTGCAGGCGACGGGCTCCGTCCCGGGGACCGCGGTAATGTGCTCCATCATTACGGTCATGGGAATCTGTACCTCCGTGGGCATGCTGGCATCGGCCTCCCGCCAGTTTTGGTCGTTCGCCCGCGATCGGGGCATCCCGGGCTGGCGATTATGGAGCAAGGTGCGTTTCCTTAGCTCCTCGCTTCTCTCCCCGAGATTGTGCTCTCTGCACATTGAAGGATACGCTGACGCATAGCAGGTCACCCCCAAATCCGCCATTCCCATCTACTCGGTCATCCTGACTACTACGGTGGCCTGCCTCCTGGCCCTGATCAACATCGGCTCGTCGGTGGCCTTCAACGACCTGGTATCCATGTCGATCTCCGGCCTGTATCTGTCTTACATGGTAGTGACAGGCTTGCTGCTGTACCGCCGCTGCACCGGCGGGATCGTCAGTGCGCGTGGCAGCCACGCGGCCGTGATCAACACCGCGGGCGCGCAGCTCGTCTGGGGACCGTTCCACCTGCGCGGTTGGCCCGGCATCCTGGTCAACGTGTACGCCATGGTGTACATGACCATCGCGGTGTTCTTCAGCTTTTGGCCGCCGCAGAAGAACGTGACGATCGACACGATGAACTTCAGTGTTGTGGGGACAGTAGGAGTGATCGTCTTGAGCTTGTTGTATTATTACCTCCGGGCCCGGAGAACCTACGCGGGCCCGTTGGTCGAGGTCTAGATGTAGCTATGGGTCTCTAGATGTACAGGTCTGACCATAAATCCATATATCCCGTTATTCGAGTCAATCGCATTACAGCTGGTAGAATGGCTGCTGGGGCAGTCCGGGAACGGGCTCCCCGAGCACCAAGGTCTCATATCCGATCATGATGCGGGTTCCGGGGCCGAGGAAATTGGTCGCCTCCTCTGGAAAAGTGCATGTCATAAGTATAGACACCGATCGTGCTCAGGGAGTGAGGGCTTACCTTTGCAAGCCTCAACCACCTCCGCCTCTCCCATGGTTTTGGCGTAGTCCTCTACGCGCTCCACCCACAACTCAGCCACTCCGTCGAAATCTAGAGCGGGAGTTCCGACGGCAGCCGCCATGGACTGAAGTTGAGGAATGGCATGGTACTGCTGGATATTAGCCTGTCGTCATCCTATTGTAACTCCTTGGCTCAGTTAAGGACAGAACAGACCTGCGTGTATCGTTTGGCGACCTGCTTGAAGCCAGGGATTTTCAGAGCAAAGTCGGCGTGCGTCGTTTCCCACCATTCATGGAAGGCTTCAGGAGTCATGTCCTCCTTGCGCTTGAGGAACAGGGAGATCCGGATATAGGGCTGACGCGACATGGTTGCTGTGAGATGGCTTGGCCCTTTTCGACCAACGCGAACAAATCTGTGTGTTTGGTGAGAGGACAAGAAAAAGAACACAGGAAACCCGAGGGAAAGCTCTCTATTACCCCTCGTTCGTCCAAGCCTCCTTCACGCTCTAGTGCTTGGAATCAAGTGGAATTGTTGAATGTGACAGGCTGGGGGGCCATGCTAACGATAGCTATTAGCTACGGCTGAGTGGGAAGGCGACGATCGCCCCACTAAACCTGATATTGTTACGTTGGATTGGTGGGTTGATGCTGGCGACGATTCCTATTCCTGAATTCACCAATGTGGAGCCGTCGTTCATGTATTTCAAGCCGTCTTGCTCGTCCTTCTCGCGGTCTTCTACCACCTCGTCCACCTAAAGCAAGAGAATCGGTATATCGTTACGCAGGACGTGTGACCTCCCAAAGTATAGTCCAGACTCCCGATTTGTCCTAGACGTCCAGGTAACTGCCCTTATATTGGGAGTAAGTCTCTGTCTCAGTACAGTTGGCGAAGCAACCATATCAGGACGCCGGCATTGGATATCCACACGCGTCAGCCGGAAACCGCAGCGATCGGAGCACCCTTGGGTCCGGGCTCGTCTCCAAGTACATACAGATCGCGACACACTCGCTGCGAATGCGACTTTCGACCCAAGGCTTCCACTGCGACAAGCAGCACATGAGACCCATCCAGTGTGCCACGATAAGCAGCGCCGGTGGGTCTCGCTGGCGCAATAATGCCAGGAACCTTGGCTCCAGGCGTCCAACCCACGTTGTACATTGATCGGCGTTGCGTGCGGACTTTTCGAGCTTCATTATTACAGCCAGAACCCGCAGAGGGCTATAGTATGGGCTTGTCTCTTTCGTCGTGCAATCGTCGATCTCGCACAGATCCGCCAGGTCTGTATCAAAACCAGCCCGTCCCTGTTGGACTGGTCTGCCGTAGATCTGGGACTCTTCTTTGTGGGTCTCCTTGAATGCAGGCGCCCAGATACTTTCGGAGAGACAGGGGCCTGCTAGGGACGTGATACACCGTAATCCGCTTTGCAGGCAGAGCCAGTTCATGTCTTCGGGTCGGTTGGTTAGGACCCAAGAATCCGTCGGAGAAAAGCGCTCGGGGCAGAGACTCATCACCCCCATCAGAATGCAGGTCGACAGCAGCGCGTCGACATTTTCTCGCGTGACGGAGGAGCACAGCGCAGTCTGGTAGCGGCGGATTGCCTGCTGCCAGAAATACGACTCCACGAGAGAGCGCTCCCCGCCTCCGGGCGACATGCGGTTTAGATGCAGAATGCCTACAGCGAGGATGGTATACATTAAGTAGGGGCTCTCTTGGGGAATCAGTTCGGTTTCAAGTAATATTGGGTAGGGCTTCGATCCTCACCGCAAATGCTACCCGGATCATGTCCGTCTTCATGACTCTGCGGAGCGACGGATGACCTATTATCTCAGTCGAGGCATTGACGAACTGTTGAAAGGCCACCACACTGAGCGACCGGGCGTTTCTCGTCCCCTTGAGGGGGGAGGAGTTCCACTTCATGTCTGCCTCCAACGCTTGGAGCACCAAGTCTTCCATATCCCTCAGCGAGAGGGAGAAGGCGATGCCTGCTAATTGATTGGTGGATGTCTCGCTGGTCAAGGCGTTATTCCGATCTGGTTTTTTGTCTGGCGCATAGCTACAAGGTATCGCACGTTTTTGGCATCGCTGACAGCCGGGGCGAGTCTCGTCGCACTAGCGACCAGGGTCAACTGGGTCTCACTGGATCCATCAGAATGGCAAACCTTGATGCGTCGCTTCTTACACGCGAGGCAGCCCGTCCTGGACTTGCTGTGGGGACGTCGGGCATGATAAGGAGCCTCTTGCGTCTGAGGCACGGAGATCTGGAACACGATTTGACCGAACTCGTCTTGAGTCCGGGCCATAGAGAATTTGATGTTGATCGATGAACTGGTGTATATGTAATGCTGGGTGTGGATGAGGATGGGACATGGCAACGGTGTTCGAATGACGCTGTCCTCAGCCTCGCGCTCGGGCATGCTGACCAATGATATATAATACACCATCTCGCGATATGATACTAGTTTTTACTAGTGCAGTAAAGGAGCAGGTCAGCCTGCAACCATGCGAGTCAACATGATAGCATAGCATGATCGCCGCTGTACGCAATGGATGGCCAGGTGCGCCGTATATCAACCTCCTAATACAACCAGTGCCTCACCTCAAGCAACTTGACAGCTGGACCCGATGGAGGACAGATTTGAAGCCAGGCTATGGTCTAAACCTTGAAGTACGTGGAAGAAGTGACTGGAATTGACAAGACTAACAATATTGACGAGATAGACGGAGGCGTAGAGAAGAAGTTGAGAAGATAGAAGTAAACCAGAAGTAACACTGCCCTGTTGGGGGACAAACCACCTGATGATCCCTCGTCACTCCACAAATCCTCCAGCTCTTCAGTTCATCCGATGGTGATCATCGTCGCTAGGTTCAGACTTTGCACCATGGCGAGCACGGCCAGTCCACTGATGAGTATCTCTTCCTTCAGCGCGTCCGACATCTCGCCGACGATCTCGAACGACCCCACCTCGGATGTTGAGAGCAGTTTATTTCGAAAGCGACATAGGACCTGGCTCCCAGAATCCACCAGCTGGAAGTCTCCCGTGACAGCTCCATCCGATTCCCACATGAGCATTGACTGGCTCTCTCGACTCTGGAACCGGTAAGTTCGCGACCAGAGACTGTGACGCTCTAGGCGGATCTTGGTGCCGTCGATGGCTAGGGTCACCTCGAAGCTGGTCAACTTGAAGGATGCGCTACTTCGCCGCGCCAGTTCACCGGAGTTGGGTCCCAGATGGACCATCTGCATCTGGGGTACCTCGCGAGACACCCGCACGCGGTATAGAGGGGTGCGGTCGTCGGAGTCTAGAAGGTTGAGGTACCTCTCCTGGTAGTGGACGTGGATCATCTGGATAGGAACCATGGCTTGGGTGGAAAGGGGAGGGTGGAATGCTTGGTTTGGGTAGAAGAGAGGGTTCAAGTTCGTGCTGGATGCATACCTACTCCGGCAGCCATTCTGGGGTATTTATGTTCAACCCTTCCCTCTCTACATGCCATGATATCAGTGAAAAGCGATGGCAATTGAATCACCCTGGAGGAACCAATGGGGAAAGATTTCACCCCAGCCGAGCTAATACAATCCTGCGTTCTCATACGCCCGTTCGCGAACAAGCCAATCAGGATTTCCAGGGTGTTGGGGGCGAGGCGCAGTCATCCACTGTCAGCTTCGACAGACAAGTTGTGGCATGGAGAAAACAATGTGATCGATGATAGTTCATGGTCAATGACCCCTCAATAGCTCCGGTAGACCCAAAACGCGACATGGCTGATCAGACTCAGAAGCCCCGACGGCGACGAGGGGCAGGCTGTCGCACTTGCCGGTAAACAGTCCAGTATCCCATACCGATATTCTGAGCTTGGATTGATTATGGGTGATAGGATCCGCCGCGTCAAATGCGACCAAGGTCGTCCGACTTGTCGCCGCTGTGACTCAACTGGTCGTGCGTGTGATGGCTACGAAGTCACCAACAGTTGTCCTTCAATGGGTCAGACGAAGCGATGTTTACAACCCAAACCATCGTCTCCACTGGCGTCCTCGGTCGGGAGCCCGTTGGAATTGTCTCTGGAGGAGTTAGAGGCCTTTCATTTCTTCCGCCAAAACTCCGCACACGAGATCCCCAATTGTTTCCCGTCAAATTTGTGGGAACGGATCATCCTTCAGATGACCCACCAGGAGCCCTCAATCCGTCATGCAGTGGTGGCAGTGGGGTCACTGCATCGGAGATCTCGGGGGATGGCTGGGACCATGGGCAGCAGCGGAGGAATGAAATGGAGCCAGGAGTTTCCCATTCTACAGTATATCAAGGCGCTTCATCATCTTCGACAGCGGCTGTCCAGGACGCACGACCCACTGGCAGCTCCAGTAGCCCTGATAGCCTGTCTGCTTTTCATGTGCCTGGAGATGTTGCAGGGGAACCGCATGGGAGCTGTAGGACACCTGCGGACGGGACTTCAGATCCTTGCTGGAATCCCCTCTTTATTCGCAGGCCACTGCCACCAACTGCCCCATCGGTATCTTCATCTCCAGTCCACCTTTTCGACCACCCTTTTGCATCAGGTGGCCGCCCAATTTGCCAGCCTTGACTTGGAAGCCACTATGTTTGGGGAACGCTCGCCTGTCCTGCATTTGGCGGCACAAGAGGTCGAGATGCGCGGTAGGATGGCCCTGCCGGCCTCGTTCTCGAGTGTCGATGAAGCACGGATTTACCTCGAGATCCTGTCCAACCGTCTACTCTGTCTGCGAGGCGAGCTCCTTCAACTCGCCGAAAAGCACCTGCACTCCCGTGATGTCGGATGGGTGGTCCGGCACTGCCAACAGCATGCGCTGGTACGAACTATCGACCTCACGGACCACCCGAGCCTCTTGAACCACGTGGCACAGCTGCAGACCCACCTCGCAGCCTGGCTTGTGGCCTTCCGCAGTCTAACGATGAATCCGCTGTATGGATGCTCACGCGCGACGATGCTGCTCGAGATGCGTCAATTCTCCATGGCCTTCGTCGCAGCCACTATCCGCGAGACCCAGGAGGTCCGCTGCGATCAGTTCCACCCCCAGTTTTGGCGGATGGTCTCCATCGCCCGCCGATTTGTTCACAACCTCATTACCGCACAGCCGAGCCCGACGTTCACTCTCGTCTCGGGTGGGATCCACTGTCTTTACATTGTAGCCACCAAATGTCGGGATCCCACGACGCGGAGGGAGGCAATCATGTTGCTGCGTCAGATCCCCTGCCAGGAGGGGATGTGGGATGGCCCTCTGATGGCTCGATTTGCGGAACAGCTGGTAGAATGGGAGGAGAGCATGGCCCAAGGCATTGCGGGCAGGCGAGTTCATACACCAGAAGATGTGTCCGAAGCGGCCCGAGTGACTGATGCTGTGCTGGTGGGAGTGGACCGTCCAGGCCGTGGCAGACTGGTCTGTGCCCGGCACCTGCACGAGACGACGGGAGAGTTGCTTTTAATGGAGCGAGAGTTCACCTTATGATTGGATTAGGTGGTTTGCTTCACCAGAGAAGACCGAAAGTCCGCTAATGATACCTCGGACCCTACTTCCCAGCAGATTTTCGCTGGGGACACCAACGTGCAGTGAGACAGCCCCACAGATAAATCATGGGATAATGACAGGACTGAGTGGTGAAAGAGTGGTGAAAGACAGACGCTCTCCTATCGGAAGATTCTAAACCATTTTAGCGAGGAGAAGAAGTCTTTGGTTGTCACTCCCATCCGAGGCTGGCAATCAGACCAACAACGTGGTTTTGATCCTTGGGCATCACCATGTGGGAAGTAGTATCAATCCCGTCTAATCATACCTCATCGATCTATCAGATGTATTTGTATTATGAACTAGCCTGACCGAGGTAGGAGGCCTTTCGGACACAATGTGACCACAAATATGGGCTATGGTGGAACGTCCTTTGAAAGATACATCAAGATACAATCCTATCGTCCAAGAATTCGTCGTCTACAAATCTGGTATAATTCAGATATCCATATACTTTCTACAAAATAGAGATCCCCTAGCCTATTCTCTCTCGAGAAGCACTACACGACTGGCATAATCCGACTTGAGAGAATACTGCAGCCCGAGATTCATCAAGGTCGCCCCCGTATATGTCGAATTGCCATCCACCCGGTAGGTGGCCTTCGCCTCCAACCCCTGCAGTCGAAGCCACGGCACAGCATGGTTGATGAGAGCGCGCAGCTGGAAGATGAAGAGGACCGCCTGTGAGCCGTCCTCGGAGATGAATAGCGCCGAGGGCCAGTTCGACTCCTCGGGAAGACGTAGGCGCCACAAGTCTCCGGTCAAAACGATTGGATTCACCTTCTCCGCCAGGGCAATGAGCCCCGGTAACGCGGCGCGTTCTTCCTCGTGCAGCTCCTCTGGGTTCAGCTCCAGACCGAATGAGCCGCCCATCATGGCGGCGTGGGCACGGAACTCGACGGGCACGCTGCGTCCGGTCTGCTGGTTGGGAACGGCCGATATGTGGGCGCCCATGGCACTCGGGGGATAGGCCAGCGACGTGCCCATCTGAATGGCAATGCGTTCCGCACCGTCTGTGTCGTCTGACGTCCAGATCTGAGGGAAATACTGTAATACCCCGGGGTCGAACCGGCCACCACCTGATGCGCAGCCCTCCCACAGGACGTCGGGGAAGCGCGATGTCAGCGTGTCGAACACGCGGTACATGCCCAGCATGTACTGGTGATCTGCGCTGGGGGAGGAGGCTTCGTGCATCCCGCGGTTGTGGTCCCATTTCACGTAGGAGATGTCCGCGCTGCGGAGAAGGGTGCTGACCGTGTCGATGATGAAGTCTTGGACCTCGCGCAGCCCCACGTTCAGCACCAACTGGTTACGCTCAAGGGTTCGGGGATACGACCCTGCATGGAGGACCCAATCCGGATGCTCGTGGTAGAGCACCGAGTCAGGATTGACCATCTCGGGTTCAACCCAGATGCCGAAACGCAAGGGAGTTGACGTATTGGCCGCTTTCAACGCCGTGACCTGGTCAACCAGCGGCTTGAGGCCATCCGGGAATCGTTCCCGGTTAGGCTGCCAGTCGCCTAGTCCGGCGTTGTCGGACAGTCGGGGGTACTTGTTGCCAAACCAACCGTCGTCCATGACGAAAAGTTTAGCTCCCAACGCCGCGGACTCTTTCGCCAAGTCATAGATGCTGCTCTGGTTGTAATTGAAACTCAGCCCTTCCCAGCTATTCAGCAGCACAGGACGCTCGCTCGTGCTGAACTGGCTGCGCATCAGATGTTTCCGATAGAGCCGGTGCAGCGAGCGAGACATTCCTCCGATGCCGTCCGGCGAGTAGACGGCCACACACTCGGGCGATGTCAGCGTCTCCCCGGGTCCGAGGCGCCAGGAAAGCTGGCCGGGGTTGAAGCCCAATAGCGCCCGGGTGAATCCTTGAGAGCCCTTCTCGACATCCACCGAGAAGGAGCCCGTGTAGACTAGAGAAAACCCCCAAGCCTCCCCTTGGGACTCTGTGGTGGAAGGGTGCACGAGCGAGAGAAAGGGATTGTGAAGATGAGAGGAGAAGCCGGTACTGCTTCCGAATCTATTTATTCTTCGTTAAACAATCGTCTTTGTTTGACGACTCGAAAACGTATCAACTCACCCTTGCACGCCGTACTCCACCGCTCGCCTCTTCCGCTGAGCCTCCCTCGCCCAGTCGCCTCGGAGACTGATCATATCCAGGTCTTCGAAGGGCAGATCCACGCTTAAACTTGACAGGGCTTCGACGGTAATATCCCCCTCGCCCTTGTTGGTGACGCTCACACTGCGCACAATCGCATCGTGTCGGGGGAAGATGGAGTAGGACAGATTCGCCGCCACGGCACTGTGGTCATCGTACAGATGCACAATCAAAGTCGTTACGTCCTGTTCGTCCCCAAAGGTAGCAGGCAACCCGGGCAGTGCAGGCTTGCCGGGAACCACGGTGTGCGACTGATACTGCAAGTTGGAAATGGTATAACCTGGCGACTGGCGAATGCGCACCGCGGGAATGCGAAAGTCGCCGCGTCCCTGGTCGGGGAACTCCCGGCGCACCCGACCGGACATTCCCACCCAACCATTGACCTCTGGTTCGATGGCGGTCGGGATAGCGCCGCTGATGCTGCCGCCGAAGTGGTCCGACACCAGATCGCCACTTGCCTTGTCGACGTGGAAGAGGTAGGAGACATGGTCTCCGTGGAGAGCGAAATTGGACCCGTCTACCACGACAGGTCCATGGCTGGAGTCCACCGTGGCAGCCTGAGAAGTCTCAAAGATTGTCAGAATGCTGACCGCTGCAGTGACTGCGGCACGCCCTGAGGGCACTCGCATCTTGTTGAACTGTCGAGGGGGAGGGGTAGAATATGCTGCGGTGCTAAGGGGAATTTGTTTTGGGAGGCTTTACACACCCTTAATATGTGTTCGCCCATTGTAATGGATCGGCAAGTCAATTCCCGGTATGGACGCGATGGATCCCCCTGCATAATCAATTTTCCCAGTCGAGTCGTACCCTCACGCAAGGGTGGGGAAGGGGAAACGTCGGCTAAATACAGACGAAGTCATTATCTCATGGTTATATCCCCCAATCGTCACGGACCGACTCCGTGGAGTGCGGAGAAACCAAAGTCGAAAAATAAATGGCCAAGGTTTGCTAAATCCTGAATAAAGATTTAGTGGTGATTGCTTGACTCTCCATGCATGGAACTGATGTCTCTCAATCCCAACCCAGGCCAATAGTTCATCCAGGTGATCAAATACGATCGAAGCCAAGCCGTATTCGGGGTTACAAGTAAGGTTAGCCCCGTCAGACGTGGCATCTTGCATGATCCGGGATCTTTGGGAGATTTGCGAGTCAATCGTTATTTATCCCTGGTCCGTCCGAAAGATCGCGAAAGGACTGAGCCAGTCAACAGTCTGGGGATGGATGTGGGGTGATAGTTTCTACCTCGATATTAGTCCAAAGAGACGGGTTGGATCAACCAGATCGACCTTCTCATTTCATGTCGACCAAGTCTGTGATGGCTGATAGCAATACTCCAGTCTATGACCCAAGCACACACACATACATACAAACGAGTCGCTGCAAATCCATAATGTTTTCACCAGAAGGTTGCGCTGCCCGCTGGGATTGTCGATGGGCCAACAGCGCCGAAGTGGTGCAGTGTCTAAAAAGGGACGCAGGGGCCCTCTGCGACAAAAGGAGCATCAATCAAATCAAGGTCTCTAGGTAATGAGTGGCTGCATTATAGTGGAAGAAAACACCCAATGATTTGAATTGATATTGGACATTCCAGCGAGGGTTTAGGGTCAAGCAGCCTAAAGTGCTTTGCTTCAGTGTTAGGCAGTTCAAAATGCGTGTGGGTAATTGATACATGGCGCGTCACTATACAGTACCAGCTGCCTATAAAGTGAATCCATCTCCGCCTCTGACACTTAGAATTCTGATTTCTTTCTTCCTGGCCTACTTCGTAGTCGCTCAAGGAAGATGCCCGCTCTCCAAAGCCGGTATCCACACCAGGACCCACTGGCCCGACAACGAGCTCCACTTCTGCATAATTCGTGGAAGAAGAGGAACTAAAACTCCCGGACTCAAAGATTGACCAGTAGCTGCCAATTACAGACTGGGGGCAATTACAGAATCGGCGTGTTTCACGACTGACGGAGGGATCCCGACAGGAAATTCTGTCAGGTCTCGGAATCGCCCAATCAATGGAGATCTTTACATGACTGAACACGGCGCGTGGAGAAAAGGAGTGCAGAACGTAGCAGCAATAGAGTGGCCTCTTCTGGTCGGCCCAACGATCGTGACGTCCGAATTCCCCATACTCTCCAGCATCAGGTGATTTGAACAAGCCCTATGCATGGAATATCGTCATCACATGTCACCCATACAAAGACTGATAGCAGTCACGAAGAGCTCCCACTGTGTGACTGGGCGGGGATATGTGAATTGGCCGTGCGCCATTGTGGACCCGGTCTGTAGCACCAGGAGCTAACTTGTTTGTATAAAACCCAAGCGGTCAACGTTGCAGCTGTTTTGGGAGAACTGTTTCGAGGCCACGCCCATGCCTCGCAATTCACCTATCGCAGGTCGACAAAAAGACGAGATGAGTCTGCGTTCTGCTGTCTCATTGTGTCCTCCCTAGTAGTCAAGGCACAAGATGCATGGTGGCTTCATTAGTGGCTTGTATGACTTGGAATCGGGGCCAGGCTATACCCGCATTCCGCCTCGTCATACCACTGCAGATTCCACGTTGGAAAGTACCCGGAAACGAGCAAGTATATAGGGCGAATCTCAAAAGCGGGCTGTTTCCAGAGCTGTGGACCGTGGCGAGCTGTATGCTTCTCCTAGCAAGAGCGGTTCAATCACAGGATACAGCTTGGCTATAGTGGTTCACACTTACCTTTCTGAGAAGCAGCAACACTCCCGGTCCTTAAAAGCTAGAACCAACACAATGACGAGCTTCGACCAATCCATGGAGCGCGATCAAATGGCTGTGATCATGCAACCCAATCGACCACGACCCTCCCCCATTGCCATTGTTGGTATGGCCGCCAGACTCCCCGGTGGGGTGAACTCCTTGTCGAAGTTCTGGGAGTTCTTGGTGGAAAAGAAAAATGGCGTCTGTGACGTTCCTGACACCCGCTACAATATCGACGGCTTCTATCACGAAAGTCTGCCGTACTCAGTCCGGTCGCGCCGGGGATATTTCCTGGACGAAGATTTGGCGATGGCGGACCCATCCTTCTTACCAGTGTTC